GCGAGACTAGATTCACTGCGAGTGTTATCCACTGAACTGCAAACGTCATCTGCTCTCGGCGTCACACCAATGGCCTGTCAACTGAGCCACAAATACCTTGCATTGCTTACCTAACATTATGCTACTTGCGACTCTGCAACTCAGCCACCTCCAAGATTCAAAGTTCGGCTACCTTTTGGCCCTGTTTACGAGTACGATTCCAGCACTGACGCAGTGACGCCAACCCGGACCTGCACTTTTCTTGCTCTCAACAACCCCCTAATCCTTCCATTCGTAACACATCGTCACACATATACACGACCACCGTCATTCTTTCATCAACATTCTTTTTACCTTGCAAATCTCTTTTGCACGCGCACGCGCGACTGCCCCTGGCCAACCTTGAGCCCAGGCACTCCCAACCACCGCCCCCAAACTGGCGCACCCCCCCACGCTATGCCCTTGTTGCCCACCATCGACGTCGCTGGTGACGCTCCCGACAAGAATGCCATCCTCATAGAATCCAAACCACACAACAAAGGCGGCAAGGCCACTCAGGCTGTTCATGAGCAAATACCAACCATTATCGAACCTACCAGTGTTCAACTCAGCTCCTCCGACAATTATAAACACCTGGAAAAGATCCCCGATGTCGTCGATTGTGACAGGGTCGACTATGTTAACCCTCTCGCCAACAGTTCGCGATGGTACATTGCCATGAGAGCACGCGCCCTACGCTCTGCCGCTGGCTTTGCCTTTAGTCTCGCCAATCGTACTGTACCCGCTCCTCCACTTCCCTCTCAATCCATCTCGCTCGATTCTACCCTGTCCGAGTTTCCTGGCAAGGACAAGATCAAGGTGGACGTTTGGACCCCGCCAAACTTGGCCCTTGGGCCCCGTGCCGCCGTCATTAATTTTCACGGAGGCGGCTGGATTCTTGGCACCGGAACTGATGATAGCCGCTGGGCCGCCGCTGTCATGACCAATATCAACGCTGTCGTCTTTTCCGTCAACTACAGGCTCGCCCCAGGCCACCCCTTTCCCACACCCATCGAGGACTGCGTCGATTCCATTCTGCAAATCGCTGCTCGTGCCGATGAATTCGGCTTCGACCCCAAACGTATCATTCTGTCGGGCTTTTCTGCCGGCGCCTCAAACGCATTGAGCAGCTGGCTTGTCCTGCATGAGCCTCAACGATGGGACTACAATCTGCCTCAGCCTGTCCCCCACATTGCCGGTCTCGCCATCTTTTACCCTGTCCTCGACTGGACATTTACGCGACCCGAGAAGCGTAGCACTTGCCACCGCCCTGACTTGACACTTCCACCTGGCATGACGGACCTGATTGATGTTTCTTATGTCTATCCTCATATCCCTCGCAAGGAATGTGTTGACTGGCGTCTGTCGCCTGGTCTGATGGACGATGCTACCCTGGCTAAGCTACCGCCCATGCATTTATGTCTGTGCGAGTACGACATGCTACTTCAGGAGGGCCTACGTTTTGCTAAGCGTGTTCGTTCTTGTCCAGACAAGACGCTGACCCTTCGCGTCGTCAGCCAGGAAAAGCATGCCTGGGACAAACCTCTACCCATGGCTGCGGTAAAGGACAGCGTCAACATCGAGTACACCGAGGCAACCTTGGCTATTGCTAATTGGATTGGTCAGTTCCACGACACGGATAATGAGTCGGTGCTCTCGCTGCCCACCAAGCGACTTCGCCTGCGTCCCTCGACGCACTTTAAACGTTCCCGCTCCGCTGACTAGTCGACCTTGGGCCTGTTATACTTTATTCCGTCTTTCCGCTGTACTCGGAGAATTGAGACGGAATATATTTTTTTTTTTTGATTTACAAGCAAGGAGTTTGAAGCAATGTTGTGTATCAAGTATACGGATTGTTGTGGGCATTTTCTAGCATAGATGTAGACTGTTGCATTATTAGACGCATGGAAGCGGGAGCATTAAGACTACACAATCGCCAACACCCCTTCTTGCCCTTTCCAAGCAACATGAATTATCGCAGCCACGCACAAGGTGACTTATTCTTCCAATTTCCCAATCTTTGTGAGCTGTTGGGATTGTTCCCCGTAGTTCCTGCTCTCGAGGATGGGTCAGATCTGCATACTCCGTACAAGTGAGGGACCACAGGGGGGTGGAAATGGTGGCGTCAGGGATTTCCAGTGCATTTGGATTGGATGGTTGGCTATTTGGCTGGTTGGCTGGTCTGTGGCGGCAGTGTGTGTCTCATGTACGGAATACTCCATATGCAGAGTACACGTGCGTCCTGCCCCCTCACCATCCCAACTTGCTCGAGTACTGTCTTTTGCCCGGACCTGGCTGAATCGATCTTGTCGAGATGACAGACCGGCTCGTCTCCCAGCTTGGTGTCTGTAGCATGGCAACGTCAATACGATTACTTGATTCGAAAGGAAGATATAAATCGCAGTCATGCTACAAAGGAAAAATAAAAACTCCATGCATGCCGTTCGGTGAAGAGCCAGGAAATTCTCTTTACACGACAAGATGCTTGCTCTCTGTCAGGTATTGGGGGCGTACAGGACGACGACTCCCATATTAGAACTGCAGTATTCTACCGAGGCCAGAGATATCTCTCGAGAATTTTCACGTGCCGAACCCGACTCAGGCTCGTCAAGGTCATAATGCACCTCTTCATGATGTTGCTTGTCTGGACATGGTCGAGGAGCCCAGTGAACTGGGGAGATGCGGCGAGGTTTGTTATTCCATTATTTCAACGGCGGCCAGAGATTTCGGTAGGCCAGTATCAAAATTGGGCTACCATCCGACGTGCGACATGCAATAATCCTCAATGTCTGTGGCCTGAGAAGCAAGCCCGCTCCCATCTTCCGTGGCTAGGTCATGATTCAGCTATGCGAGTGCGAGTTCAAGCTGCGAAAGGGGGTCATGAGGACGCATACGCGAAAGCGAGGATGTGCCTGCTATCCATTGACAGGCCATGTGTACGCGCGAAGTTTGACGATTTGTCCCCGACACTCTGTTTCGTAGACTACAACTTTCAGCGCACAATTGATGCCTTGGAGGGTCCTGATCCGCAGGCAAGACTGGTCTACTGATTTGCTTGTGAAGGCGTTCTTGGTTCATCAAGTATATATATATATATATATATATAGATGTACCAGTTGCGCAGTTCTATCTATAGCTGAATTCAACACTATGCCAGCTGGGGAATCGTTATGACGTTGCTAGGCGTGAAGCGTCGAAGCAGTCGAAGCATTGTGGATTTTCCTTGTTGTTAAGTATAAAATGGCGTATATTGTATGCTAAATCTCCTCCTGTATATGGTTTTACCACTTTGCCTCTTTGCTGTCGAGAAACTGCTTGAGGATGCCGACAATCTTGGCGAGCGCGGTGAGGTAGACCTGGAGGTCGGCCGTCACCTTGGCGCCGTCGTCGCCGAGCTTGGCGTAAAAGTCCTTGCGGTAGGGGCAGGCGCCCATGGCAGCGCTGAAGATGGGCTTCACGAGGAAGCTGTGGTGCGGCTTGAGGGTGCTGGCGTAGGCGGCGCGGAACGAGTCGGCGAGCTCCTCGTCGGGTTTGGCCGTGTTGGCCGTCAGGGCGAGGCAGGTGAATTCGAGGCCACTGTTGATGCAAGTTTAGCAAAAAAAAAAATGGTATTTCTTTTGAGAAGGTGGGGTGCGTCAATTACCGGACGAGCCAGAGGAGTCCCTCGGTGGCAGTGTGTTTCTTGGTCTTGAGCTCATTGCGGCAGAGATCTTGAATGTTGGCACCCTCAACGGGGGAGGCGAGCTGGCGGTCGCGGATTTTCTGAAACACGACATGATTAGCATTGGTCATATTATATGTATTTGGTGATGGGTAAGGAGAAGATTATATCAATCGTACCTTGATGTTGCCGAGCATGTCGTTTTTGACGGGCGAAAAAGCGACGGAGCCGAGGGCATCTACACCGAGGGGGGGGGGGGGGGGGTTGTCAGTCTACTGCGCTTTACAGCCGGGGTCCAGCGAGGGGGACCGAGAGAAGGACACACGCACCGAATATAGTGGTCAGCGACTCGGCCGCTTCGAGGAATTCGCTTGTGCCGACAGCGCGTCCGTTGGCCTCGTCAATGGGCACGTCGACAAAGGACCTTTTGAAGGTCTGCACAATGGTGCCGCCGGGCGGGATCACGGGAGCGGACATGATGGTTTGTTTCGGAGGAAAGGTGGTCGGTATGTAGTGGGAAGAGGAGAGGAGAAAGATGGGATAAGAAGAAGAGAGGGGGAGAGGTAGGGGGAATAAGAGGGCCGAAGATTGGAGAGGAGTACGACGACGGCGGCGGCGGCGGTGAAGTCTGGGTTCGGTGAAAGTGGTGTGGTGATGGGGAGAGAGACAGGAAGAGAGAGGGACGGAGGTGAGGGGTTCGTGGGGGTGCGGGGCAATGGGCATGCCCAAGGCGGTGGCAGAGAGAGACAGGGAGGCTGAACTATTTCTAAAAGTTATTAAATAGTTAGGATGAAAAGTATAAAAAAATCAAATAAAAGGCGTTTTCTTTTAGAAATGTAGTCATGTGGAGGCGCAGAAGGAGTAGAAGAAAAATGTAAAGGAAAAATATAAAGAAGGGTGGCGTTTTTTTCTTGTCACCTATGAATGACACTGTGGACACGTACCTAAGTAGCCCCTGTTAGAACAACAAGAATGGCAATGACACCTGAATAAAACAATTATGCTACGTATCAGCCTGTCTTTTTCAAAATATACATTGTAATTGGGGACCTCCGAGCTCGTTCGGCACCGATGTTCAAGCTGGCGTATTACACACACGTCGTGCCTCAATCGCTCGATAGGCCCCGTCACGCGCCACGACATTGCTAATTTCTTCAGCGATTTTTGCAAGTCGAATATACCCGGGCTAATTGAGAGTTTCTGAATTGGTCTTTATCGACGGTATTGGATATTGGCAAGGCTCTAATCTTCTCCAAGTGAATACAAGTCGTAATATTGTGCATCATCCTGAATGTACACTAGGCTATCTAGAACATGCCTCCCTCTTCCATCACGCCGTCTTTCATATCGTGCAAATCAACCTCGCTCATATTCTGGAGGATCATCGGTCCCGAATTGTCCGATGCCTTCGACACTTGCCGCTCCCTTCTCCTCCTCCCGCTTGGGAGTCTTTCCACACGAGCGCCAGAGCAGACAGCAATGGCTCTCTCTAATGATCCATGTCGTTCATTTTTAATTCTCCTTGATTAGAAGATGGAACTCAGACTCAATTCAAAAGACCCGATGTAGTAGGTACTAGGTACCTTGTACTCGGCCTTGCATTTCTATACCCGTCAGGTAAGGATTGTCATCATCGTTCTCAGCCCATGTTACGAATCCGAGGGCAAATGGGGACCAAGCTTTTGGCCAACCAATGCACAAAGCCATTCGCCGATTTGCATCCCCCTGTGCGTACTTGTGCCGAATGCTCTCGCCCGGAGTGGTGAACGGGTCGAGGGCCAATCAACAGCGCTTGTATTACTCGCTGCCTGCCGAGGAAGCGAGGAAGGAGCCACGATACCAACCAACCACCTTCCATTATGCCATCCCTGGGGAAAGATATATAGTGGAAAATAGCTCAGTCATATGGTACCCGATGATGAGATTCAAAGGTAACTTTGAGGGGAAACCCGATGATAAGAACTCAGCACTTCTGAGGGTGATCTGTGTCAGTGCCAAGGGAATAACGGCAGATTATTTTTTTGCGAAAATTTCTTCTAGTAGACACTTACCTACAGCCATAGCTGGAGGTGTAGAATATTACATACCTGTTGAAATATTTGATTTGGATCAAGTCGAGTCTGTCCCACGTCGGCAGCGGTGGTTTATATAGGTTTCAAGGCACCTTTCTTTTTTATACTTTTTCACCTTTTTTCGCCCACTCTTCCATATCCCTCTTTAATTTTCATACATTTTTTTCACGTCATGCCGTCCATATGCGATCAATTTTAACTTTGCAGCCTTCGACGCGCGCGGTGCGGCGCGGCGCGGCGTGTCAGTAGGTACTTGAGGGTACCTCTGAACTGCATGCCCAATGTCACTTTACTCCTTCCCTGAGGGAAATTTGGCTCAGTTGGTAAGAACAGCGATGCATCTGCCCGAATTTTGAAGCCTTGTAATGAAATATTCAGCTTCGAAAGCTATACTGCGTGTTGAATATGTCCTGCGACCTCTTTGCCACCTATATTGCTGCGATGCTGCAACTTACTGCTAGTAGAGCCCTTTTTTCCCCCAAGTTTTGGTGTTGTGGTGCAGGCCCTGTAGCACCATGCGTGGGGTACATTTAGGCCCACACTGAAACCTGCCAAACTCAGGTACCCGGACCCAGCCACTAACGCCACCAAAGCGCCACCACTCAATCCAGTCATCAATCAATTACTTGAGAATGACTCGCATTTTCAGCCTGCTGTCGCTCTCGAGACAAGCTTTTCTCTCAACAGGGTCCAGACCTCCAGACCACTCTCACGTAACCAGATTAAATGTGACTCTGGCGCTAAGAGCTGCTGGTCAGCGCTCTTACACTCTTCATAATAACTAAAGTCAGTTATTAGGTGATTCTTGCGTCATTGTACTTGTTTCTTGTACATGTGTACGTGAAGGTGCCCCCAGTCCACGTGTAATTTGAGTGCGCACTTGTTCACAACGGCTATCGAAACATCAAACATTATTTGCCATGCTATGGAGTACCCGAGGCTCGAATCACCCTCCTGTTGCTGGAAATACCACTTTACGCCTTTTGGCCAGATTCGCCTACCGTCGGCTTGCTGCCAACCATCAGGTACATTGGTGTAAAGAGCTTCTCGCTGCCACCCTTGACCAGCGCGTCCGCAGCTTGACCCAAGCTGTCTGCCGTCCTCCTCGTTCCCGGCGGCGCGATGCGAAGCGTCTCCAAGAGTCCGAAAAGGTTATGCGCTACCACGCGGCCCCAACGGTTCATCCGCAACACGATAAGAGCGTCCCAGACAGTCTGGGCGTGGCGAAGGTCGCTGCCCAGCGGCCAGTACCAAGGCGGCGAGGCCTTATTGACGGCCTCTGCCAAGTCTCGACTGACTTGTAGCTCGAAGCCTGCCGACTCCATGGCTTGCTTGCCGTCGTCTATACTGAATAGCTGAGCGATGCCGTCGCCTTGCTCAATGGCTAGTCGGAGCTTGCGGTGCTCTAGGTTGTCATTATCGTAGGCGTCCGTCATGAGCCATTCATAGACACCAAACACACCGCCGGGCTTCAAGACTCGGTAAATCTCACTGTAGACTTCTGCGAGAGACGGAGCGTGGCACGTGGCTTCGATTGAGTACACTGCGTCAAAAGAGTTGTCGGGAAAAGGAAGACTCTGCGTACATCTATTAGTGATTGCAGTGCTACATGTCACCATGTTTGCATACCATGAAGTCGCCTTGTACAAAGTCCAAGTTGTCAGCCATGTCGTGCTTCTTGGCATACATGGTGGCTCGGTCAACTTGGTACTGGTTGATGTTGATGCCCGTGACATGGCAGCCGGTAAATCGAGAGATTTCACGCGCCGGGCCACCAACGCCGCATCCCATATCGAGCACTTTCATGTCACGCTTGATTCCAATTTGACTCGCAATAAAGTGCTCATGTCGGGCGATTGCCTGCTGGAACGGCTCGCCATATGAAAATCGGCAAAAGTGAAAGGATGCTCCCCACGCATACTCGTAAAAATCGGTCGCAAGGTTGTAGTACCTTTGTTACATGTTAGCCAATTTTTTTTTTTTCGACAGATGTTGGTGAGCTTACTGTCTTGTGATGCTGGCATAATCGTCTGTTCTGGCCTGTCGAACCGCAGATGTCTCGTCTTCAGCAGTCTTGTTGTCCCAGTGCTGAAAGTATTCATCCACTGCTGCAGCGCGGGCAGTCTTGTCCTTACTCAACATGGCACGGATGCCACCCTGACCTTGACTGGAGTCTCCATGTAGAGCCTTGTCAAAGGCGGCATTCCTCGCCTCGTCAACACGCAGCAAAGCTTGAGAGCTCATTTGAACCGTAGTATATGTAACGAAAAGGAATTGTTTTGAATAGAGTGGAAGAAGTGTTTAAGATGGCTGAACTGACACGGAATCCTTTTACGACAATCTCTGGGAGGCCCTTTATACCTGTATTCAACAGACAACAGACAATACGAATACGACCAGGAACTGACCCATCAAATCATGGCTGGCTTGCCTTTTTGACGAGCCAGCCTCATCTAATTGGCTACATGGATATCTATTCGCCGCATGGTCAATCAATTATTGATGTCGCTTGTCCGTGCTGCTGCAGCCACTGCCTCATCTACGTACCTGAATCCAGCCCTCCGCATTTACGCGTAAGGGCGAGTGAATCCAAGCGAGACGATCAGCCCTCAGATAGGCATCGTCTGGTTCGAATTCGTATCAGGAGGCTCAGAATACGGCCGTGTTGGTTCAACAAATCTTGGCTGGTGCCCTTGGCAACCATTAGGTGAATACTTTTTCTCCCTCACTGTGTATTGCTAGGCGATGAAATCTCCACGGGCAGTTTGACAGGTACATACTTTAGTTTTTGGTGGTGCGCGCAGATTCGCGGCTTGGCCAAACTCAGTAGGGTGGGGCGTTACACAGGCGGTGACTGATTTTTGTAGCAATTTGATCTGGCAGAATAGCCTCTTTTTTCCCTTTGCAGAACCCTCGACGCGCATAGCAACAGCTTGGATTGACAACTCTCGAACATCATTCTCGCATTGAAACGAATACAAGATATCAAAGGTTAGTCTTTGAAATAAGCGCTGAATTTTCCAGCTTTTTCTGCCTTGAAAGTCGCGCCCGAGGATGCGAGCAGGGTTTTTGAGCCCCGCCAATGGAAGCGCAAATCTTGAACAATTGCTCACATCTCAACAGGCGCAGGAAAATAATCATCTTTCAAGAAACTAGCGGTGATTCTTGTCGCGTTCGACTTTCGACTTGACCAAAGATATTTTCAGAGCCCTTTTCCGCGTTTCAACCGCCAACATGAGCGAGGTCGACGTTGCTACCAAGCCCACCGAGGCTGTCGAGCAGCCTGCTGCTGCTGCTGCTCCCGAGACCGTTCCCGAGGCTGCACCTAAAGGCGAAACAGAGGCTACTACCGAGGCTACGGCCACTACTGAGGTCACTGCTGACGGCGCTGCTGACGGCGCTGCTGAGGCTGTTCCCGAGGCCGTCGAAACGAGTGCCGCCGCACCTAATGGTCAGGATGAAAAGAAGATTCTCAAGACCACGGCCAAGATCTCAGAGAACCGCCAAAAGAACAACAAGTTTGACCCCAGCCAGCGCGAGGTCTCGGATGACCCCGTCGCCATCCGCAAGCAGGTTGAGTTTTACTTTGGCGACTGGAACTTTCCCCAGGACAAGTTTATGTGGGAGAACTGTGGCGGCGCCGAGAACAAGCCCATCGCTGTCGAGAAGATCCACTCGTTCAAGCGCATGCGCACTTTCCAGCCCTACAGTGCCGTAGTCGCCGCCCTACGCGACAGCACATTCCTGGATGTCGAGGGTGAGGAGGGCAAGGAGACGCTCAAGCGCAAGGTGCCCTACAAACCCCAAGCCGACGCGCGCTCCAAGAACGAGGCCGCGACTGTGTACGTCAAGGGCTTTGGCGACGAGACGCCTCAGACGCAATTTGACATGGAGAGCTTCTTTGCGCAGTTTGGCGAGGTCAAGGGCCTAAAGCTGCGCCGCACCCCCGAGGGTCTCTTCAAGGGCTCCGTCTTTGTGACCTTTGCCAACGAAGAGGCCGCCAAGGAGTTTGTCAGCAAAGAGCCCGCCCCCAAGTGGAAGGAACACGACCTCAAGATTATGACCAAGAGGGCTTACTGCGAGGAGAAGGCGGAGCTCATCCGCTCCGGCAAGCTGGAGCCCAGCAGCACCACGAGCAAGAAGTTTTTCGAGGGCCAAGAGGGTGGTAGTGGTGGTCGTCGCCACGGCGGCGGTCCCCGCGACGCGGATGACTGGAAGAAGCGCCGCGAGCACGACCAGAAGAATGGGTTCCGTGGCGGACGCGGTGGCCGTGGTGGCCGTGGTGGTCGCGGTGGCCGCGGCCGTGGTGGGGGTGGTTTCCGTGGCGGCCGTCGCGACAATGAGGATCGCGGCAGCAAGCGTTCTCGTGACGATGACAACGGTGTCGATGAGCCCTCTGCCAAGAAGGAAAAGGTTGACACCGCGGTCGAGGCATAAATTGAAAGGAAGCACACTTGCAGACAAAAACAGACAAAAAAAAAGGCACAAATTACACATCATCTTTGGGAGCTCAACGGGACGACTAAAAATGAAAGGGGATCAGCAGATGGGGATAACTAGCATGTATGGTGGCAAAACAAGTGTAAATGGCGTTTTACTGGATTCCATTTGTTGGTTTCATTATTATTATTATTTTCATTTTTACGCTGAAAAGTATAGGAACAAATCTGTACCAAGATTGCAATACGTGGTGATGCGGTGCTTGATAGTTGGGTCCGTACGCAGTAGTGTACTTTGGTAGGTAATACTGTATGGCCTACGTATGCCGATGCGGTACCGGTCACATTGTTAAACGCCGTTGGCTGACTGGGATCTTGACGGCTCGCATCTCACACCTATGTATGTCAGACGTCCTCGATCACCGTTTTGGGTACAATATGCATCAAGAAACCGAGCGGAGACTCCACGGAGTAACAAAAACTTTTACTAAGCCATCTTGGGTACTACATGGGGTGAGCTAGGAAACAGCGGGGAGTATCTGAATAATCAAGGTGGCGCCGTATCGAGCGGGGCGCCGTATCGGGCGGAGGCTGACAGACTATTTATTATTATTCGTACAGTACGGATTACTTTTTTTTTTTTCTTTTTAAAAAAAATAAAAAAAATAACACCTATTTTTCTAGCTTTGTTTGGTGGCGAGAGCCGGAACTCGGGGACTTGTTTGTCGGGATATCGGCTGAAGAGATGGCACCGCGCTTGCACGAGATGAATACCTGCGACATTGCTTGACGCACCAAGAGAGAAAAGAAAAAGAAAAAAAAAAAAGAAGAGGCCTGATTCGATATTGCGGGAACGCTGTTGTAAACCGTGCATGCGTTGTCGGGGCTTTTCGCAGCGACGTTCCCCATCCAGGTACGGATACTTTTTGAGCCTGGATGACAGAGAGTATCCGTAGCTGGATGGAGAATCGTATGCAGAGATGAGTCGTGCAAACAGTCAGCAGCGTTTGGAATACAGAATTGATTTTGCCAACAGTTGATTGATAAAGTACCCCGACGTCAATTTCCTTTTTTTGAATCATGCTTCCATGCTTCGTGGCTGCAAAGCTGGCAGAGGCTTTCCATGTCCGCGGAAGCTCCGTCGTTGACAGACCCCCGGCATCTAGTCATCGGCCCTGACACCTTTCTATCCCCGGCCTGGCTTCTCCATTTAGTCCCCGTGCTCGGCCATTCTTTGCCGTAATGTGGAAACTTGGTACGGAGTAGCCTACTTGGTACTTCGTTTTTCTTCCGTGTTCGCCGTCATTAATATACAGAAATATCACAAACTCCCTCCCGCTTTACTCCCCCACCCACCCAATCCTTGCCTCGACGTTGCATTCTCAAAATCTTTTTCTGCGGCACTGCCTTGGTACCCAAGCAAGTCGTCCTGTTTTCCCATTTTCCCTTGGAACCTTTTTTTTTTTTTTTGAGCTTGGTGCTTTCTCGATAGCATTGAACGCTCATGTCTTTCCCGTCTTGGTCATCTTGCTTCGCAGCACCTCGCGTCTAAGACGTCCCTCCGACCATCAAAATTTACACACACACACACACCACCACGACCATGACGACCGCCGATCCGGAAAAGGTAGATCGGGCACCGGTTCTGTGCAAAGATGACGACCGCCGTGATCCGGAAAAGTACGAGCGTTCCGCTACATTCTCGAGCAGCAGTAGCAGCAGCAGCAGCAGCAGCAGCGACGATGATGATGACGCTGCATCGTCAAAGATTAGACAGTCGCTGTCACGCGTCGCCTCGGCCACGTCTCGCAAGTCGGGCATTTCCCGCACCGTGTCCGAGGTCCGCGACGGCATGCTGAATCAGCGCGATCTCGAGGTTGGCGAGGACGACGACGGCGGCGGCAGCAACAGCAAAGAGCAGCAGGCCCCGGATCCGAACCTGGTGACGTGGGACGGGCCCGACGATGTAGAGAATCCCAAGAACTGGTCCTTGAATAAAAAGTGGTTGGATGTTATCCTTGGTAAGTTGTATTACTTTTGTGTGTTTAGTCTGTACAAGATGCAGAAGATGTATTATATTGTTCATTACACACACACACACTCTCTCTCTCTCTCTCTCTCAACAAACTCTAACCAACTACAGTCTCCCTCTTCACCTTCATCTCCCCCATTTCCTCCTCCATGGTTGCCCCCGGCCTCCCCGCCATCGGCAAGGACCTGCACATTGACGGCCGCACCGAGCAAGTCCTCGTCATGTCCATCTTTATCGCCGCCTACGCCGTCGGTCCCCTCTTCTGGGGGCCCTTGTCCGAGCTCTACGGACGCCGCGTCGTGCTCCAAACCTCCAACGCCTGGTTCTTTTGCTTCAACCTCGGCTGCGCCCTCGCGACCACCTCGCGCCAAATGATTGCGTTTCGCTTCCTCGCGGGGCTCGGCGGCTCGGCGGCGCTCGCCATCAGCGGCGGCATCCTCGGCGACTTGTTTTCGGCGGAGCGCCGCGGCAAAGCCATGAGCGTGTGCTCGCTGATGCCGCTGCTCGGGCCGGCGATTGGGCCGATTGCGGGGGGGTGGATCGCGCAGCAGACGTCGTGGCGGTGGGTGTTTTGGAGCACGACGATTGCGTGCGGCGTCGTGCAGGCCGCGGGCTTGGCGGCGTTGCGCGAGACGTATGCGCCGGTACTGCTGCATCGGAAGCGCGTGCGGCTGGTGCGCGAGACGGGCAACACGGCCCTGCGCACCGAGTACGACCGCCCGGACCGCACGCTCGCGCAGACGCTCGCGACGGCCCTGACGCGGCCCTTTCGCCTGCTCGGCACGCAGCTCATTGTGCAGATTCTCGCCCTCTACATGACGTACCTCTACGGCACCATTTACATTCTCTTCTCCAGCTTCCCGACGCTCTTTGCCGACGAGTACCACCAGCGGCCCGGCATCCAAGGGCTCAACTACATCTCCATCGGGCTCGGCTTCTTCATCGGCACCCAAGTCTGCGCCCCGCTGCAGGACCGCATCTACGCCGCGCTCAAGCGCCGCTACGTGCCCGACGGCGGACCGGGGCGGCCCGAGTTCCGCGTGCCCTTGATGGTGCCCGGTGCCGTCCTCGTGCCCGTCGGCCTCCTCATCTACGGCTGGACCGCCGAGTACCACACCCACTGGATAGGGCCCAACATTGGCGCCTGCATCTTTTCCCTCGGCAGCATCGTCGGCTTCCAGTGCGTCCAGGGCTACCTCGTCGACACGTACACGCGCTTCGCCGCCAGCGCCGTCGGCGCCGCCACCGTCATGCGCAGCCTCGCCGGCTTTGGTTTCCCGCTCTTTGCCCCGGAAATGTATCGGGCGCTGGGCTACGGCAAGGGCAACACGATACTGGCGGTCGCGGCTATTGTGATTGGCTGGCCGGCGCCGGTGCTGCTGTGGTACTTTGGCGCCAAATGGCGTGCCAAGAGCAAGTTTTCTGCGTAATGAAAGCGGTGGTTTTTTCTGTCTTTATGTTTTTGTTCGTCTGAGTGGTGCGAGATTGCACTCTGTGCGGTTTAGAGCGGCTTTTCTTTTTTTGCCTTTATTCATATATAGCATTGCATGATCAGACGGCGTTTTTTTGCTTCATCCAGAGCATGAGGAAATGGTCAACATAGATTGGAAATGGTCAACGTGGATTGGAAATGGTGGTGTATAAAAAGACTTTTTGTTCTTATACAGTGGGTTTTGTGGCTAGAACCTCAACTAGTTATACAACTGTCAAGTTTCATCTTGTTCAAATTACTTTTCTCTCCTCTTTTTTCAACTACCCTTGTTCCCATTTCGACGTCTCCATCACGGTCCTACGACGAGTAATCCATCCTCCCATCGCCCATGAGCGTCCAAAACTCCTCCACAATCTCCTCTTGCCCGGCGGCCGGCGCCCCCCGCACCGCCAAATACACCCTCCCGTCCACCTCTGGCGCCCAGTCCCCCGGATTCCCGCTCACCATGCGCCCGCCCGCCTCCTCCAGGATGCACCAACCCGCGCAGACGTCCCAGGCCCAGCAGCCGCCCTCCCAGTAGAGGTCGAGCTCGCCGGCGGCCACGGCCGCGAGGTTGAGCGCCGCGGAGCCCAGCGACCGCATCGACTGCACCATGGCGCCGCCCGTCTCCGTCGACGCGCCCAGCCGCCGAAACGTCTCGACCTTGACGTCAAAGTTGGGGCCGTCCCGCACGGACCCCCACTCGACGGCCACGAGCGCGGTCCCGAGGCCCGTCAGCGGTCGCGGTGTCGCGGCGAGGGGTAGACGGCGCGGGGTGGCGCCGGCGAGGAGGGCACCGCGCGTGGCAAAGGCACCGTGACCGCGGATCGCCGTGTAGAGGAGATCCTGCCACGGGTTGTAGATGACGCCGACGCAGGGCTTGCGGTCAATGGCGAGGCCGAGCGAGATGCACGCGTTGGGGAAGCCATGGATAAAGTTGGTGGTGCCTAATCAGCGTCAGAAAAAGAAGAAGAAGAAAAAAAAAAAAAAAAAAAAAAAAAAAAGGGACCTTCTCATCTAGATCCCTCGTGTGATGAAAATGTTGGCCAGCCAAATAAAACTCACCATCAATGGGATCCACGACAAAGGTGGGCTCCGGACCGAGTCTCATGCCCGGCTTGTACGTCTCCTCGCCCATAAACGCCACCGAGGGAAACGCGGCCGACAGCTTGCCGGCCACCATCTTCTCGACGGCCTGGTCGGCCTCGGTGACAATGTCGACGGCGTTGAGCTTGGTGCCCGCGGCAATGTCGGCCGGGTTGGCGGCGAGGATCATGCGCCCCGCCTCGTGGGCGACGGCGACCATGGTGTCGCGGACTTGCTCGAGATTGAGGTCCGTCATTTTTTTTTTCTTCTTTTTTAACTTTGGCCTTTTTTGCAGGATTGACTGTGTATATGACCTGGAACGGTGTGTTGACGGAGAGCAAAAGTGACGGCTCGGGACGGTTGTGAGAGATGCGGTCATTAAGATGGGGCCGTTGCACCCCGCCCGCCGCTGTGGATGGAATTGGGGTTGGTTCAAAGCTTGGCCATGATGTTCCGCAGCGTGCACATGAAGATGAAAAATTCTTCAGAATCAATAATAAATTGTACCTTGATGGTTCTGCGTCAGGTTCATTCATTTTGACATCATAAGCAGCAACGCAAAACAAGGTCAATTCTTCTCTAAACAGGCATCAAGGTATTGTCTGGAAGCAACGCAGTGTAGCCGCAAAGTAATGCTTCGTGTGGAAATACTTAACCAAAAGATCCACATTGAAAGATATAGATCTCTTGACCATCACTAAAGTGGTTGATAATGAGAAATTCTGGTGTGTATTTTGAGAAAGAGAGGCTAAACTCAAAAAAAAGACGCGCCTCAGTTTCCTCAATGGTGGAAAAGAGAGAACACACCCAACCATTCTTGTATGAATGGTTTATCCTCCAGGGTAAGTAACCATCCCCGCCTAAGCCATCATGCTTCAAAATCTCCCAAATTCAAGGCCGCAAGAATGAAAATCGCGTCGAAATAGAAACTGCCAAAATAATTACAAAAAACATACGCCCTCGTTTACCCAGAGACTTTGCGCTCCCCCACCCCCCACATCAGACGCACACTGCAGAGCGCTATACATTCTCCTTGAATACCGAGTGGCGCGAGGGGCTGCCGCTCTTTTGTCCTTGGTCCATCGGCCGCGGGCTGACGCCGCGCAAGCTCTCGGCGTGGTCATCGTCAAAGGGGTTGTTGCCGCGGGGCCCGCCACCAGGACTCCGCGAGGGCTGGCGACCCCTCTCCAGATCAACATCGTGCTCCTCGCGCTCGCGCTTGGGCGTCGCCGCTAGATTCATGTTGTAGCTGCTGCCGCCGTGGTACTCGGTGCTGGTGCGACGACCGCCGCCGCGGGCCGTCAGCTCCTCCTCGTAGTAGCCGTAGTTGTCTGCCTCGTTGTCGACGCGCGTGTCCCAGGCCTCGTCGGGGTCAAGGGCGCGGTGCGCGCCGCGCGGGCCGCCGGGGTTGGCGCCACGGTTCGAGGGCTCGTACGCGCCGGCGGCGGAGCGGTTGTTGCGGTTCTTAAACTTGCGCACCTGGTCGTTGAACCAGCCCGAGACACCGCCGGGCGCAGGCTGGGGCGGGCCGTAGGGGTTATCTCGCTTGTTCCAGGGGAGGTATGACGAGAGGCTCGGCGTGGGGAGCTGGGAGGCGCGCGCGTTAGCAATCAAGGGACAAGAGAATTGTTTGGGCTCGTGTGCGACGGGGTTTATTCTCCAAAGGAGCACAGCAGGAGAGCCTCCAGGAGAGGAGATGGAAAGACACTTACGCCGAGTCTGCGTGCGCGGTATTGCGTAAAGACGATCCATCCCACTGCGGCCGCCACGGCGAGCACGACAATGGTAATGATGATGCCACCTGCCACCGACACCATTGTTGTCGTCAACGGCGGATTAAAGGATCGACGAGCTTATTTCTTGCGTCGGTTTGCGATTAATCTCCCGAGAGAAAAATCGAATATGAATGGCGTCGAGGCGTCGTCGATACTGACGGGCGTCGCGCAATGGCCCAACGGGCGGGCTCCTGTGTCTGGTCGTGGCCCGGTTACGTCGGAGTGGGTGCGCGCAGAGATGCTGCTCGCCCCAAGTCACACTGATGATGCTGGGCAACAATGGCGGGGTGTTGGCTGTCTCGTTCAGATATTTCCTCAAATCTTCTTTGGCGTCGTGTCCAGTTCGTAGGCTCTGTGTGCGTTGCCGTTGACGTTTTGTTTGAAAGTTGCAGGGGGGGAATGAGGCAGGTCAAGAAGCTGGGGCTGAGCTGGGCAACTGGGATGTGCAGAGCTACCTAATAAAAGGTCTTCCTTGATGCTGCTACAAGTGGGCTGACGTGCCAGTAATCCGTACCCCGTATTAGGTACCTACCTTAGGTAAGGTAGGCACAGTTGCTGATGGTACTTGTGCTCTGTACCTAGCATGCAGTTAAGATCTGCCTTGGCTTTAGATTACAAGGACTCGTTTGAGCTAATAAATGGTAAATAATGCAAAGCACCAAGCAAGATGTAATAAAATAGAAAGACAAAATGCATCGATTTGCAACTGGCTTGCGACCCTCTCCGTATCTAGGAACTGGAACAGGTACCTACCTGGTAAAACACGAGTTGTTATCTGCTCATCAATGGACCCAGAGGATCCTCTTGGCTCTTTACAGAGGCGGGCGCTAAAAGTCTCTAGCGACAGCCTTGTCACGGCCTCTGCCAGGAAAGGAAAAGCGGTGCTAAATATTTAAGTGTTTCATTATTATTAGGTAGTTACCTATGGCTCAAGTCTCACATACATTTATTATCATGTCAAATCATTAGCCATATCGGGCTCAAGAATTCTTCGAGTATACAAATGACCTAGCTCAGGCAACTCTCAAGTAGAATTACATATACCAGCTCCAGAAATGCCTCTACAGACTCCAAGTATGGCCCACCGCCAGTAAACAGCAAAAGCTTACGCAGCGCTTTTAGGCTCCAGTATAAGAGACAAGGCCCAGCCAAGGCCATCCAGCTGATCATCACCTCATTAGCACAGCATAGACTCCTGGTGGTGACTCTAAATGTATGCTTGCTCTAAGTATTTGCTGATGCCTAATCTCATATAAACTATTCTTTCTTTGGAAAAACAATATGCTCATGCGTTCGTTACGCTGCCTCATTGCGGCTCTCTATACTCACTCGCAACGGCTCCATTCACCGCCGCTCGTCGCAAACGACATGGACTTGACAAACTTGTCCAGCGTGCAGCGCCCCAGCTCATCCGCATCACATCCACGCAGTGGCACCACGCGCTCGTTGAGAAGCACGCGCACCAGCTCCTCACCCTCCTCCTCGTCACTGCCGCTGCCGCACCGCATCTTCTCCACGTACATGCGCGCGCCAAACGGCACCGCGCGCGACGCCGAGTACCCGCCAAGCTGCTCCGGCGACCTGCGCTCCGTCGTCGGTAGGTCCGCGGTGCCCTCAAACAGCCGCATCGCTGTAAACACCGTCATCATGCCGTTGTCGTGGCTAAAGTCGGCGTACAGCGTGCGGTTGAGCGGAAACGTCTCCAGCGACGCGTCAAGCGTCGAGTTGGTCGACGTGTGGTCCTGCACGGGCTTGCCAGTGAGCCGCGCAATCAGCTCATTGACGAAACCGACGCCCTGCGACGACGCCAGGTCCCGGCCTGGCCCGTACACGTACCACTTCTCCAGCGACTGGTGGTAGTCGTAATTGCGCCACTCATTCCGGGAAAAGGCGCGGCAAAACGGCGACAGCGCGAGCTCGGGCGAGGCCACCGTCTCAAAGGGGCAGAGCTCCATAAAGTAGACGGTGTTGTCAATGTCAAACTTGGCCCCAGGCAGCTTCTTGCTCAGTCGCTTCTGCACCGACGGTACCCATATGTCCTTCCACTCCTGTTGCTTCGCAGCGCCCTCCTTCTTGCCAGGGCCATCCTCGAACAGCTTGCAGCTACCGTGCTCCAGAGTGTTGTTGTAACCCTCCTCCTCCGGAATCACCAGGATGCGCGAAGCAAAGTCGTCGCCGTTGCGGCCCTGGGCCCAGTAGTAGGCCTGAGTGAAGTTTTGCGCCGACATGATGACGCGCTCGGACCCAGAGGCTCTGACAAAGGGCTCCGTCTCGGAGACTAGGTCCTTGTAGCGGTGATAAAAGAGCTTCCCCGATTCAATCATTTCATTCTCACCGTACAGAGACAGGTCATCAGCAATGAGCTCATACTTGTAATCTTTGAAGAATTCGAATCCCTTTGTGTATTCGGTAACATTTCGCTGCAGTTCCTTTACGAGGGCCGAGTACTTGGCCCCCTTGTCGGCCGACGGTCCCCGGGAACCGTGCCTCGACAGGATTTGGGCAAAAGTCACTTTGCATTCGGATGGGATCGCGGGATCGATCTCGGACGGCGCGGGGCCCCAGGGTGAATATTGTCCCCAGGTGCCGAGCGAGCCTGAGCAAGTCGCCTCGCTGGTGCAGCATGTGGAGGCATGGCCACTATTTCAACGACTGCATTAGCACGAGGTTCCAGTTGGGCACGCAGAGCCCGAAACAGACCAATGCGGGCATGCGCGAGAGTCTAAGGAAGAAGAACATACACAGCAAGGAAAAGAGCCGCTGCGATCAAAGTTGAGCCCATTGCCAGCTTGAGCAGTATTTGTCTCGGTCGCTTGTTTGCTGTAGGATCCCCCAGATCACTGATCCGTCCATCACCCGGCTCGTCGCCATGGATGGCCGAGTATTTGTAGCCTCTGCTGCGCTTACTATCCATGATTCTGCAAAGTGTCGAGGACCAACAGCCCTCGTCGGTTTCCACACGTGCGTCAATGTCGAGCTCGGGTTGTGGGCTTTTGTGGGTGCTCTTATTGGGCTTGCGGAGAGTTCCGGTCGGCAGCGAGGACGGACGAACGGACAGTCGACAGGGGTACAGTAAGCGGCGTTGTCATAGCCTCCGAAGCTTGTATAAGCGAGAAAGAAGAAAAAAAGAGGAAGCTGCCGCTGTGCTGGTAGTTGAGTTGAAGGATGAGAAGGGAAAGAGGCATTATAGCGCTGGTGGAACAATGGGTGTCGTGGGTGGCGCTGTGACACGGCTCCAGTAAACAGGCTTCAGGGCCACCTCGGATCCTGGGCTAATCATTGTAATAATAACTTGTTTGCGGACATTTGCGTTCTTTGCATTTAACCCGCACCCAGCATCGGGCCTGAATGCAGCTCACCATTACGGTCCTTAGATCCGGTCCACGTTTTGCAGCTTGGACGCCTACTGGCCAGAGGTACTTTTCCAGGTAACATCGGTGCTTTGATTGTCTTCATTGTCTTTGCTCCTTAGGTATTAGTCTCCCTCTCTACTGGGCCATGTTTCGCCCGCACTCGCGCCACGGATCTATTTATTTAATCACGATTCGCCATTTGGCTCTGAAACAGCAGTGGTATTCCAACGAGTAATTCCAAGACATCGAAACCAACTAGCAACAACTTATTCATATCATGTCCAACCAGTTCTGATTACCTGCAAGGACAAGATCGTCCATTGGCAGCGATGCTGCCCTCAGAAGATAAATACTAACACTGCCACTTTTCCTGAAGTATTGCAGTATTAAACTCTTTCTGCGCATTGCCCGAATGCGCTCATCCTCCTCTAGCACCCAATAACGTCTCCTTCTATCCTTTCCAGTCTTTGCCGGAACTGTATGGGTATAATATCCAACTTTTCATCGCTTCCCCCAACGTATTATAGTCAGTCGCAGGCAACCTTCTACAGCTAAAGGGCGATCCCGACGCTAAATGGTAGCCCCTTTGCCTCTTGGCCAAACGTAACGCATCGCTCCACTGGTGTGGGCAATTCGTGCGGCGATGGCGTGTAATATAGCGAGGGCTGACTTCCTGTCTCGCTATTGTCGCCGCAATTACTAGTGGACATTGAGTGCAGGGACTCGTAGCTGTGATGGGCTTCGTTGTCGGGCACGCACGAATAGAAACCATCAATGTCCTTGATTTTGGTAACACAAGCCAGACTGCTCTCTCGCGGAGGCTCCGAAAACACAAAGCCAGAAAATCTCCCAGAGAATGGCTTCTTCTTTCTCAAGGGCGGCCGTAGAACTAGCGGTAGTGGCGGCGGCATGGGATTGGTGGTTTTATCACAGGCGAGTGGTGGTGGACATGCTTGCCGCTGGATTCCAGTGCACTTTGTGCCCAGCCCATCGTTGATGTTGGACCGTGTCGATGAATCGGCTGGCCCTGTAGATAGTCCATCCTCACCGTGGAGTCGCTCCGCAAACGACGGGGCTGATGGAGGCAGCGCCGGGATTGATGGCATGGGTTCTAGATCTGATCACGAATAAATTAGAATGCAAACAAACCCGATCTTTGTACCTGTGAGAATTTACCAGTCAAAGTACGAGAGAGTGAGTGGAAAGAGTGCGCACTCGACGGCCGACTGGGGTTGTACAGGCTCTGTCTCTCCACGACATCGTCAATCTTCTTCTGTAGTCTCTCCACTTCCTGCATCGCAGTGACCACCCTAGCCCTTATGGCCTCGACAGCAGGTGCGGTATATGACCCTGACCGCACCATCTGTATTGAGCTGTTCTTGTGTGTGTCTGTCAACGATTTAGGGCTGGAGTTCCAATCGCCCACACCCGAGGAATGAGAGAAACTCTCCGGTGTGGCCCTTGTCGAGACGCAAGACAGCGACGGCATGCTCCTTTGCGGGTGCAACTCCGAGCTGCGTTCGGCTTCCTCTCTGGCATATGCAGGCGGGGGAGTTGGCGATATACATGGCAGCTCAAATGGGGGCAGCAGGGGCGAAAGGCGATGCTGTGTTCTGAATCTTCTAAGCTCCGAGGGCTCAAAGGCTTGAAGGCCCTCGCGTCGTAATTCCGGTTCCCAGTCATGCGCCGGCGCTGATTGACCAGGTATTCGTAGAAACTCTCGCGTTGGTGGCGCGTGAAGTACCTCTGAAGCATGCATGCTCAGAGGCATGACTGGAAAGGCGTGCTGAGACCCTGACGTCAAATGTCGAAAATCGGTCGGAGCGGATATCAACATTTTTCGCGACGAGGCATCGGATTGATTCCGCTGCCGACCGAAAATTCCAAGTTTCGCCGACTGAGCCGTTGATTTCGATGCTGTTCTAGCGAGCCTCAACGACGATTCCGTCGACGACCGGCCAAAGAGAGGACGCGCCTGAGGCTCTGGCTGGTCGGTAACGACAGCGGCAGACATTTTTTCTTCGACTGCGTAATTGTGTTAATTCTGAGTTCTCGGGAACGGCAGGGATGGGGTAAAATTGGATCAAAAAAAGGGTGCATTGAAGGGCGGACTGTAGTGCAAAACGGTCGGAACACTCACCGTGACTCTGGGGTTGACAGTGGAATGTAAGTGAAAGTGGGATGCAACACCACGACAACCACGACAGCGATCCCGTGGCATGTGCACCGGTCGAGACGATCATGCTCTAATCCAATTTTCTAGCTTCATACTTCTTCCCGAATTAGCAAAGCCGCGCGCTGATGAGGTGACTTGGTCAAAGTATATACTGGTGAGACCCGCTATATAGCAAGATACTTTTTTTGTTGTTGTTGTTGTTGTTGTTGTTGTTGTTGTTGTAAGTGACTGCTCTGAGTGATGAAAAAGGCTACGGCAATCTGGCGACGGGGCCATAATGAGAACCAGCGATCGGGTCAATTGGGGCGAAAATAGATCATGAGGAATAACAAAAAAAACACGAAAAAAATTCAGACGTCGTCATTTGAGTCCAATGATGGATCCATCTTGGTGTCATCCGCAACGAAGATGGTCACGATCATTGGTGGCGGCTGAGCAGAGACATGACAGAGAGATGCAAACGCAAGGCGTTGATAGGTCATCGAGGATGATGCCACGAACCAGTCGGACGGCTGCACAGGGTGTCCGGCATCAATTGGTGCCCAGCAGCAATGAGTCGCTAGAGGCGGTCTTGGCTGGGCTCCGAGCTGGCGCACCACACTACAATGTCGCGACCCACTGGCTCTGGTCAGACGGTCATTATCGCGGAGCGAATCGATGACTTGCATGCCACCTTGTCGTGACGCTGCGACCCAACGGGCCCCATTGTTCGCCGCCACGGTCGCTGCCTAGGGGGTGTGGTCGCGTGGGCACAGGTGATGAACCTGTCATTGTCAAGCAGCATTCAGCCATCGACACGCTCGCAGATAAACTTTGGCCCATCTCGCGGCCGCCGCTTCGAGTCAGGGACGCAGGCGATGGCTTGTTTCTTTTGCATTTCCGCTTTCGTCTAGGCCGTGTTTTCTCCCTCGCGTCAGCTTGCCACCTTGCGTGAACATGGGTCTTGGCAGCGCTCGAAGGAAGGATTTGGCCACTCGCTTCTCTCAAGTATACAAGTATACGAGAATGTATAGTTTGCGGGTATATCCAAGGTAGTTTGTCTGGCAGGGCAGAATTCGGGGCTGCCGGGCACATTAGTTAGTAAGTTAGTTAGCACCGGGGATACGACCCAAGAATGATGCCAAAGTGTCCAAGGAAAAGTGGTGCATACTGTCTCCGTCCGGGGCCGTCAGCCCCGCGAATGCTTCCAAGAATACACGCCGTCTCCTTGAAAATCGTTGAAGAGGGTGTGTTGATGGTGCATCGCGTTTGCTTGGAGATGCCGCGGTGATTTAGCGGTTGTCCACGTTTGGTAGAAATGTCTCGGCTCAAAGATGGCTCTGCACGAGTGAATCTGCAGCGAAAAGGGGCGTTTCTTTAGCCTGGAGGCATGTGAAAGGTAATCCACCAACGGAACGATGACAATGGGGTCAAAGCCCGGCTGCTTGTCTCACTTTACGGGCGAGGCCGACAGAATGGGCGATGATTGTGAGGGCGAAAAGCAGTTAGCGAGTGGGGGAGCAGGCCGACGGGATGGAATGGTGGGCAGCCACTATTTACTGGTGCCTGCAAACAGATGCCGGCGGAGGGCAGTATCACGGGATTGACCGACCGGCCAGGTTCGGTCAGATTTGTCATGTGGAAGCCGATTAATGACTGAATTTAGACACATGAAGTAAGTTGTGCTAGAAGATCTGCGAAATCCTCGCCCACCGTTAAAGCCACCTCGAACTGGATACTTACACAGCATATGCCCAGTGATGGATAATCAGCCATCCTCGGCATGTTGAGTGCCTAAATACTGGGAAGCGCTCTACATGAATCTCTAGCACCTGATTTATTCGCCTATAAATACAAAATCTTTAAAGAATGGTACTGTTCTGTAGTCTGGTGGATGCAGTGTACCTATAATCCTATAATGAGCCTTTCGGTATGAGAGCCGACCGACCGCATTGGCCATTGCAAATTTAGTTATTCACTCAAAGTCGAGGTCTTGGCTTTTCATTCGTTTTCGAGACCTCCTTCTGACTTTCAGAGTATTCTGCATTTTTCCTTCGCCAGAGCGCCTTTCGCCGCTCGTGGCCCTCCAAGAATGCGCGAAACCATTCCCGTCTAAACGGGGGCAACCTCCTCCCCACGCCGCCTTCCCCGTGGCCCGCGAGCTCCCTCAGCTTTTCAAAATAGTCTTCAAAGTCTGGAAACACGAGCGCAAACTTGGCTCCGTCGCCGCGAGCCCTGATCCTCTCCGCCTCCCACTCGCGCCGCTCCTCCAGCGGCGGCAGCGTAGCCCGTCCCGCGAGCAGACGGGCCGCATACACTGCCTGCCACTCAAAGACTTTGAAAGTCAGGCCGGCATTCACGGCACCGACAAAGAGCAGTGTGGGGTCGCCCTGCCAGACGACGTGCTGGTAAAGATTGGGTACTCGGTTGTTGCGCACTGGCACTGCTGGCAAGAATGGCAGCGTCCAGCTGTAGCCGGTTCCAAAGATGATATGGTCGACGTTGGTAATCGAGCTGCCGTCAATGAGGTGGACGGTTCGGCCCTCGATACGGTCTATTGATGGATGCTGTTTGATTAGAGGGTGGTTGAATGCTTCCTCTCCGAAATAGCCGTTTACAGTGTGTCCAATCTTGATGGCGTGGACAGGTGCTTCGGCAACTTGGGTCAAATCAAAAGCAATGTCTCCCGCCGAGACAGATGCCCCTACAACCACGGTACGCTGCTCATGTCAGTATTTTATCGTTGGAGATTTTACTTTCAAAATAGTAGCTACTTACTTTGCCTTTGAACAGATGGTTGCCTCGAAAGTGCTTACTGTGCACAACACTCCCCGGGCGCGACTTTTGTAGCTGTTCCAACCCCGGAATGGCAGGAATATAAGGAACAGAATAATGGCCTGTGGCAACAATGACGGCATCAAAATACTCGCTCCACCAATAATCTTGAGTCTTGCCCTCTTTGCGTAAAGTGAGCTTCCACTCCCCATTGATTTTCTCGGCTCGTTCGACGGTGGTGCTGTATGAGACGTAGTCTTGATAGCCATTCCTCTCCACCAGACTCGCAACGTAGTCACGCATGACGCGCCAGTGTCTGAATGGTGTATCTTTTCCATGAAGCGCTATCGACCGTTGACTTTTCTCTGGGGGTATGGGTTCCTGGCTAAACTCCATCGGGAGCGAATCAATGTTGGTCTCGAGGTATGGGTACACCGACGACTCAGTAAAGCGCGGCTGGTCGGATTTGGGTGTAAATGCGGGCAGCTGCGCTGGAATAGGAAGCGGCACGTCAGCAGTTCGTTTGGCGAGCGCATCAAAGTTAGTCTCTGCGGGTGGCGCCGTGGTATCGCCTATCCTTGGGTGTCATTTGTAAGTCCCTCGTCTTCTCATGCTGGGCGGTCTATACACACCAACATCCTCCCAGTCCTTCGCGACGCTCAAAAACTCTTATGATATCAAAGGTTTTCTCACGGGCCAATGCATCTATTGTAATGGCGCCAGCAGGGCCGACGCCAATCACGGCCACGCGCTTTACTGGAGATGAAGACATTGGTGCATCATGGGCTGTGAGATCAAGTGGTGGTCGACGGATGCCGAGACCGGAGACCTTTATACTTGCCCAACCAGCCAGTCTCGGTATTCATTTGCCAGATTTCCTTCTCCTCTTCGATTTATATGGTGGCTTGAGCGCACGCCAGGCGAATCGTTGATCACGCAATCGCCTGGTCTATGCTGCCAAGGACATGACACCCAAACAGCACAACATATGTATTCAGAATACGCCTCTTGATTCAGCTGTTTTATAAATCATCTCCAACTTTATCCGTACGAAGCGCTCATATGGTGGTTTTAGCGGATCACTTGCACGTCAGGCGAATAGTCGATCACGCCATAACATTGTCCAAGTCGCTAAAATTCATAACATCCAAGCAACGGCGCAAAGAAATATACTACCATGGGTATCAGATTTTCATTCACTAGAGAAGCAAATTACACGGAAACAAGCTTAAATATTGACTCTGGCGCAGATACCGATACCGATAGCTAGCCGTGGCCGCAAGGGTTCTCGAAAGGGCACACACCGCTCTGACTATTAAATGCGCAGCAATTCAGTAATAAATTTTCTTCTCGTGAATCAAAAAAAATGCATATCGAAAAGCATATTGGTAGCGCTTCACAGAGTGATTCGTCTGGAATCTGGGAGATATCAAAGTCGCAGGATGAGCAACAACACATCACCGATACCTCTCCATCTGTGGATTATGGCTCCAGCTTGGGAAGAACAGCACGTCGCAAGTAATGATAATTTTCGCCCCTCGAATCCCTTCTTTGACGGCTATTGACAGTTTTCACAGGGTCGACATTTCTGTCTTGGTCGTTCTCTTTCTCGGCCTTCTCGTTTTCCAGCTTGACCGCATGAATCTCGCTAGTGCATTGACAGGCGGGTTCGCAAAGGACATTTCGATAAATCAAAGTACCGTCAATCTGGGGAACCAATTGATGTTTATGAGCACTGTGATATTCGAGATTCCGTGCAACATGATTCTCCAACGGGTAAGACAAAGTGGAAGCCCCCGGAATCACACCATGTGGAATTGACATGCCCTCTGAAGCTAGGCCCTAGAAAATGGATTGCTGGCCAAGTCTTTGCATTTGGTCTCACAGCAACAATGCAAGTCTTTGTGAAGAATAGGGCTGGCTTCCTGGCGGTGCGATTGATGCTTGGCTTCACTGAGGCCGGCTACATTCCCGGTTCTATATATACGCTCTCCACATGGTATACGCCGAGTGAATTGGCCAAGAAAGTGGCCATTTTCTTTTTTGGCATGTTTGGCGGAAACGCCCTCAGTCCGGTGCTTGCATCTGGAATCCTTCGTCTGGATGGAATGCAAGGGCTTCGTGGTTGGCAGTGGCTGTTTCTAAGTATTCAACCCCGTCATATTTGGGAGGATCATGACCCGACTAACATGTATGTCTAGTCGAAGGGCTGTTTACACTCTTGATCTCGTTTATTATTATTCTATGTCTGCCGCATAGTGTTGACGAGGCATCACCGCTCGTGGGACCTGGTATCGTTCGGCTTTCGAGCGCCGAGAAGGAGCTGCTTCAGAGCCGACTAGCCGCAGAAAAGGGTCCTCAGAAGGAGGACGAAGAGGTCATGGACTGGCAACTTATCTGGAGGGTCGTGTCTCACTATCGCCGCTGGCCAACATACGTGTCCTCCTTTTGCGTCTTTTCAACTTGGTCCCCACTGACAACTTACACGCCATCAATCATCATGTAAGTTGAACTAAGAGCTTCTTCTCTGATGCCTTGCTCACGCTTTTTTTTTTCTCGCCAGGTCTCTAGGGTTTGCACGCATAGAGGCCAATGCTCTCGCAGCCGTGGGTGCCTTTCTGGCACTTGCCGTAGTATTCTTCTTCGCATATGTCAGCGACAGGACCAATCTCCGCGGCGGCACGGTCATTTCCGCGCAAGTCTGCTACCTCATTTGTGTCGTTGTCGCCCGACAAGTGCATCCGGTGGTAGGCAAGTGGTCACGCTGGGGATTGTGGACAGCAGTGAATAGCTTTGCAGTTGGCTACCACCCAGTGTCGAATACGTGGCTCCAACTGAATTGTCGCGATCGACGAGAGCGCAGCATTGGTATCGCGTAAGTGAGGTTGCTAAGATGAGGCAAGAAGACATTACCCATTGGGCAGTGGCTAATATGGTTGCACCGTTTCTTCTAGCATGTGGGTAATGTCCTCCATTAGTGGTTTGATGGTTGGCACGCAATATTTTCAGGCGAATGACTCTCCATTGTAAGTCACTGAGCTCGTTGGCTTGTTCTGTTCTGTTAGTGTTGCGCTGTTGCTGACAATACATACCTTGGCTGCAGTTATCACACAGGTTTACGCACTATAATCATCATGATTGTCATTGGCATATTTTTTGCGGCTTTCCAAATTGGTGTTTATATAGTACACAACCGCCGAGTGGCAAGAAAAGAGGTTCGGGGTTTTGGTAGTGAGGCGACGACTATTGTCTATGTTCCTTGAGCAATCAAGGGCTTATTGTCATTGACTTGAAGGACGGCATAAATGATTTAAAATGGCCCGATTTGATACGCCTTTTCAGCCACTATCGATAGCTCTGTAATATTGGCCTTCGTTCCCAAGCCGTAGCCAACAAGAAGGTGCATATAGTCGCCGAGTTAGCTCAACCCCTGGCTTGTGCATAAGCATGTGGCAAGCCACATTTCTTCAATGGATGTTGCTGAATGAAGATGGCGGCTGCCGTATTTGGAATCAAAGATTTAATTTCCATCGGTGATGACACCTACGAGTAGATTGGGATTGTATTTCGGCTTTGAAAAAAAAAAAAACAAGGGCACAAAGCTCAGAAGTCTTCAAACTTGGAAGAGAAGCGAAAAACCCCCAGGCCTTCCTTGGCCTATGTTCAGGCTAGCCAATTGTTGATTTGGCGTGTTGAATTAGGTAGGCATTGTATTGTCGTTGGCGTCAAGTCACGACGCAAATTATCAGAGAATCAGCACCTACACACGGTATCTGAGTGCAATTTTTCCATGTCTTTATCTTTTCGGCACTCGCTTTCTGTTACGCAAAGACCTTCTTAAAAAAAAGAATAAGGCACGTCAAAATGAGTCGCAACGTCGCTTTAGAAGTCTGTATTTTATTTCAGAGAATTAATTGAATTCTGCACCGCCCATCTCTGCCATCTCTGCCATCTCCACTGTGTTCCGCCAGATACCCCGCTAGCATTCAGCCTTTGCCCTTCCTAGAAGGTGGGACGGCGGTGGCTTGCGGCAGTACACCAAAATTCTGGGATGCTTCCAAACTTTTGGCCATCATCTCGACATTTGGCGCCGACCCTACGCTCGACAATTCAAGCCCTATTACAATGGGTAAACGGGCTTCAGGGACGAGTGAGGGCGCTGCCGCTTACAACAAGCGCCAAAAGACATATCACGATGTCCCGACTGGCGAGGATGTCTATGCCAGCGACCAGCTGAGAAGGCTACTGGCATTTGATCAGAACATTCGAAATGCACGACACGGTATGCTCGCTTGCCCAATGCTTTCTCATCACGGCTTTCACTCTAACTTCAATAGGCCTTCAGTCTTTCAAGAACCTTCTCGACCAAATCAAATCTGCGGGGGCCGACCGCGAAGCCAAACTCGCCATTGTCCGTGGCTACCTCCAGTCTGTCCAACCCCGAGATACCGGTGAAGAGGCCGTCTTCCTCAACGATATCATGGAGATGTGGTCATTTGCCTCGCAAGTCAATGACGACGGCGTCATGTCATCTGTCTCCGTCGTCCTGGCTCTCCTGCTTCAGGTCATCTCCGACAACCTCGACATGGTTCCCTACGGACTCGGCATTTGCCAAACGCTTCTGCAAGAGCGCCAGCTCAAATCGTTGTCGCGCAACCTCTCGGCCGAGAAAGGCAAGGGATTCATCATCTCTCCGACCCTGCGACTGCTGCGCGAAGCAGTTTGCCTCGATGGCGGTGCCTTTGCGAAGCGCATTTTCCGCGCCCGTGCATCTACATTCGCATCGCTCGCCAGAAACCTCGAGATTGTACATGCTGGCGATGCTCCCGAGGATGTGCGCAAGGCTTCGGTTCGTACCAATGCCGTGCGCTTCTTCCTAGCCTGCCTCAAATTTCTCAACGCAGATGGGCGCAAGGAGCTTCTTGCCCAAAAAGAGCTATTGTCGCACGTTACTTTCATGATGAAGAATGACCCGCCGTTCCTGGCAGTGGAAATTATCACCTCGCTCAAGACCAACATTCTCATGGACTCCAAGCTTGCGCGCGATACCAAGTTCAAGAGCTTCAACACCAAGACTTTAATGCGCTTCCTCGGACTATACACTTACAGCTACTCCTCTGCCGCCCCGGACGACGTCAATGAAGTCATTGAAAAGGCTCACCAGTTTCTCGTATACGCATGCACAAATTCCACAGCTGGTGTACTATATCCATCCAAGGGCTTGTATCCAAAGGAATCTGGCGAAGAGAGCTCGACGTCGCGTCACGCTAGTCGAGCCAAGGCCGACGGCAATCTCTGGGCCGACAAGTTTCGCGATGGTGTCCCCGTCTACAATTTTGTTCTCTCCGAATTCGCTAGTAAGCTTCGTCCATGGTCGAATTTGAAACACAATGAGCTCCTCGTTGCCATATTTCAAGCAGCCCCCGAGCTCATTGCCGACTACTTCTTCAATAACCGCTCCTTTACTTTTGAACCAAAGTTGACCATGACTTGGATTGGCTATGCCGCATTTCTTTTCAACACCATGACGATACCTCTGCCTCCCGCTTTTGGCGATGCTGCTCTATACGCCAACACCCCTCCTCCTACTTCCATTCTCCTCGACAACATCATTCCTCAGCCCATCAATCAAAAAGTCTTAATCCGCTGCTTGTCTCCAAAATCTCACCTCACATCCTTCTTTGCTACAAGAATCCTTGTTCAGGCACTCGAAAAGCTTGCAGTGGCTCTGAAGATGCACGAAGACGGGGAAAGAAAAAAGAAGCCAATCTGGACAGATGCTTCAAGAAGATTAATAGACTCCTTCTGCCAAAGGATACCAGATATGAAGGAAGTGGTTCGCTGCTACAAGGGTATCCCCACCGAGAACGCATTGCATAAAACATTAGCGAGTCGACTACTTCGGCTTTACTACGAAATTGTGCCGCGTGTGGCACTCGCTGCCAACTTTGATGTCTCGCCATTCTTCGTCGAGGTACTGGGGAGTATTCAAAATCAGAGCAACGACCCAGTCACTGCCTCGTACGCAGTCATGGAGCTCAAGAACTTGGTGTCAATCGCCAGCTACTCTCCCGGTATGCGATGGTTTGTCAAGACAAGCAGCAGCAACGGTGGAAAGGGCTATTCTGCCTTTACATCACTACTGCAAATTCTGTGCGAGAGTGACGACACTGCCCCCTTGGCCCAGCTGCAGTCGGTGCTCGCTGACGTAGCTATCGAGAACCAGATTGTGGCCAAGGACACGAGGTTGGTCGCTCTATTACGTGCTCTACGCTGTGCTGCCTCGGATTCAAAGACTGCGAATATTCCCTGGGCGTACTTGGACAACTGCGTCACGAGGTGTGCTGGCTCGCCGATCAAGTACCTGGAGCAAGTCAACACGCTGCCCAAGAATGGGCAGTTTAGTCTGCTCAATATCGTTCTGCAAGAGCAATTGTCTTTTGCCCTCGATGGCGCTGACAAGACAACAATAACTGAGATTGGAAAATTCCTCTCCTTGTATTTCAACGCTTTGAGTCTCACAGGAGAGAGCAAAGATCACGTCAAAGAGAGCTATTCCAAAATCTCGGAGCAAATATCAGCGACAAAAGCGACCAAAATGGCCAGCCTGGGCGATAAATCAGAAAAGAAGGCATTGCAGCGCATCGCCATCGAAGAAGAGCCCGAGTCGAGCACCTTGGCCGAGGCCAGCGTCCAGCCCGGTGTCATAGTCGACGAAGCGCGCCTCGAGGAAATGCTTCACCAGGATTTCACCCTCGAAGACGACAACAGCGCACTCGTCAAATGGTCCGCGAAGAACGTCGAAGACCTCGTCGAAGACGGCCTCGCCGCCGGCCTCGTCAAGCTGCTCGCCTCGCCGCACACCAGCATCCGCAAAGAAGCCCTCACCAACATTCTCAAAATGGCCGCCAAGATTAACGAATCGTCCTACGACGAGAAGAAGCAAGTCTGGCTGCTCCTCTCCGAGCTCGCCGAGTCGAGCCGGCCTCACGTCGACGCCGGCCCCGTCCCCTCGTCTTTCCTCTCCTTCACCGCGCACGCCCTCGACATCCTCAAGAACCCGCTGCACCCGCTCTACCCCAAGATCAACGCATTCCTCGCCCGCAGCCCCGTCTGGCCCCGCGACAAGCTGCCCATGGCGCACGACATTTTGCACGGCAGCCCCGGCGACGACGACCGCTACTACACGGAGCTCGCGTGGCTGCTCGCGCACCTCCTCGACAGCCTGCGCACGCCCGCCGACCTCGCCGTCTTTCGCAGCAAGCGCTGGTTCGAAAAAGTGCTCGCCCTCGCGGCAAACCCGTACCTGCGCGCCAACTTGAAAACGCGCATTCTGCGCATCGTGTACCGCGCCACGCGTATCGATGGCGGCAGCACAACGCTGATTACGCGGTTCGGCGTCATGAGCTGGCTCGCGGCGCTGCGCGCGGGCTGCGTGGCTCCGGACGATAGGGCCGTCTACGCGGCGCTGATGCGCAGGGTGTGGGAGACGTGTGACCAGGCGCGCGTCACGGCGTGGAGCAAAGGCGGCATTCAAAAGCTCTTGGAAACGACGCTGGGTTAGTGCATGGCGGTAGTTATTGGCGTTTCATCTTTGAATTTTCATCATGTGGGTGGGTGGATGAGTGTAAAAAGCATAGGTAGATAGATGGCTAGCTGATGAGCCGGCGTGTAGATTGGTAGACTTACAATTAACTCGAGCCAAATTTCAAGGAATCATTATGACCTGCAACGTATCAAGATCAATTGGTACTATTATTCTCTTTAAATCCCAAGAAAGTTTCCAAAAAGAAAAAAATATGCAGATTGAGATACAACAAAGACAAAACTATGCAAATCCCAACACTAAGACCAAAAACAATGAAGACAAACTCCTCTTGTTCCCTTTTGCAGCCGCGCCTTGTTAAAAGACCAGAGTTGCTTTACTGAAAACGAAGATTACGCATATATTCCTGCCGTCAAAAAGATTTCCAAAACAAGATATTTAGAGCAAAGATGACAAAATTGATAGATGGCCGTTGGGGGGTTCCTCCGTGCCAAGAAGCACTCCTTCGTCCAAACCCTCTCCCCCCAGAAAATTATTTGTATAGTAAAAGATGAGCCGCTTCTGCTGTGTTTCGACATGCGGCACGTATATAACACGAGGGTATTTCAAGTAAATATTTTGTCATCATCAAAATGAAAGAGCGCATCGTCAGCCCTTTACAGCTGACCAGAGAGCAGTGCTTCGGTGGCGCTATTGATGTATTGTCTCTTGGCGTCAAGAGGTACGTCGAAACGTCGCTCGAGCTCCTGCTTGATGCCCTTCTTGGTAACGGTCATCAGATCGGCCGTCTTGAGAATCTCGCGAATCTCAGCCAACAGCGCGTCATCACTAGGCAGGCCAACCATGTCTTCCGGAGAAAAGAATTGAGAGCCGCCGTATGAGCTCATGCGGTTGGCACCCATCTCAGAGTGAGCAAACGACATGCGAGACATGCTGCGAGGGTCATGGGACATGTGTGGCATTTGCGGTACCAGACCAGTCGTTGAACCAGGGCGGCTAGGGAAGCCATACTCGGAAACGTGAGGGTGGGCCTTGGTGGCATAGCTGTAGCCCGAGACTTCCGAGCGCGTGTCGTCGCGAGAAGTCTGAGTCTCCCAGAGCTCGGCCTGGTAGTCCTCCCACCTCTTGCGGGGAATCGTGCTGGGGTCAAACTTGCCCTCGTCAGAAACGATGACCTTCTTGCCCTTCTCACCAGCCACGACACGAGTGTTACCCCAGGCAAAGTCATCCATGTTCCAGAAAGCGTACAGGGGAAGACCAAAACTGAACACAGGAATGGCAAGGATATACAAAATCATCCAACCAACCATTTCCCACTTGCGGCGCAAGATGAAAATGATGGCCTGGAGACCATAAATGACACCAAGAAGAATAAAGGCCGTCACTGGTACGACACTGGTGTTTTCAATGACGAGTACAATCAGGTAGACGATATAGGCGAGGGTGACGGGTTGGACGATGGTGCTGAGCAGGTCGATGAAAACGACAAAACGCATACTGAAACAGCAGAAACCGCAGAGCTGCGCCATGGGAATCAGCTCAACGAGGTTGTGGACAGTAGAGTTGATCCAACGACGACGCTGTGAAAGGAAGACCTTCCACGAATCAGGCGCGATAGTCCAGGCGTGAGCAGTAAAGATATACTTGGTCTTATACTTGTTGTGATACTTGAGCAGCAAGGTTGTGAGGTAACGATCTTCACCAAGGTGCAACAAGTTCTTCATATGCAGAGTGTCAACACGAATGGTGGAGTAGTCCTCCACGATCTCGCGGCTGACGAACAAAGGCTTGCCAGTCTCCGCGGCACGAATTCGGTACATGGAGAAACAGCCAGGTAAACAGGTGACGGAACCAAAGAGCGACTCGAATGCCTTGGAAAGGTTGTGCGAAATGTAGTACTCGTAAACCTGGATCATAGTGATGAAGGAAGACTTGGAATTGGTAAGGGCAGTCTCACCGCAAACCGCAATCAAGCGCGTGTCATCAATGAAAGCAGACACCATGCGGCTGGCAGAGTCCGGGGCGACGACAGTATCGGCATCAATCTGTAGCATAAATTCGTAAAAGGTGGGGTTAACACCGATGATGTTCCGAATTTGGTGGTACATTTCAAGTTCCATGGGACTCATGGCAAGATTGTAGTGAACACGGTTCAGGAAGCGCATGACGATCATCTGGGAATCACGCTTGCCACGGTTGCCGGGACGGCCAACCTCGGAAGGCTTACCAACCTTGACAATCACCAGGAAAGGAACAATGTGACCTTGGACTTCATAGAGACCAGAATAAACCTTGCCCATGTTGTGCTGCTTGAGACCTTCACCGAGAGACTCGAAGCTTAGAGGCTCAGGATCAACGGTGTCGGCAACTCCGAGAATGTCGAGTACGATGCGAGGCGTGGGACGATCGTTTCCTTGGCCAATAATCATACCGTCACAAACAATAACCAAGAGTTTGCGTTTATCATCATACTTCATTCGAGCAGCCGAATCAATGGCACGGCGAAGAGAGTCTTCGTCCTCGGTGTAGGCCGGGATCTGGCAGATGACGAATTTGTCAAGATTCTCAGGCATGCTCTTGCCTCCAAACTGCAATGCAGCAATGAACTTGAATGCGATGACGGAAACCAGCAAAATTGTGACGGCAAGTACCAAGTAAGTTGCCAGCTGGCACCGGGTTGAGTTCCGGGTATCGACATCACCGACATAGAAGAGATTGTCAAGACACGTCTTCATTCTTGAGCGCATTGCGGCATCCATGGCCAAAGAGTCCCAGTATTTTGTCATGTCCGAGCCAGAACGAACCTGGAACATTTGAACGACGTCGTCACTCATGAAGTTTGCGAGACTTGCGTCATCGGGAAGCGACTCGCCAGCCTTGGCCAGTAGTCGACGACCGCCAGCCATGTAGGTGGTGAGGTCGTAGACGCGGCCGTCTATGATACCAATTCTTTGTTGCTTCTCGTTGAGCTTCTTCACGTATTGAGGCGTGTAACCGACAGTGCCTTTCTTGAAAAGAGCACGCAGCATGGTCATTTGTTCGAAATACCAATCAGGACGAGTATCATTGGTATAGTAGCGAAAGTCATGATATTTGGCGTTGAGGTCCTGGGTGCTGATAAGGGCAGGGGAGATGCCAGTAAAGTTGTTGTTCTTGTAGTCGAGCGTGACTCGAGGATCAACATCACCGTCTTTGCCCTGGCAGAGAGCGCTGACTTGGATAGGGAAGAGAGAGCTGATGTCTAAGCCAGCATAATTGGTAAGTAGCTTCGGGTTGAGGTAAGGCGGGTAGTGTTGAGGAACATAGGCAGACAAATCGAACACGTATCCGCGAATGGAGACCAAGGCACCCTTGCTTCCGGACTTGCCATTGTATGAAGACAATTCTGATGGGCTGTACACATGTTGTTTGGGGCAAATAAGAAGGGGAAAGACGACGATGAAAAAAGCGGCAACCAGGCAGAGGAGCCAAATGAGAAAGTTGATGGCAAGCTTCTCACGCCAGGCCATACGTACATCTTTACGGGGCATACGGCCGATCCAGCGAATGAGAAAATCAGGGACGAACCAAGTCAACAAGTAGACGAGGAAGACCCATCGCTTGCGACTCGGGCTGTCCTTGTACTCTTCGACTTCGACTAGGTCCTTTTCGTTACCTCGTTCAGCCATCTGCTCGCGAGTGTCAAAGTTTTTGAACATGTCACCGCCACCAATGGCAGAGACACCGGCCTCGGAGCGAGCATCATCACCTGCGGCAAAGTATCCGCTCTTGGTCTTCTCGCCCGCATACATGAGGGGAGTGTTGCCACCAGAGACGAGCTGCTCCTTGGAGGCAATAAAGGGATTGCGCTCGGGAACACCATAACTTTCGCCATCAACAGAGGCCATGCCCGGCCGAGCAGAGCCGCTGGCGGTCAGATGAGCAATCTCCATCCAGCATCGCTCGCTGAGGAAGACACCGGTGGAGCCAATCTGCACTTCATTGCCCGGCCAGCGCCTTTCTTCAATGACAATCTCAGCGCGCTCACGCTCGCTACCAACGAGAATAGTCTCTGAATCGACAAGACCAAGAAATTCGCCGAATGGCACGAATAGACTAAAATCGGCGGAGCGCAGGCGCTGGCTGATCTCGGCAATACCAAAAGTCTGAACCTGAGTCCTGACACACTTGCTGTCAAATTGGTTGGCAATGCGACGGTCATTGGGTTTCAAGCAAAAGACAAAGTAACAGTTGGTACCAGGGTCGGTGACAGCTTTTTGGACGTTATCCAGAGATGAGAGGAATTGGCCGGAAGCACCCTGTTCAATCCCAGTGGTGGTAGCGCCGCGACGCTGATCTTTTTCGCGGGATTCGCCGAGCTGCTCGAGACGATCAAGAGCGTCCTGCTGCTCTTGACGGCGGCCAGCCGTTGGTGGCCGAGCTCTGGTACCCTTCCGGGACATGACGCTGGGGGCACGAGTAGGTTTGGAGCTGACCGAGGCTTGCATAACGGTCGTTCTCTCATTGGGATGAGTGACAGTTTGGAGAGCGTCCTGGCCGAAAAGGCGGGCAACGAATTCGCTCTTGGTTGTGTTGATCATGTTGAGCAGATCACCGGAAATGAGCTCGCCGTTCTCTTCAATAAGGCCCTTGACAGGGTAGTCAACTTCACCAGCAAAGTGCTTGACGGTGAAGGTAGCGGCTGTATTCTCGGTCATGAAGTTGCTCCCAGGCAACTTGGCAGTGGCGGAGCCAATGTCAATAGCAGAATTTTTGCCTTCGAAGCGCTTGCGGAAGCTCTCGAGAAGCTGCATGTCGGTGCGGTTACGACGGGTTTGGTCATCGAGAATGCTGAGCAGGCCATTACCAGGCTTGAGCAGACCCTTGACAGCATCGGAGTTGTCAAAGTAGGATGTAGGGGCAACACTGACTTCCTCGGACTCGAGCATCTCGGCCTTGCGGTCAAAGAAGTTGTGAAGTGTGACATTGTAAAGAGCCTCAGTGGCAGCGTTGTTGAGGAGCTGGTCAAGAACCGATCTGGTGGAGCCCTGCTGGACGAAACCGGGGAAGTCTACAATGGAGATTGTGTTGGCGATGGACTCCTCGGGAGCACACAGACGCTGATTGGCCGATTCCATGATCCAGGCAACAAGCAGAGCATAGAGGGTTCTGGCGAGCTCATTCGCATGAGCGCGAGCGCCAACTGGGTCAAGCATGACGGTGACTCGCTCCTTTTGAATCATTTTTGTCTTGTAGCCGAGAGTGGTTTGCAAATCATTGGAATTGACACCCAGAAAAGCGGCAACAATAGCAAGGACATCCTTGTTCTTGACTCCGGTGAAGGAATTGGCACCTTCGTGGGAGAAGCCACCGCTGTCGCCGCCTGTGGCGCTGGTGTCGTTTGCGTTTTCGAATTCAAGCTGACCAATGTGGAGAATGGCAGCGAGTATTTGGCAGATCTCGGCAATATCGTTACGAGGGAACTCAAGCTTCTTGAGGGCATTTTTGAAAAGCTGAAAGCCGTCGGCATCATTGATACCAACCTTGAGCTGGGTTGGGTGACCAAGATACTTCCAACGTGTGGTGCCGACAACGGGGGAGTCGTCCAGACCAAGATGGGTCTTTTCGGCCGGGCTCGTTCCGGCGAGTAGATAGTAAAGGGCGTGGAAGTTGCGTTCACCGGTGGGAACATCGGTGATTCGGCTTCTTTCTAGTCTGTGGTCGAGGAGTTTACCACCAATGAGGATAGGGTTGGTAGTGGAAGCAGTGTCGTATTGCAGCTCGTAAAAGAGACCGGACTTGGAAGCAGTGGGGGTAGTGGCGGTCTTTGTCGTCGTGAGGGTATCGAAGACGTAGGCGGCGAGAGAGAGCTTGCTGGAAAGAGGAGTTGACGACTTGTTGAGCAAGGCAGTAAGGAGGTGTGAGCGGATCGTAGACTTGCCCGAGCCTGATTCACCACTGTAGACATGTACGTTAGCTCGAGCATAAAATATGATGGGCAATGTTGTCGAGCGTGTCTTCTTACAGGAATACGACGGCTTGGTTCTCGGAGCGATGGCCAAGTCTCAGCCAGGCACGGTCAGCCATGTCCTCGGCGCCAGCCATGGCGCTTCCCTCTTTGCCGCCATCGGGACCCTTGGACGAGGAGGTGTAAGTGTTGAGACAGACGAGGCCGTGTGAGGATAGTCGAGCTGTGGGATGAGCAACGTGGAAACGACTGGCGAGATGAGCGGTGATGTGTGTATCGGACTGAAGATGAGTCGGCAAGGAGGGCAACGAGTCCTGGGTGTGGGCGCCTCCGCCGAGATTCAGCATATTGGAAGCCATGTTGGGCGAGCAGCCAAGAATTGGCTCTCGGGGAAGCTAATCGAGGCTGTCGAGAACTTGAAGTCCAGGCTGATGAATGCGATATAATGGGAAAAGGGAGAGATGCGGATCACGGCCGGCTTCGTGTACTGGGGCGTGTTGCGTACGACGACCGTGTCTGAAACAAGACGTCGGTGGGCGTGTAGGAGGACGAGCGAGAGGAAGCCCAAGATGTGAGCAGAGCGAGAGAGGTGCGACAGGAGCCGGCAGAGAGGAAACGAAAGGTCAGGAGAAAGGGGAGTCGAGAAAGCAAAATTGCCCCGCGGAAGGGAATAAAGCAGCGCTGGCAGGAAAATGCAGCTAGAAGATGGTGTTGTGATGGCCAAAGCAAAAGGAAAAAAAGATTCCAAGTTTTGTGCAGTCGGGCAGACTAGGCAGGCCAGAGGTCGACGGGGGGGCGCAGCTAACAGGAAAGGTTACCAGGCTCAAACCAGAGGGCCAGCCAACTGATTCCAGTCAAGTGGTTGCCAGTTGGCAGCCGTAGTGGCACTGGCAAGAGGCAGAGACGGTGGTGGTTTGTCAGTTGAGTGGAAATCGGGGCACAGCCAAGGTACCGTCGTACCGCTACAGCAGTTTGACAGCGAGGTACCAAATTAAGCAGTAAGACAGGGGACGGGGAACAGCCATGGAGAAGCACGCTTGACGTCCAAACAGACCAAAGCTCGTGTTAGCTCGCGCTAGGGGCCTTTGGGGGGTCATGAATGGAGTCCAATGGGGACGCGCTGGGGAGGGGTGGGAGGGGGGTGTGTCCTTGCATTCACGGCTCTGCCCGAGTACGGCTGGCCTTGGAGGACAAAAGCGCAGTTTACATTGTATTTGTTAGTAGCTACTAAAATCGCCATGGCAAATCGCCTTCAACAGAGGCCACGACTCTGCAAATCAGCGGTCATCCCCTCTACGGCTACTAACATTGGCCACTGCAGGTGCGACTTTTTCGTGCCCATTCTGTCACAACAAAATGGATGCCTCATAGATGGGCATCGTCAACGTCACAATCCGAGCAAATAGCCATCATCATTTCAGAAATCAATCAACAATCGGCTTCTGGCCTCGATCCAAGTTCCATCTTCTGCACCATCTATGGCGTTATGATGTTTATATTTATACACATCATCATGAACCTACATATTCTCCGCGTGGCCCGCATTCCACTACATCGCCGTTGCACAGGGAGAGCAAAATGATCGCTGCTTTGCTTTGACCTGGCCAGTCTCCTGTCCTTTGCTACTGACTGCATCGTGATTCGTCATGACTCTTGCGTGGGGGGTCTAATTTTCCGCTAATGCTCATGACCAAGACAACCTGTCGATGGGTGTCGCAACACTCGTAATTAGTTTGAGACCTTGACAAACCATCTGAATACTGTCAACGCGAAAACTCTGCTGAGTACCAGCATAATAAGTCTTGCAGCAAAGCATGTCCGACGGACAAGTGTCAAGTTCGAATTTGCATAGTCCCGCCCCCTGACCGTCAAGGCGCATCATCTCGTCTTTGTGCAAAGGCCGAGCTCAGGCGTTAACCACATGGGGCAACAGCACAATTTTAAGTGACGATGCTAGCGCGATAAATTGAGGGCCGCAGCTACGCGGCAGCGGTTCCTGGCCGCCAGCATGAATCTTTGAGTTGCTTTGTTTTGTGTTCACGGCATCGGTCCAACAGGAACGGTCAGGACGGCTTGAATAACCAGCTTCCCAGCCCGCGTCAAGTGGTCACAAGCAAAAGCAACCACAGGAAGCAGAGCCTTGTTTTTTAGGCTGCTGTTGACTGGCTGACATGGACTTCAGCCTGCTCCCATTTCCGGCCGGGCAACCCTGAATATGGGGTCGTCAACAAAAGCCCCTCGGGAACGGGCGAATGCGCCTACCAAGTAGATCAATTCCGGCAATCGAGTGCAGAGTACGAAGTATGATGCGCATCTTGACAGCCCGACAGGGCTCGATTCCAGGTATGCGTATGAGTACAGTTTCCGTACTCAGTAAATACACTGTTGGATGTGCGCAGGCTTCCCACTGCTGGAGCAGGCAGCTCAGTCGAGCAGCTCACCCCATGCCGTGCTACGGGCAAGATTCAATGTAACGCTACAGAGTGCAGAATGCAAGACGCGACATCGTGCGGACATTTGCGGTGAACAAGGCCCTTTGGCAGAGTTATTGTTGTTTACTAATTATACGTCTTGATAAGTATTTACTGGTAGTTGGTGTGCGACATGCTTTGACAAACCCGGGGTGGAAACAGCGGGATGAACGCATTCCGAGCCCCAACCAGACTGCATGATAATTCTTCCGCATAACATGGGATGGAGGCTGCATTCACACCGGTAGGAGCTCGCACCAGCGAAGTAATTGTTTTTTAGTGAGCTGCCATCGATCGAGTCTTCAGAATCTACTTGTTTAGAAACCCAAGTCTCAGCAGCCTTTGGCGGGCCAAATGGTCGGGTAGACCCAGAAATTGGGTGCGTATCCCGATATAGAGTCTTGAGATCTACCAGTGCACAGCCTTGGACGGATTAGCAGTAAACATGTAGCGTATGGTGGACAAGTGGTGGTGTGTGCACGGAAATGTGGCGTGGCATAGCAATTGTATCAGTAGGGATAGTTTTTTTGTGCTGGGTTGACTGGCACCTGGGCATATTGGCACAATACGAGAAAGAGGCTGCGTTTCGCCACGCATGATGCGCCATGCGCCAAGCACCAGCCCATAAATGAGTGGCTCTCGAGGTCGAACGGGTCAAAGGGATCCAGAAGAACTCCCAAACTCCCCCAAGGGATCACCAGAACCCGGACACCGGGGCATCCGCCAGTATTTATTCCTTTTTTATAAATACGCAGTTTGACACACACGACACGACAGCCACTTCGTATTCTGTGCTGTCCCTGTTTTTTCGACAAGGAATACGGATACAGAGCCTGCTTATTAATAACGTTATATCCGTAGATGCATCGCATTCTTCATCTTGACAAATGGTATTTTTTTTCTTCACTTTTTTTTTTGTGTCCCCAGCTCCGCACCAAATTTGATACTGTTCATGACCCCATCTACTGTTTTGTGCTTTGGCGATGCATGAATCAAATAAGCCATTCGAGTAGGTATCTTTTTCCCCAAGTACGTACCTACAGGGCCTGGTACCTAGGTATCCAGGCTAAGGTAGGTATCCTTCAGTCCCCGTGGCACCACTAGGTACGGAGCCCGTTCAGCTGCTCATCTCGCTTGGCGCCATTTTAGCTGAAGATGTAAATAGGCAAAAGAGCTGCAAGAGTGTCTACAGATCAGACATTGTGCCTTTTAGTATGCAGATTGACCTGGTAGTAGTCCCATTCAGATCCTCATATGTAAATGCATTCACAGATGATGTAAATATTTTGGTTTGCTGCGTTGCTACAGACCTACGGGCCTAGATACCTAAGTAGAGACAGGTACCTCCCAATATGCTGGTCACTGGTCACTGGTCAGTCCCACTGGCCCTGAAGCTAAGCACTGGGGTGGGCCGCCGCCTGCTAAAAATGGCGACGGGATGCTCAAGCGGCCACCCCCTGAAGCCTGCTGCGATGACTGCGCTTCTGGTCTGTTCCGCCGGCCGTATAATATTTTCTTGCTTTCTATTTTCACCTCTCTTCTGTCATGTCAGGCTGTCTCTCAGTCCACTGTAATCATTGTTCTTTGAGCGAGCGTTTGGGGAATCGTGCTGACCCTGAACTATTCTTGAGCAGCCTGTTCTTTGCTGCCCCTCGAACAGACTATCTAGTACGTAGTTACCAAATTAATATCAATGACTAGTTAGCAATTTAATCCGTAAATATTTAACCCAATATTTTGGCAATAGCCTTGCTCTGTGCTAGTAGGTATTTACAGGTACCTATCATTGTTTATTTAGCATGTTACAGTCCCCGTATTCCCTCTTCCATGCCTGTTAGTTGGCCGGTACCTTAGCTGCACCCACTCTTGCTACCTACCTACCTACGCCCATGCCCGCGCCACGCTGCCAAACCCTGCGTTGTGCCAGACCACCTCCATCTCTGTGATTCCAAGCCCAACTTTCCTCCTCAGTCTTTTTTTGCTTGTTTCACTGTTTTGCAGTCTCTCTCGCTGCTACTTCTGGCTTCAAACCAGTACTGCCTCACTCGCTTTGGCGGCCGCTATATTCTTCTCTTTTCACACAGTACAGTCGCTATCCCATCGTCCCACCCCCTTTGCGCCTCAGTCTTCTGTCCGTGCTGGAGGAGGGTCCTGATTTACAACGTTTACGCTCGCTTCCTTTTCCAAAGGCCGGCTTGTCACGTTTACGGGCGCTGTCATCGTTGGCATAATCCCTTACGCTGCCTTTGAGCATTTTGCAGCATCTCTCGAACGCGTCTCATGACAACTTGACAAACAGATAGCGTTTCGCCCGTTGCTCCAGCCTCAAGTTTACAAAGCCACAGCCGTTGCCGACGTTTTTCTCCATCTGGTTCGACTTCGACCCCCCTCAGCTCTTCTTGGAGCTTCATCTCTAGAACCCGCCGCAAACATGGCCAACCGAATGTCCATGTTTTCGGTCGCCTCTGAGGGCCATGGCAATAATCGCGGTCCTCAGACGGCTCAGGTGTCCACCACCACCCTCCTCAATACCATACACAACATTTATCTCTCCAGTCAACCTCACCAATTGGATTCGAGTACCAGTCTCGTAGTTAACACTTGGCTTACCGCTTCTCAAGGCGGTCCTACCGTCGATGCTGCCCTCGCCACCAGAGCCTGGGAGCACGCTCGCCGCCGTGCCGAGGATGCCTTGATCGTGCTTGGGTATGTCGACGCAGCTGCCATCTTTGCCGTTCTGCCCTTCCACGTCTCTAACATTTTCTATTAGATCTCTGCACTCTTCTACTCCGTCTGTCCTCGTTCCATTCATTTCTTCGATGCCATTTACGATTCCGAGTTCCGTCTTCAAAGCCCTCGACTCTGTTCAGCCATTCCTGCACTGTGTCACGCCGTACAACCCATCGTTTCCTCGCCATGTTGCTCTGAGCACCTCCTTCACCCTGAACCTTGCTGGAAACCTCACGGCTGCTACCCTAGCCCTCTCGCAGGGTGGAATTGATACCGAAAATGGTCTTTTCAGCATCCCTGCCGACGCCGGATACCGCGCCTTTGATGTCTTCTACTACTTGCTCACGTCTGCGTCTACCCCCGCCGAGCGCGAATTTCTCGGTCTCCGGGCTCCTTCAACCTATGCCCTTCTTGCTCGTTCGTCAACCTATACCCCGCCGGCATACTTGCCCACTGCCGACGATTCTGCCTCTGCCGACGACTTTCGCCAAGCCCTCAAGGACATTGGTATCAAGGGATCTGCTCACCGAAATTTCATCTCTACCCTAGCTGGTCTTCTGAAGCTTGGTAACACTCTCGACTATGAGCTCGAATCCGACTTCCTCGAGGAGCTCTGCGAAGAAGCTAGCGGTCTGCTTGGTCTCGAGCCCGCCGTCCTTACGACCAAGTGCAGTACCGAAGACCGACGCATCCTCGTCAGTGGCCTCTACGAGTCGCTCGTTGACTGGGTCATTTCCAAGGCCAACGCTGCCATTGCAGCGCAAATGACCCGAATTCGTGATGGTGACGAGTCAGCAGACGGCCGTGGCGCACGCACGCCCACCTCGGATGAGGACAATGGTGATACAGTCAGCCTTACTGTCATCGAAATTCCCGATCCAACTCTTGGCAAAGCTGTCTGCATGCGCTCCATCTTTGATGACTCTTGCGGCATCAACGCTGAGATGATCCAGGACGGCGTGGAAGCCTCCCCTGCTGGCTCCTCCGTCTTGAGAGAGATGCAGCAGGCTGTTGCTGATGTCGCCCCGGATCTGGGGATCATGACCGGTCCGGAGGGCCGCGAGCGCCAACGTGAGCTAGAACAGAGAGAGATTGTTCTAGAAAGAGTTGCACACGCCGCTGAAGATGGTGGCTTTATCAAAAGGCTTCTATTTCCCGTACAAGGCGAGGGCATCAACCTCGGCCGTGCTGGTCGGCTTGACCTCCCTCACATGCTTGCTTCTAGCCGCACCTGGTACCACCTGTCCCTTCACCCTACAGATGATAGCCCCGCCAGCCTAGCTGCTCTACCATCCATCACATCGGCCTGGTCTGCTGGTACCGTTTCTCGACAGCTGCGCTCATGGCGTCTGCCTGAATGGGCAAACCGTCGTAACCGACACCTTGATTATACTGCCGATTTTGATGTCGAGGAGTTCGTTACCCGCTACGCCCCACTCGGCTGCACTGATGGCAGGGATGGCATCGAAAGCTGGATGCTGGAACGCGGCTGGAGTAACGGCGAAATCTTTGTCGGCAAGGAGCGTGTTTGGATCCGTGAGTCTGCCTGGTGGGATGCAGAGACCATGCTCGACATGAAGCAAGGAGGCAGCGTCCAAGGCTTGAACACCAATCCTTTCAGCAGCGGTTTCGACACGTCTTACTCCAATAACGGCAGCGGGTTTTTCCCACCCCAGCCCATGGATAACGCATACAGTGCAAGCCGCGATGACCTCATGGGAGGACACTCTCGCAATGTCAGCCAGGCCAATGGCAGTCAGGCAGGCTTCCCTCAGCCCATGACTGTTGCTCCATCCATCGCCCCTACTTCCATGACCGGCATGCGCAATGTCAACAAAGGTGATTATGGACTTGGAAATAAGGGTGATACCTACAAGCCCGACGACTACGTTGATGGTGGCGATTACACTGGCGAACTCGACCCTGAGCTCGCCAAGAACAAGCACCTGGAAACAAAGCATACGACTGCGGGTCGCCGTGCTTGGGTAGCCGTCGTCTGGGCTCTCACATTTTGGATTCCTTCTCCCCTGCTCCGATACATTGGCCGCATGCGGCGACCCGACGTCCGCATGGCCTGGCGCGAGAAGCTCGTTTTGGTGTTCATCATTTTCATCATGAATGCCTTCATCGTATTTTGGATCATCTTCTTCGGTAAACTACTATGCCCGAATTTTAACAAAGCCTGGAACCAGAGTGAAGTGGCAAGCCACCAGGGCGGTGATACTTTTTGGGTCGGTATTCATGGAAGAGTTTATGACATCTCCGATTGGTGGAAGCAGCAGCACAGTGATGTACCCAACATCAAGACGACAACTGATATCATGGCGCCACTCAATGGCTTGATCATGGATAACTACTTCGTTCCTCCTCTAAACGTTGCGTGTGGCGGACTTGGAATTAAGGACACTACCCGACTCACACCCAACACCACAGTCGAGTACGAAACTGCTGTTCACACCTCTGGCTACTATGCACGATACCCCAACAGCGTTCTGCACACCGACACATGGTACTATGGAAAGTTTAAACCAAAGATCGACACTTTCTATCACGGTGACCTCGTCTGGAGCGCAAAGACTGTCAAGTCTGACGGCAAGGATAACCAGCACATGTGGGCCACGTACGGAGACGAAATCTACGATCTCACTGACTACTTTCACACCATTGATCTGAACACTGGCAATGATATATACCAGTTCATGAATAAGAAGATCTCGGATCTCTGGAAGAACAATCCCGGTCAGAACGTCAAGCAAGACCTTGATAAGGCGCTCGCCGACGCCAAGGCCAGTGGCGATACCGACTCTTACGACAACATGGTCAACTCGTGGAATTGTATCAAGAACTCTTTCTATGTGGGAAAGACTGATTTTAGAGAAAGCGCCCGATGCACAGCCAACAACTGGATCATGTTGGCTTTCACGATTCTCATCTGTGCCATTATTCTCGTCAAATTTGTGGCTGCTATCCGCTTCTCCTCCAAACGCCGTCCATCCCCTCAGGACAAGTTCGTCATTTGTCAGGTCCCCGCTTACACTGAAGGCGAAGAATCGCTGCGCAAGGCGCTTGACTCGCTCACTGCACTGCAATACGACAACAAGCGCAAGCTCATTTGTGTCGTTTGCGATGGTGTCCTCACTGGCCAGGGCAACGACCGCCCGACGCCCAAGATTATTCTTGATATTCTCGGTGTTGATCCCAAGGTCGACCCCCCCGCTCTACCCTTCAAATCTGTCGGTGCTGGCAGTGAGCAGCTCAACTACGGCAAGGTCTATTCTGGCCTTTACGAGTTCGAAGGCAATGTTGTTCCTTATATTGTTGTCGTCAAGGTTGGCAAGGAGAACGAGCAAGCAGGCGCTAAGCCTGGTAACCGTGGTAAACGTGATTCACAGATTCTGCTGATGAGCTTCCTCAACCGCGTCCATCATCGATCTCCTATGAATCCTCTCGAGCTGGAAATGTTTCACCAAATCAACAACATCATTGGTGTGGACCCTGAGCTGTATGAATACCTCCTCATGGTCGATGCCGACACGGCCGTCGCAGAAGACTCTCTCAACCGTTTAGTCTCTGCATGTGCGCATAATGCCAAGATTGCCGGTATTTGTGGTGAAACCAGCCTGCAAAACGATGAAAAGTCATGGTGGACCATGATTCAGGTCTACGAATATTTCATCTCCCACCACCTCGCCAAGGCCTTTGAGTCGCTTTTTGGAAGTGTTACCTGTTTGCCCGGATGGTATGTGTACACCACTATTCTCTGCATACACTCAATAAGCTAACCGACATACAGTTTCTCCATGTACCGATTGAGAACCGTTGACAAGGGCAAGCCTCTGATCATCTCGGATGCCGTCATCAAAGAGTATAGCATTTGCAATGTCGACACCTTACATCAGAAGAACCTGCTGTCTCTTGGTGAAGATCGATTCCTGACCACTCTCATGACGAAGCACTTCCCATCAATGCACTACAAGTTTGTCCAGGATGCCCAATGTAAGACTGCGGCTCCAGAATCTTTTGGTGTCTTGATTTCTCAGCGTCGTCGCTGGATCAACTCTACCATTCACAATTTGGTCGAGCTTCTACGTCTTGGAGACATGTGTGGCTTCTGCTGCTTCTCCATGCGTTTTGTTGTCTTCATCGATCTCTTCAGTACCATCATTCTGCCAGCTACCTGCGTATACCTGGGTTATCTCATTTACCTGCTGGCAAGTAAGACTGGCCCGTTCCCTGTCATTTCGATTGCTATGTTGGCAGCCGTCTACGGTCTCCAGGCTTTGGTCTTTATTCTCAAGCGTCAGTGGCAGCACATTGGATGGATGATTATTTACATCATCGCCTTCCCCATTTACTCCTTCATTCTCCCCATCTACTCGTTCTGGAACCAGGACAACTTTAGTTGGGGTAATACTCGCATTGTCATTGGTGAGAAGGGTAACAAGCAAGTTATTGCTGTGGAGGATGATGTTTTTGACCCGCGATCCATTACCATGCAGCGATGGGATGACTATGCCTATGCCAACAACCTACCTGGTCGTCGTGGCGGCTATCAGGAGAAGGACGACTCGCCCTACATGGACCAGTATGAGATGGACGAGATGAAATCTGTCTACTCTGCCGCTCCCCAAGGAACCGTTCTCTCTGGCATGCCCGGCAATAACCCTTACATGACGCCACAGTCTCCTGCTCACTTTGGCCGCAGCTCCACTATGCTCCATCAGCAGGATCCCATGATGATGCAATCGGGGAGACAATCCTCCATGGCAGATTTCCAGGATCGCCAATCACCCTATCAAGACTTTCCTCAAGCTCGTCCTAGCATGATGAACACGCGCAGCCAGTCCAACCTATCTCCGTACGGCGGCAACCGAGCGTCGTCTGCCATTGGCTTCGCAGGCGGCCATAACCCTGCCATGGCCAGCAGTGCCTCTCTGGCCAACACCAATATCGACTTTAGGCAAAACAGCGGCGCGACCTCGGACGGTTCCATCATTGAGTCGATTCAGGCCGTCCTGCGCGAGGTTGACCTGGACACCATTACTAAGAAGCAGGTGCGCGCTCTCGTGGAGCAGCGTCTGCAAACTGAGCTGGTTGGTGAGCGTCGGACATTCCTCGACCGACAGATTGATCGTGAACTGGAGAATATGTAAAATGGTGCACGGGAATCCTTGCGATAGAAGCGAATTTTGAAAATAGGGGTACAATGAGTCTCATGTTTTGGCCTCTTGATGTTTTGTTTTTTTGTTTTTTGGGCACGCGTTGGCATAATAATCTTTGCTTAATAATGCTTTGGGGGGAGTAGCTGTGTTCTCCTTTTCAAACGCTCTTTCATTACTTGTATTTTGGACAATTTTTCTTTTCATGGACGTTTTTGGGAAACAACTGAATATAGCATAGCTTGCAACGCAAGTCAAGACAATCATTTACGCAGTTTTCTACATGTTTGACTCATTATCTATGAGCTAGTTTATATGTATACAAATACAGAAAGCAGCCACGTCTGAAGAGACACGTCGGTTCCTTACTATGATGAGCTTATGCATCAATGTCGAGCCTAGCTAGGTATTGATATGTATCACAGCAGAAGCAAAGATGATGGGTGACGTGATACTCGTCATGTTCGTGTTTTGACCATGTATATATATAGAATTGGTATAAGATTTCAAGTAGTTGTTGTTTTTTTTTTTTGGACCCCTCCACAAAACTCATGTGTCAATCTTACCCACGCCCTTTAGGCGCAAGTAGACATCTGTCCCCCAGCCGTAGAGGCTCTGTAGGGCGATGCCACCGCCAAAGTACTCTGCGTAGGCGCGACTCAGCGGCAGGCCGTAGCCGAGGCCGGCAATGGAGCTGCCGCCGCTGCTGGCGGACGAAATGGCGGCGAGCCCGTCGCCGCCCGAGGGGCTGGCGTACTCTTGGTCGTCGGAGAAGGTGGTGAAGGAGTAGGACCAGATGTCGGGCAGGACGTCGGTAGGGATGCCGCCGCCGCGATCGCGGATACGGATGGTGACGCCGGGGGTGTTGTCGTCGTCGAGGGGTAGGATGCCGGGGGCGACAGCGGCGTTGTTGTCGTTGTTGTCGCCGGGACTCTGGTGCTTAAAGGCGGGCTCGGGCGCAATGGTGACGACAATGGGCTCGCGCGTCTTGCTCTCGACGGTGGCGCGAAAGGCGTTTTTGAGAAGCTCGGTGACAATGTACTCGAGGTGCATGGGGACAAAGGCGAGCGTGGCGTCGGGCTCGCCGTCAATGACGAGCTCCGGACGGACGCCGTAGCGCAGCTCGCAAATGTCGGCGACGAAGCCGGCGCAGGACTCAATGGTGGAGGCGGGCCGCAGGGCCGTGTCAATGACGCCAATGTAGGACGGGTGGTCCGGGCAGGGCGTCGGGCTGGCGGCCGGGTCAAAGTGCTCCTGGGAGCTAAAGTGCAAGGCAATGTGCTGCTCGGCGACGAGGCGCGTGCCGATACGCGCGCGCAGGTGGCTGTCGAGGAAGCGCGTGACGTCGGCCGGCGCAATGTAGCGGCGGCACTCGAGAAATCCCTTGGCTAGGACGGGGATGGTGTCGGTGTGGGTGGCGACGAGCTCGGCGAGGACGTGCGTGAAGCGGACCTCGTCTTCGGGCGTAACGATGGCGTCACGGCGGCCGGTGCCGGTGCCGGTGCCGCCGCCAGCGGCGACGGCGGCGCGGTGGTAGGGAAGTAGAATGGACAGCGAGTGCAGGTAGTTGCGGTAGATGCGCGCGACGTTGGGGTTGGAGACGACAATGTAGGGCAGGTTGCGCAGGGCCTGGATGCGGTGCGCGAGGCGGATCGGGAGCAGCGAGAGAGTGAAGTTGGCCGAGGACAGGAGGGAGCGTTCCGAGAGCGGTGGGCGGCCGTGTCTGGAAAAGCACAAAAGCTGGTGAGTAAAGGCAAGAGCAGCAAGGAAACTTGCAGGGTAGGATTTTTTTGTTTCTTCTTGTTTACTTGACGAGATCGGCGAGACTCAGTGGATGTTGCGTCTGCCGGGCCAGCGTGGCAATGTCGGCGTCGGTTACTTTATCGACAGACGGGCCCCGGCTGGTGGAAAAGAGACGTGGCCGCCGAGGGCATGATGCGGTGTGTGTGGCGGCGGTCCGACGGCATATGAGCCCGGCGGATGTGCTTATTCGTGCTGCCATGGCAGCATGGCGTTGATTGTTTGGCAATGTGGCGGAAGCGTTTTTGTGAAGCCAATGATGGGTGGTAGTTCCCGTCTGGGTTCGCGATTGCGCAGCTAGGAGAATAAGCTGACTGTCGTAGAGAACGACGTAAAGGGTATTTGGAAATGGTCAATCAAAAGGATGTGATGCCGATATGGGTGGTACGGAGCCGGAAATGGAGGGCTGCGACGTCTGGAGGCGGGCGTCTGCGAGATGTGTGGGTGGTGTTGAGGATGAGTCGTGACATAAGGTAAGTCTGGGGTTTGCCAGGGTATGCCGTGTTCGGTGAGGTACTGGGTCGGTGACGGCTGACGGGGCCGCGGCCAGCCGCTGCACCCATGCAAGTGAATATGGTTCGTCGTGCGATATCAATTCATTTGTCCATTTTACGTCATCCTCAGCATTTATTCTTTTTTTTTTCTTTTCAACCTGCTTGATCGGAAGCTTCTATCATTGTTCTTTTTGATCGTTGTGCTTCAGCGCCAGAAGCCGAGAGCCGCACCTTGCAAGCAAGGATCGCCAAACAATGCCTGCAGTTACGCTGCCAAGCACCAGGGTGCCATCTCCATTGCCAACTTCATTTGACATATACAGCGAGGTGCATAATCAGATGACAATCTAGTGAATTTATATTTGTATCAGTCTATATAGATAGAAACTCGCTACTAGCTCATCGTGCATCGACAAGAACCGCATGCATGGTAGTTGTCACTCGCTTTACTGAATAGTGGCGACGCCGTCGGGCTCGACAGCCTTGACGTGGGGGTTGGACTCGAGGGTCGTTATGGCGTCCTCGGGGTAGCTGACACTGCGCGGAGAGAGTGACATGGTTAGCGAAACAATTCTGCTTGGATTGTGTCATCGAGGGTACGTCTCCCGGCACCCATCAAGGTGAGGGGAACTGGTATATGGCTGGAAGGAGCACGTACGAGAAGCCTCTGATAATGTCGTACTCGTGAATAATCTTGCCGCCCTGCTCGATGCACTTGTCCTTGGCCCTGTAGAGAGTATATCAGCAACGTTCACGGAATAAAATGCAGCATAGCTGGAGGATGGCGTGCTACTTACTCTTTGACCTGCTCGGGGCTGGCGTCGTCTTTGAGGGTAACCTGAGTGGGAGAACATTAGCGAATATTGATTCAATGCGAAGACAACCTGGTGGGCAGTGTGTAGAATTTTCATACAATATAAGTAGGCATTTTAACGGTGTTATTTGTTGATTTGCGCAGTTGATGTCGAGGAGAGGATGCACTGAGTCGCGCGACGATGATGAAGGCGGGGGAGGGGTATGACGTGGGTCTCAGCCTAGGCCTCCAGGCCATGACTTTGTTTCCGTGTTGGCGAACTGGTGTGCTACATCTGCAGCTATGCTTGCCTTGTTGTAGCGTCTGATAAGCGTAGCTCGCCTTGCTAGGGCCATCTTTGGTCCCTGAGCTATCGTCATCGAATATCACGTGGAAATGGGTATGGTTGTTGTCTATGATGCTGCACCGACTTGGTGCAGACTACCCTGCAACAATGGTTGTTTTGCGACAATGCCTGGTGCACATGACAGAAAGACCCGGCCGCGGCGCGGCTTGCACACGATAATACTCGGGAATAAAAAGTGTGTTTTAGTCGGAGTGTAGCGGCTTTGTGAGCTGGTTGCAGTATCTAGTTATTGAACTTTCACCTAATCCTCATATGTCGTCATAGCTGTTTTCAAACAAGCAAGATGGAATCTGGACAGCACCACGCGTGAGGTCCCAAACAACAGGCTGTAGAATCATCCCGTATCCTGGTAAAAAAAGAGATGTCAAGGGTCGAAAAAGATATAACGGCCTGTTGACAGAAGCTTATCATTATCCGAGCGCGTCTCGCCCGCTGGCGCTTGAAAGGTTGACAAGGTACATCGCGATGCAAAGACAGCTGTCAACTACGTGACGAAGCTTATTCGGGGCTTTTTTGATGCAGCTTCCCTACAGGTAAATATCCGGGCGTTTTTTCATTATTCTTATCCTGGTATTTCGATTTATCAAAAGTTCCCTACTCACCTCACTTCTCCAGTTCTCAGCTGTCGATTCGTAAATTTATAATCAGCTTGTGGGGCCACTTCTACGAATACGGCGTATTCGGCCTGGGACAAGCTACGAAACCATTTAAGTGTCACCCTCCGACCATGGCCTCCCATGGCCTCCCATCATGACAAACAAGGCCAATCAGCTCACTTGTTTTTGTCTTGCCGCTTCTCAGCATACCTCAGCCGTCACACCGATTCGAGGGCCATCACTGATGATCAGTCAGTCTTCCCTGCCAAACGTGACGAGAGAGGCTCAGCGGCGCGTGCCTGAGCAGCCGAGCCAGATCTGCGCTAGGCCCAACAATTTCACCTGCAGTTACGGCTGGCTCGTGCGTCTACAGGTACCTCGCCGACAGCGGATTCCCACCTAAAAATTTAAAATTCCGCGATTCAGAATCACGGACTGATGCAAAGAGCAAACGACGGATGGTTCGGTAATGCTGCTGCACTGCTGCAGCACTGCAGAACTGTTGCAGACATATACCCCTCCAGTGGCTAAAGGAACACTGCTGATAAGACGCCGCTGTTAATAAATCAACACCTGTCAACAACAGTCGATGATCCCTGCGCCCACCCGTCTCATCTGTGGTGGTTGCACCACTTTGCACCACTTTGCGCATCACCATCAATCAAATTCTGGGCGCTTATCCTTAATCGTATTAGTCTCCGCTTCTCCTAAACTTCCCTTTTTTCTTTACTTTTTTTTATTAGTGTCAAATTGCATTCGTCTGCACTGTCTTTGGTCCCCCTTAGAGCACTTCCTATTGGAACTTGCCGCGGCAGCCATTCCCGTTTCCTTTGACCCTCTCTGCCCGGAAACTGCCCTCCCCGGAGCGCCGGGTCCCCCAATTCTTCTCTGGTTGGAGCTCGCAAAACAAAAAACACCCAATTGTCACCACCCCTACCTTGTTTGGCTCGCTTCGCTCCTTCCCTTTCCTCTCCTCTCTTCTTAATTCAAGCCTCCCTCGACATCCGACCCCCGACCCTCGTCCGTCGCCTAGATTTGCGGATTCGAACTGTTTGACTTCATTTGCTCTTGTCTGTCTTTGTCGTTGTTCCAAAGAGAAAAAAAAACATACATTTGTCGGCTCCGTTGGCTACCTCGTCGACGCCATGGCTGCCGCGGTCAACTCATCGTCCGCCTTTAGCTCGATGCTTGCTACTTCCAAGTTGACGGCTGCTGGCCTTCCTCCTCAGATTGACTATGTCATTGACACAATTACCTCTGCCAGTCCCTGGGCTCTGCTCCTGACGCTCTTCGCCATGTGCGTCGTCTACGATCAGAGTATGTGCCTTTGCGACGCCTCAACACCATATGACCCCACTCGCCCTAACGTGCCTCGATAGTCTCCTACTTTCTCAACAAAGGCAGCATCGCCGGCCCTCTGTTCAAGACGCCCTTTATCGGCCCGTTTCTCGACTCCATGGATCCCAAGTTTGAGGAGTACCATGCCAAGTGGCTCAGCGGTCCCCTCAGCTGCGTGTCCGTCTTCCACAAGTATGTTCGCCTCATGTCCCTCACTATAGACAAATAATCTGACGCGCTGCTCCCCAGGTTCGTCGTCATTGCCTCCACCAGAGATCTTGCCCGCAAGGTTCTCAACTCTCCTGCCTATGTCAAGCCTTGTGTTGTCGATGTCGCCCACAAGCTTCTCGGACATGACAACTGGGTCTTCCTCGACGGTAAGGCTCACGTCGACTTCCGCAAGGGTCTCAACGGTCTCTTCACCCGCAAGGCCCTCGAGCTCTACCTGCCTGGCCAGGAGGAGGTCTACAAGACATACTTTGAGCGCTTCGTCAATGTCACCAAGAAAGCCGGCGGCAAGCCTATCCCCTTCATGCCCGAGTTCCGCGAGCTTATGTGCGCTGTCTCTTGCCGCACTTTTGTCGGCCACTATATTAGCGATGAGGCTGTCAAGAAGATTGCCGACGACTACTATCTCATCACTGCCGCCCTCGAGCTCGTCAACTTCCCCATTATCATCCCCTACACCAAGACTTGGTACGGCAAGAAGGCTGCCGACATGGTGCTCGCTGAGTTCGCCAAGTGCGCTGCCAAGAGCAAGGTCCGCATGGCCGCTGGTGGTGATGTTACTTGCATCATGGATGCCTGGATTATTCAGATGATCAAGGCGGACCGTTGGCGCGAGGCTAAGGAAAAGGGCGAGGATGCGGGCGAGAAGCCCTCTCCTCTTCTCCGCATGTTTGGCGACTATGAGATTTCTCAGACCATCTTCACCTTTCTCTTTGCCTCGCAGGATGCCACCAGCAGTGCCGCCACCTGGCTGTTCCAGACCACTGCCCAGCGTCCCGACGTCCTCGACCGAATTCGCGAAGAAAACCTCAAGGTCCGCAACGGTGACATCAATGCCGAACTCACCATGGACCAGCTCGAGTCTCTCACCTACACCCGCGCTGTTGTTCGTGAGCTCCTTCGCTACCGCCCTCCTGTGCTCATGGTTCCCTACCTCGTCAAGAAGGCATTCCCCATCACCGACAGCTACACTGTCCCCAAGGGTTCTATGCTGATTCCCACCACATACCTCGCCCTGCACGATCCCGATGTGTACGAGAACCCCGACCAGTTCGATCCTGACCGTTATTACATTGGCGATGCTGAGGAAAAGGGCGCCAAGAACTACCTTGTTTTCGGTACTGGTCCTCACTACTGCCTCGGCCAAGTGTACGCCCAGCTCAACCTTGCCCTCATGGTCGGAAAGGCCTCTGTGCAGCTCAATTGGGCTCATCACCCCACACCACTCTCCGAGGAAATTAAAGTGTTTGCCACAATCTTCCCCAAGGTATGCTGTCAGCGTTCTTCTCGTGTAAGCCTCATGTACTAACCTCGATCCCAGGACGACTGCCCTCTCACTTTCGAAAAGAGACAGTAAAGGCGTATTTAAATTGGGATTGGCGTTTGTGTGTTTTTTTCGTTGTATCTATCTTGGGCACGGAACCTGGCATGATGGACCATTGCCTGCCCGACTGGCATGTCTCTGGTAATGCATATGAAATTGGGAGGGATTCATGATGCCGAAAGGTTTTGGTTTTGGAAAGAGAAATGGTCGCATGAGGAATGCGGACTGACTGCTAATAGAACCGCCGGGCAACCTTATACCGGTGTAATGACTTAAATATTGTACATAATCAAATTCAATTATTCTGGCCGAGGCCGAGATATCAAGTTCAAACATCGATCCGACTGTCGCACGAAATCTTCAATTTTCCTACCACTAGATAGAGGCAAGGTAATGATGCAAGCTATGCATGGATTCCGAGGGTCTGCCGTTGTAATGGCAGCCGGTGCCGGCCGTGGTGGCGGGCATCATAATACCGGGTCTGGCTGACCAGCTCCATCTCAAGCTCCCCCAGCTCTGGACCCTCACTTGCATCTCGCAACAACCACCTACCAACATCAGCGCAAGACATCTTCTCAACGCCAATAATTGTACCCAACCACGACGACCGAGGCGTCGATACCAATTCCTCTCGCACACACCACCATATACAACCAATCAACAACCATGGCGAGCAAAACAGCCGTCACCTCGGCCGTCCGCGCAGCGACTGCCGCTCGTCGTCCCGCTGCTGCGGTCGCCAGCTGCGTCTATGCGATCCCGTCTACGTCCCGCGCGCTCATGACTGCTGCTCCTGCAGTCCATGCTCGCATCTTTGCCTCGTCGAATGCATCTTGTCGTGGTGCGGCGCCGCTGCTGCTAAAGTCTGCTGCTGCTGCTGCTGCTGCGGCCGGGGCGAGGCGGTACTCGGTGGATGCAGCGTCGCCGACTAAGATCTGGACCTTTGCCGATATCCAGAAGCAGTTGGACACCAACGAGGATAAAAATGTAGTCTTTGTCGGTAAGTTTTCTTCTTCTTCTTCCAGTTTCCTTTCAATTTTTTTTTGTTCTTCTTTTAAAACTCCTCCAATTAAACTGAACGGAAAACCCCCAGATGTCCGCGAACCCGCCGAGCTCCGCGAAACGGGCAAGATCCCCGGCGCCATCAACATACCCGTCACGACGGCCGTGCAGAGCCTGCACGTGCCCGAGCAAGAATTCGAGGAAATGTACGGGTACGAGCGGCCGGGCAAGGACAAGACGCTCGTGTTCTACTGCAAGGCGGGCGTGCGCGCCAGGACGGCGGCCGGCTTGGCGCTGCACGCGGGGTGGACGAGCGTCGGCGAGTACAGGGGCTCGTGGCTGGACTGGGCGGAGAACCAGGGGCCGGTGGAAAAGGTGAATGGGGGCAAGTAATGGTGCGAATTGGCGCGGAAAAACGAAGTGTTTTGTAGATTTGAACTGGAAGAATGTACGTTATATAGAACAACCCCCTCGCATAAACGACGAAAGCATGTTGCCCATGAAGTAATATACAAGGCGTGTATTATACACTGGTTCATGGTTCATTTCAAAAGTGCATTCAACTGAGAAACTACCAAACGTATAAGCTCGCATGCTTCGGAGAGTTCATTTAATGTACAGCAAGTACTCGCTTTCCGCTTTAAAAGAGAAAAAGCTTCTCGGCACCACCAGCATCCTCACCACCGCCCTCTGCAGGCTTCTTGGCCACAGGACTGCCGTGCGCAAAGAATAGAATCTTAATGGCCAACGAGAGGCCAAAGTGCAGGGCGACGACGATGATGAGCAGCATCTTGCTCGTCTGGCGGTCCGTGGCGCTGAGCACCGGGTAGAGGTTGCGCAGCAGGAAGCCGACCGAGACGCCGAAGCCGACGGCGACAAATGTCCAGTTGAGAATGGATATGGGCGACCAGCTGATGCAGGCGACGGGGATCCAGATGAGGTTCGAGTAGCCGTACAGGGCCCAGCACTCGAGCAGGTTGGCCGACTCGCTGCCAAAGTAGCGGAGCGCGAGGAAGAGCACGACGGGAATGACAAGCGTGTATCCATAGACCAAGCCAGCAGCGCCTATGATGTTGAATTTCAGAGTTAGAGAGTCATGGTTCCATGCGTGTTTGGAAGTAAGACGGGCACGTACCGCTGAGGAGGCGAAAGTCGTACGCAAAAGGCGTCGTGCCCCGCGTCGCCAGCCACTGGCTGATGCTGCCGCCGAGGAACAGAATCAGCACCACCGTCGTGGCGATCCAAAACGGCCCGTAGAGATCGGGGTTGCCGTCGAGGACGTCGAGAAAGTTGGCGCGCGGAAACAGCGCCGCCCAGCAGCGCGACAGCACCGCCGACGTGTCCACGTCAAAGAATTGCGCGTAAAACGAAGTCGACCACAGAAAGCGCTTCGGCGACGACGACGACGAAGAGGCCGTCACGGGGGGCGGCAGGCCCGAAGAGGCGCCCTTGCGGCTGCTGCCGCCGCGCGTGTTCTCTTGGAACGTTGAGTTGTGGAATTCGAGGCCGTCTTCCTGAAGGTCCGTGTGCCCGAGATCGCCCTGTTGGGTGCGGTTAGCATTTCTGCCGTGCTTGGGAAAGCAGCAGGTAGAGAGGAGTCGGCAGTCAACAGAGATGCTCTCGCGGGTTTGTATGAGCAAGTTCATTGACCCCTGCGTATATCGCAACACGTACCTCGTCGTCCACGTCGACCACGGCGTCATACCCAGAGCCCGACATTTTCCAGAATCGCAATGGAAACGATCGCGACTCAAAGCTCCACAGTGTTTTTCGTCTAGTTGGTATTTGGAGACCGCGCGGGATCGATTCCTGGATTAACGCAACGTAAACGTCGTGGCGGCTGGGCTTGTAGGTCTGCAGTGGGAGAGCGAGCTAGGGACAGCTGTCGTCGTACGCTAGAGTAAAGAGCTGGCGTCACCAAACGGGTCCGACAATTAGCCGATGCATGGCACCACCAATCAAAGTCGATCGCAAGGACGAGCCGAAGCGCATTTTGCCTTGATTAATTGAGCAGCCGGAATTTACGTTGAATTTAACTAGGTCATTTCCCCAACTTGGCTCAGAAGAATGGACATATCCTTCACATGGCGATTATCAACACCTTTCACGTGCACTCCCGATCATTGACTTTTTTTGACATGTATTTTGTTCTTTAGTTCATTGGCATCGTCTAGAATGCATTGCCTGAGCAAAGGATGCTACCGTAGAAACATCAAGGAAAAATTTGTTCAATTTTCGCGAACCCGGGAAGCATCTCTTATCCTCGCCAAATTCGTCAGAATGCCAGAAACCACCCATACGCCCACCATCCACGCACAATGGATCGCCACAAACGCGCATCGTTTATTTGAGCTTCTTCTTGGGGCGGAGCTGGTTGGTGTGACCGCACTTGCGCTTGCGGCAGTTGGTGGCACGGGGAGGGAGACGAGCCTGTAAAAATGTCATTGGTTAGTCGGTTCTGTAGAACGAAAAAGGTAGATTGGGCTCGTTTGTCGACGTACGTAGCACTTGCGGCAGATCATCTTCTCGCAGTTGAACTTGGAAGCGAGAGCCTTCAGAGACGGCTCAATGATACCACCACGAAGGCGGAGGACCAGGTGGAGGGTAGACTCCTGTTGAACACACTCAGTCAGCCAAAACCGTCACAGCCATTTTATCCACTCCATGACGTTGCGCCTTGCAAACATTTCCATCGATAACCTCGGTATTCGAATCGGTAAACGCTATGGTGGAGGCGTCGTCGTCGGCGGGGGAAAAATCAACGAACCTTCTGGATGTTGTAGTCGGACAGAGTGCGGCCATCCTCAAGCTGCTTGCCAGCAAAGATCAGACGTTGCTGGTCAGGGGGGATGCCCTCCTTGTCCTGGATCTTGGACTTGACATTGTCAATGGTATCCGAGGACTCGACCTCGAGGGTGATGGTCTTGCCCGTCAGGGTCTTCACGAAGCTGTCATTGGGACTCTTGTCAGTACTTCGATCCTCCAAAGCGATCGGTTCGGGATTGCGACTCGGTGCACTCGGTTCGACGGGCGCTGGGCGGCGAGGATCGGGGAAAAAAGCTTACATCTGCACTATCAGGCTGTTAGCATCGCAATTACATCCTCCCATCTCCAAGCGCCGCAATTTACTTACTCTTGACTGATTTTCTGTGACGCTGACGATGTGAGGTTTCGGAGGCTCAGAATGCGCGTGTATTTGGTGGGGCGCAAAGGCGCAAATGGATGGAAACCCTAGGTTAGCCCAGACCGCACGTGACAATATTGTCTTTTACCGAACTGGTGAATGTGTGATTTCCACATTTTCGCCCTCACCTCTGCCCCACCTATCAGTTTTGACGAACTCCAGCTCTGCGCGATGAGTTTGAGTTTAAGATCACCCCATGCAAGCAAATGAGGAGCTTTATATTGCTCGTCGTGTTTACATAAATGTTCAACTCTATTTTTTTGAAAGCAGAGGGTATCTCGATTTAAATGTACATTGGACTCACAAAGAGCACTTCACTTATTACCCTCGGCCTTTTGCCACGCTACAATAGCTTGCTCAAGCATGTACACGGCGCGCACCGTGGTGTCAAGTGTAACTTCTGCAGCTGAGCCTGTACACCGACTATCAGTATCAATTTTCATTAGATAAATAGCTTGAAAATCTTGGTACTCACTAATAGCACTGTAGAAGCATTTAGCCATTGGCGAGAGGTCGTCAACCTGTCGATATGCTTCGTAGGCATACTGATTAGGCACCTCTGTGTTTGGCATTCCCACAGCACTTTGCAGCACTGTGCGCGCCATATCATCCACTTCTTCAGGTGTCGGGTCTGCGCGTACCGGATCAGGCACAGGTTCCGGCTCGACCGGGAAGAAAGCCGTAACTGGATTCGTATCTATGTAGACAGTAAGCGGCCTGTTCTCACCTCCAATGGGATTTACTTACTCTTCGTTTCAAGAAAACTTGCAATGTGACGATAGTAGGCATCGAGATCGTCGTCTGTCATGTTGGCGACGTCACTGGGCGTCACGCCATTGAATGTGCGTGCTTTGTCCGGCTCTGGTTGGCCTCTGGCAGATTCCCAGCTGTTCCAATCGAATGATGGCAGAATCAGGCCATCATCGGACACGGTCAATGGACTACCGCCATGAAAAGGAAAACATAGTTTCGTAGCAACGATGAGTAAGGCAATGAGCCGAACCTCTGGATTGTGAAGAGGATAGACTCGTGTACTTTGTACTGGCAAGTGGAATCGGTAGCCAAGGGCGTTGCATATTCTCCGGACAGCAACAATACATTCCACTAGCATGTTTTAGCAGAATACGGGGCCAAACGACTGCATGACAAACCTGGTAATGCTAGCAGCTTGGCATATTGGACCAAAATTGGCATGTAATTGAGATCCGGGAATAACATGTTGTAGTTGAGATGATATGAGCAAGCCAAGTCCATTACTGCTGAATATGCCTGAGCACCCTCTAAAGCCGACCGCATTGGCAATTTCAATAATTTGATGTAGTTGGATGGCATTCGTTCTTGCATCTCGGTGGGCAGTTGCTGAAACTGAAGGTTGTTAGTCTTTGCCATGGTCAGAGATCGACAGAGTGCGTTAAACCTACGGCATTTCGATATGGGAGATGGCGGTCATTTGCCCACTTGATGAGCTCGCCGAGGCGTGTTGGTATTCTCAGAAGATAGCATCCCAAGTAACACAGCGCCAGAGTGTCGCTCAAACTTGGCATAGGCCAGCCAAGTCCGCGATCAGTGCCCCAGTCTTGCGCTTTGGATTTAGAAGTCCAAAGCTTCGTGGGCTCAATAATGGACGGTTGCGAGCTAAAGACTTGCAGGACGTCTTCTGCATTCGCGTCTGGAGCAGTGCCCTGCCCCAACGCCGTCGCGCCGCGGATGCGCAAATCCCACAAGTCTCGGACGACAGTCTCTAGCTCCTCTCTGTGTCCTCTTTCCTGTATGAGCCATAGAACCTGCATGCGCAGTAGTAGCTGGAGCGCTTCAAGGTACAGCAGTTTACCAGCCTCGCCTGTGAGCTGTCGCTTTTCCTTTTCCTTGACAGCTTTTTGCTTTTTGAAAACTGTGCCGATCATGCCAGCGTCGACTGCATCACCAACATCAAATTGGACATATCCCTGATGCACTCACAAGATTAGATGATGCAGAACAGTGAGATGCAGGCTAGGATTCATACCTCAACCTGATGGCCCCGGGCGCAGTACCGCATGCCATCCTGGAGATAGTATTTCTGACTTCCACACTCCGGACATCGTTCGCCTCGCGGCATACGCCGCAAATCTCGAGCGTCGTTCATAATGATCATGCGAATGGCAGCATGTGGGGGGTTGATGAGACGCTACAATAACAGTGGCGCATGGCAGCTAGAGCGGACGTCAAGCCAAAATGGCTGGAGGAATTCCCTTTCTAAAATCCTGGTTCCGAAGGTCATAGTATATGGCTGCTGGGATTCTGTGTAGAACCAAGCAATGTTTGCTGCTAGGTGGATGAGGTTGTGAGCGAGAGGTTCGGCCCGCCGGCCGTTGGCGTGCAGGAGTTTGCGTTCAGCGGGACCTCGCCATTCTGGCAGGGCGGCCGTCGCAAACTCGCATGAGAAGAGCGCAAACCGTGCTTGAAGTCTGAGACAAACGGACGTCAACAGATTAACCATTCTTGTGCTGAATCCGTAGATAGATTCTAGAAGAGCAATTTTTAGTAGTGACAAAAGGCGCATCTTCACGTTGCAAAAGGCACAGTCAAATTCAGCATTCAAGGCCAGTATATTTTTTTGGTGACACTTTCCTTGTATGATTAATCTTCAAGAAGTCATGGTCATGGCGGTATGAGAAGCAGGATTTCAAATCTCAGTCTAACGTTTGTAGATGCCGAAATTTAAAACATAACAGCGTTAATCATATCCCGACTACGGAAAGCTTTTGAACGCAACAAGCCCGGCACAGCGCCCGGAGCGGCTGTCGGGCAAACAGCAACTAACAACGCTATTCATAAAACAGTCCTCGTCAATGTAGAGGGAGTTGAACGACCCTCGAGCAGCCGGCAGCTGTGCGTCAGAACCGAAGCGAAGCGCTTACGCACTGCCCTTAGGAGCCTCCTTGGCTTCAACGCAAGCCTGCTCACCCATGGAGGTGAGAATGATGACGTCTGAAAATGAACAGTTAGATGAGAAATCGAGACATGATTGTGGACCGGTCATGAACTTACTGGTATCCTTCTCCTCCTCCTGGAAAAGCTTCTTGATCTTGTCGGCGATCTCACCGTCGGACGGCATGCGGACATCATCCTTGGTGTCACCGTCGTCGTTCATGAGGGAAAGGAAGCCGTCGTCGGAGATATCAAGCTAATGACTGGGTCAGTAAAGTTTAAGTGGGGAGGGTGCGAAGGGAAAAAGCGAGGAACCGAGGCGACTTACGAGCTGGTACTCACGACGGCTGACGTTGGGAACATCCATGTTGTGGGTAGAGGGAGAGAGATCTTCGTACTTCTTGCCAGTGAAGATATCGGTGGCGACAAGATGGACCTTGGCGTGGCCGTGCTTGCCGGTCTTGGAGGTGGACATGTCGATAATCTTGCAAGGGCGGCCCTTGATCACGACGAAACCGTTCTTACGCAGAGCAGAGCACTGCATAGGGAAGGTAAGAGACGCGCCGGCATCGGCGGACTCGAAGGTAACATCGTGCTGGAAGAGGAGATGAGTTAGCCAAGAGAACGATAAAGGAGAGACGAGGCAAGGCGCGGAGAGCGACGAGGGTGGGATTGAGGCGGATGGAATTGGTGTTGAGGGCGCCAGGCGAGGGGCACGAGGCGAGGTGCGGGGTGATGGTCTGGAGTGGTTGCGACACGGCGCAAGAGTTGGAGCTCATGGGGTGGGCAGGGAGCAGCATCTTACCTCCTCAGCAGACATGATGATTGATTGCGCGAGAAGAGGGCGTGAAGAGGGAAGAAGCGAAAAATTGATGGGAAAGAAAGTTGTTGTGCACCAGAAGGAGAAGAGGTGGAGGAGCTAGGTGGAGGAAAAAAAGAGTCAGGGTACAATTAGTTAGCAGGTGGGAAGAGGCCGGGTGCAAAGTTTGGTGGCGCGACAAAAAAAGGTGTGAGCTGGGTTTGCAATTTTTAGCCGTGTGATTGGGCAATGAGTGGTTGCTAGAGAGGGATGCCCCGCAGGTTGGCCCTAGCAAATTCAATACAGCCACTCACTGTAAGTAGAGCCACCACTCAGTGTAGCGCAACCACTGTAGGAGATGGCCACCTTACCTTATTTACTGGCAATATTTACTTTATTAGCCGCATAGTCAAAGAGCGTGCAGCGACTAATAGCGTGGGCATGGTGCTTGCCTGTAGAAATGTGGCCTGGCTCCAATGGCTACCTTACCTAGCAACCTAGGTAGGTACCTGCTCGCTACAGCAACTTTTGCCTGCCATTGTTACAGCGACTTTTGGCACACAAAAGGCCGTTGGCCCACTGCCACTCGGCACCAGTATGCCCTGTAACCACTGTCTTTTTCGCCTGTCTTTCTGCCTGCCAGACTGCCAACTGCTGTCGCTGCGGGGGCTTTTCTCTCGTCCTCTTTTAGGCAAGGCTCCTCTCCGCCTTGCTTCAAGCTCGGCAAGATGCGCTCTCGTTGAATAGGTAGTTAGTTCTACGTACTCCATAACTGTTGCGCAGCTCCATACCTACATGTACGCCATATCATCACCGACATACAAACGTTGTCTCGTGCCCAACTGCCACATCTGCTCTATTTGTCGAAAATAGCCCTCCGAATCACCCGTTAACACGATTACATTTACTGCACCAATAACAGCGACACCATCTACCTTGACCCCTTCTAGCGCAGCCTTCATGATATCCTCGCGACGGCCCATCTCCTTCTAAAGCGCAATGTGGCTTGACCGGCTTGCTGGCCAGGCCAGCGGCTCTGGCTCATCCACGCCGCAATCAATCTCGCGATCCTTTTCACCACTCCCGCGACGGACCTCTAGCAACCTCAGTCCCTACGTAACCTCACAGCGCCAAGGCCCATCGCCTAGGGGCTCCTCGCTGTCGCTCGTGTCTTCCGAGTCCTCCGCCTCGCTGCTGACCTCGTCGCGCCGACCCAACGGAACAGGCTTGAAGCAAACCTCGGCACCCGTCGCGTATCCCACAGACTCCATAGAAACCTTGGAGAAGCTTCTTGGAAAGATATCGAGCTCAACGCCGGCTGCTGACTCGGACATTCTCGACTCCGACTTCGACCTTGAATTCGATTTTGGTGGTTTGTCTATAAAAGAGCTTGCAGCGTCGCAAGATGACACAAATGCGCCACCTCCAACATCCAATCCCCGGAGGCCCTCCGATTGTATGTATCAAGCTATCCCTTACCAGTGACTGGGGCTGACATGTGTGCAGACGAAGGCGACCAGACCAAGTTTGAAGACCTACACCGTTCAATCACTGCTTGTGACGATATACTGAGCTCCGTCGAGACGAACCTCACAAGCTTCCGCAACGACTTGGCCTCGGTGGCTGCAGACATCGAATCATTGCAAGCCCGCTCGGCAGCCCTGAATAAGAGGCTTGAGAACCGCAAAGAGGTAGAAAAGGCTCTCAGTCCCTTGGTCGAAGAGCTCAGCGTATCGCCCGAAATCATTACCAAAATCACCACCGGCCATATCGACGAGACATGGCCCAAGCTGCTCACAGAACTTGATCGACGAGCGATTGCCCATAAAAAGAAGACCAATGAAACCCGGCAAAGCAAGGCAACTTCGGACCTAGCCCCGCTGCTGGAGAAGCTGGTGCAAAAGGTACGCTCGCTGTGACCCGGCAAGAGCAATGTACTGATAGAATTACAGGCTGTTGAGCGGATTCGAGATTTCATCGTTGCCCAAATCAAGGCATTGCGGTCGCCCAACATCAACGCTCAGATCATTCAACAGCATAATTTCCTCAAATTCAAGGAACTTTATACGTTTCTGCACAAGCATCACTCCCAGCTTGCCGAGGAGATTGCACTAGCATACATGAATACCATGCGCTGGTACTATCTTACTCAATTTACGCGATATGAAAAAGCACTGGGGAAAATAAAGCTCCATGTTCTTGACAAGAACGATACGTTGAACCATGAAGAAACAACGCGCATGGCCAGCGTCTTGTCTGCACGAGTGACTGGACCGCCGCATGACGCTTTCAATATTGGACGCCGTATCGACATGATCAAAGCGAGCGAGCAACCGGCACTCTCGGCGTTCCTCGCCGAGGAAGACAAAGCTACGCACTACTTGGAAGTACCCTTTCGCAGTTTCAATCTCGCCCTGATTGACAATGCGGCGGCCGAGTATACATTCCTTGCGACATACTTTTCACCATCATTGTCGTTCTCCCAAATCTCGAAGAATTTCAATTATATTTTCGAGCCTACTTTTGAACACGGCCAAACGCTTTCCAAGACTCTCGTTTCCGAAACCTATGACGCACTGGGCGTGATGATGTGCATCCGACTGAACCAGCAATTTGCCTTTGAGCTGCAGCGTCGACGAGTACCAGCCGTGGACGGCTACGTAAATGCCACCAACATGCTACTGTGGCCGCGGCTGCAAGTCATTATCGATCGCCACTGCGAATCGGTTCGGCAACTGACCAGTTCGACGCCGGCCAAGGCGAGCAAGTCGGCGGCAGAACAGGCCAAGGTTTCGGCGGCACCGCATCAAGTCACGCAGCGCTTCGGACAGCTGCTGCACGGCTTCTTGTCCCTGAGCGCCGACGCGGGCGATGACGAGCCCGTAGCTACTAGCCTGCAACGTCTGCGCACCGATGTCGAGGCGTTTTTGACGCGCTTTGGCCACTCATTCGGAAGCGATAAGCGCAAGACGGCGCGCTTCATGTACAATAATTACTCGCTCATCCTGACCATTATTAGCGACACGACGGGCAAGCTGGCGGATGAGCATCAACAGCACTTTGAAGAACTCAAGACGGCTTACCAAGATGAGGATTAGTAAAAAAGCATCAATGGGGGGAAAATTCTTGAAAGAGGTGGAAAGAGGGGGGAGAAAGGATGACACTGGGCATCAAGGTTCCATGTTGCAGAATTATTTAGCGATTATCTCATCTGCCCATTTTTATACATTTTTTTACAACTTTTTTGAGCGTACATGAAAAATGGTTTTGCGAGTATCGCGGCCAAGGCGTTTGTTGAATGGAGAGGTACTTTGGGGCCATTCAGTTTGTTTACCATAGGAGGACAGGTTTGAGGTCTCGAGCTTCTTTTGCTCTCCGAATAATACATTTTGATATATACTACATGCCTGGTTCTTTAATTTACTGGTGGCTGCATTTCTATTTCGAGAGAAGAGTAGCGAGCACCTGCCACAAACAGTTGAACAATAGTCGTTTTGACGTTCACAGTCTCGCGTCTTATAATCATTTAGAGAACAAAGACATGACCGTGGTCAACAGAGCGGGATTGCGACGCATGTAGAAAGCGACGAGACCGACGGCCATGGCCATACCCAGCGCCTTGGCCGGACGGCGGTACGCCCACGCGACGGAGAGGGCCGAGTTGCGAAGGTCCAGCCACCGCAGCTCCTTGGCCTGCTTATCGAACAAGGCGGCGCCCTCGACGAGTGTCTGCTTGGCGGCGTGCGTCGCATCACGGGCCGTCTTGAGGGCGCTAGCGCGGGATATGCGGCGCCAGGCAGGCAAAGTCTCGGGCGGGTAGCGTCGGAAGAGCTCGGCGGCGCGGGCGACGAGCCGGTCAATGTCCATGCCGGCCGAGGGCACGCGCGCGAGGACGACCTGCAGCAGGTCGGGCTCGTCGATGGCGAGGATCTCGTCGCGGCGGTCGATGACGATTTGAGCAAAGACGTAAAGGCTAAAGACGGGCTCGCGGGCGAGTAGCGCGTCAAAGAGGCGGGCAATGTCGCGGTAGGCTTCAATATTGTGAGCGTACATAGTGAGAGTGCCGGCGAGGGCGTAGAACGGCTCGACGGTGGCGACGTGCGCGCGGAGGGCCGGGTCGGCGGCGGCGAGAATGTCGGGGAGCAGCCGCAACTGGGCCGTCGTGGGGCCGAGGTTGGGCAGCATAAAGTCGCGGATGCGGAGGACGGAGAGGCGGGCGACGCACGGGGCGGCCCGCGCGGGGCCGAGGACGAGCAGAAGCACCTGGCAGATGTCGTGGTAGCCCTGAAAGTAGCACAAGTAGGGATGGACGCGGAGGACGTGCGATATCAGCGCCGAGAGCTGGCTTCGGCGGCACTCGAGGTCGCAATCGGAGAGGTCTGCACGCAAAACAGTCAGCAAGCCTGCAAAACAAAGCGGTCGAGCCGTCGGTTTCGTAGCGGCGGGTATTTTACCATGGGGGTAGTAGACAAAGGAACGGTTCACGTCAAGCTGCACCTGGTCCTCGTCGCGGTGACGAGGCAGCTCTTTCCAGCTGTCGCTGCCACCATCGACATGATGCTCGGACTTGGGCAGCGGCTCGTCCTGAGCAGCATCAATGCGCGGCGCAGGCAAACCTAGTAGTATCGGCCCTAAATCAACAGTGTATTGTTGTCAGTGATCCATGCGCCAAGTCGAGCCAACGTATGACTTTAAGAGAAGGGTAGCGAGGGGGGCCGTACGTACAAGCGAGCTGGCGCAGACTGTCGGTCAGGAAGCCGCCCTCCTCCTCGGCGAGGCGCTGCAGCGCGGACACGTCTGCGTCGTGGCACGCCGCACGGATGGCGTCCTGCTTCTGCCGATCGACCTCGGCTTCCTTTTCGGGATGGTGGTGCGCCGACGCCGTCCGCTCCTCGTCGCTGCTGTCCTGATCCATAGGGGGTGGGTGGCAGAGGACGGCCTAGCCCTCAGGAGGGGCGGGAAGAACCGAGTTTACACCGTTCCGCGGCCAATTCCAGACGGGCAAAGGCTTCTTTCGAAATGATGTTGTGCAGCAAAAAACGGGCTTTTTAGTCGAGTTGAAAGAGGGGGTTTGATGTGTGCGGCCAGCGCGTCAAGTCGTGTCGTGGAGATGATTGGACGTGTTAAGCTGGCCTGCAAGCTTGGCTGTTTGGCGTTGTTTCGTGGGGAGCTCGGGTGGGGGCACCGAAACGTCACTGCCGTTGCTTCAGTGGCACGTTTCAGTGGCATGAAAGCGAAGCGACGTGCCTGCAGTTGCGCTCGAGAGAGGTTGTGGTTACTAAGGTAGGTACCTAGGTAAGGTAACCATGGCATTTACCGCCTCATAGGTATGGAAAGCAGTCTGCATCTATTATTTAGGGTAGCCAAGATTCCTCCATCCGTATTACCAAGTTGCTTCCCAGCAAAAGCTAGCCTCCTGTCTAGCGTCATTCGCGTATCTGATTGGTGAAGCGACTCCCAAACAAAGTTGCTTGAGGCAGGCTCTATTGCAAGTAAAAATATGTCAAGCTACTTCGCTACAAGACATCTTGTCTACTTGCGTTGGTTATATTCCCTGAAGAGAAGTACCTAGTTAGCGCCTCGGCTTTTGGACCAGGCTATTGCATGAATGACTGTGCTGTCACAGATTTGTTAGCTCGCTGTCTTAGTCGAAAACTCTAAACAGCGATGGTCATAAAAAAGAGTAGCTTATTTCTGTCTCGGTGCCTGCGATAGCCGCGTTGACAAATGACCTGTGTATGTAGGTAGGCTGTCGGGACGACCACATCTTGTGTTTATCAGCTGCCATTTGTTACACGTGTAGACCCGCCGCAATACAAGTCGCTAATAGGTAGGTAGGGACCTTTAAAGGTGCTTCCCGCCGCACATAATTACTTGATACATGCCATCATAGGCCAATTTGGCTACTTGGTGCCGCGTTTCAAAAGGCATGGCGTTTACATCTGAAATGTCATGAAACTATTTTTTTGTGCAATCTGCTCGCGATATGACCTACACCCAAAATATGTTGACTATTTGTTCAGGATGGACCTGTCGAGACCAAGCCATTCATTCTGCATCAATTCATCAGACCTCGCACCCTCGCTTTCTCGGTTCTAGACTATCAACCGTCTGTCTGTCCGCACCGACAATGCTGATCCCAAAAGCAAGGCATGCGCCATGCAGGCAATAACCTAGTTGCGGCTCCATCCCATATTCCGTCGCTATCCCTGTGCCCTGGGGTTTGCGGTGTGCCAGTGGAGACAACGCTGGAACGGCGCGCGAGGCAAGGAGGCTCATCGACTCGAATTTGTGACCTGTCACCTTGAACGTTTCGACATGGACCCAAACAAGCAAAAGAACGACAGTGGTTCCTGCGGAAATGGCGTCTAGCCACCGGGACTATTTATCCGACTTTGAATGACACAGGGCCAGGCAGGGTCCTGACGACGATAGCCGAAGTGTAGCACGACTACACACCCAGAGCGTTTTACCTGTGACAAGCAACCCAAGCGAGGGCGAGGCCTTTGCTACCTACCCCTAATTATACCTCTCACTTGCTTCACTTGCAGCCAAACGAGCCAAACGAACAACCTTGACGCGACCGTTGGCTGAAAGACGACAAAGTCCGTGCACAAGCTTGCTGTTCTCGGCCCACTGAACGCCAATTAAGCAGCGCCAGGCACCAGGTCGTCAGACCCTGATATATCAATTGACCAAGGATGACGATTCAGCTTCTGGTTTTAGATTTCCCCGTACATTCAACCTGTCACGCCGATCGCCCGACAAGGCGAAAACGCTGCCATCGATGCATCGATGCCTATTGTTCTCCCAGAGTAGACCGCTATTGTCATTAAATTCACCCGGCCATGCATCGGGTTGCACCGCATCTTTATAGCCCTACTGCATCGGCAGGCAGCGCAAATATCCCTGTCCTGTTCGCATCGGAACAAGAAGCCAGGATACGGGAGACCTTCGGGGGAGAGCTGCAGTGGGCAGCAGGCCCTGCTGGCGCGAGGCAAGTGGCCTCCCAGCAGACGCTCCTGAAATTTGTCTTGGGTACGAATGCGGGATGCCCAGATGTCCTCATCAAAGCACCAAGGCACCTTGTGGAACATCAGACGAAATCCGACAATATCTCAAATTCTCAATTCATTCGCACGATACATGGAGCAAGGAAACTTTGCATGTCGTCCATCTCTGTGCCGGGATGCCTTGCCGTTGAACGACTTGGCTGCGGAAAGACAACCCAATATCCGCGGAAATGTATCGTTCCGTGACCAGCTGAGAGCTCGTAGATCTTTCTTATTACCATTGATGATACTGGCCCAGCTGGCGTGCGTGATCTGGTGATTGGCTGGCCGAGTACAGTGTACACTCCGCTCCGCTACTCCCGAGCCGTCCATATCAGCCAGCAAGAGTTAATGCGTCGAGTTGCATTAGCCCATGCCTTGAGAAGCCAGTGTCCCATAAATCACTCGTAGTGACGGAGTGCCGAAAGCTGACAGACGTTGCAGCCGTGTCGCGCACGGGGCCACCGATATCCCAGCAGGTTCAGCACTATCAGTATTGCGTTAAACGCCACCACCTTCGCGCTCCTATTCGTAGCAGCACGTGCTGCTGTGGATTTTGTATCGCGTTCAAGGCTAGGCCACGAAAGCTGGGCATTGTATCGTGCCATATTTTTGGGATGTGGCAGGCGCATCACGAGGGATGCACGGGTCTACTGGTTGGCTCTGCTATCTCTGGCAACACTGTGGTGTACCAGTAGGGCTCCATGGAATGGTAAAGTCGCTCATAGAGTGCCCGATAGTTGACAAATTTCCTTCTCACGCTGGATGCCCGAAAACACCATTGTGAATGAGTGTGGGTGGAGAGACACGGTCATGCCCACCCTCGGTTTGCAAGTGGTGCAGTCTGAGATTTCTGACTTGTTGGTGAGACACTATGTATGATACCGTCGTCGATATAATTGTTCGTGTTGTATCCCAACAGTGTGCTTGGGTTAGGGACCACGGAAAAACTCTGACACCTGGATGTGTTGACATACTGGTAGTGTTGGGGACTTGACTGTAGGTAAAGGTAGCGGTTGATTTCGCAAAGCAGTGCATTTGAGGGATCTGGTCGGCAATTTCTGTCGCACAAAGACAGGGGAGATGCTGAGATAGGCGAGGCAAGAAAGTCGTGGCAGCGGGCTGTTTCTGAGACGGAATCTAAACCAGAGCAGGCTCATCAACTTTGGCCCCCAACGGAGTCGACACTCTCTGGCTTTTCGTGGGCCGTAATATTGGTATTCGTTAGCTGTTCTTTTGTAGGTAAACCATGCTGGTCGTGTGAAATCCTTGCAAGTTTGATACTTGGATGTCCTTGAGCCTCTCTCTCACTGCGTCAGCAATAACCCTGACCATCATGCGAACCGAGCAGGGTCACGAGAGCGCAAGCGACGGGCTCGAGTGTAAGCTGGGCGGAGAGAGGCGTCGACTAAGACACTGGCGCTGCTGTCAATCCTGTTGTTCATATTTCAACATTGGGAATACGAAGGTAGCCAGTGTATGGAGGGTTGTCGTCAGTGGATGTCGGAGGGTGTGGGATTTGGCAACACCCCGCCCCTGCAACGGGGGGGATTCGGGACGCAAACTATCGGTACTGTGAGTGGGCGGCCCACCAAGTATCTGGATACTTGGAGTTGCAAGTTGCAGCTTCAAGTGAAAAAACGTGAGCTTGAGGCGGCTTGCTGGACATTTCGCATATAGGCAAGCTGGCAGGTGGCAGGTGGCAGGCAGGCTCCCGGGTCCGCCAAGCGGGCCAAAAAGACAAGGCGGCAAACGGCAGAAGGTAGAGAGGGGTGTGTGATGTGGCAGCATCACAGATGGCTAACCAGGCAAGAAGGTGTGGTTGATGAAGCTGGAAGTTGATATGAATCATACGAGAGGCGGCATAGAAAGGTCTTTAAAGAATAGGGAGAAGCCAAGTCATGGCATCTAGATAGAGCAGGCAAACTAGTAATGATGTGGTGGTAACGGCAGGAAGATGTCAGCTAATAGCCAAAAGATATCACATAGCTAGACAGTAATTGCTGGAGAGGCTCTCGTGCGATCACCATCTTTGCCATGCTCGCATGTTTTAGGCTAGTCAATGCATGTTGATGGTGGATAGCTAGACAAACAGGTACCTAGGTAGCTGAGAACGACTCACCCCTCCCTTCCAGGATGGCTGGACGTGAAAGCGCTACTACGCTACTACGCTAGTTACGCTACTACGACAGAAAGAGACACCCGGAGGCGCTGCGATTTGCTGAAAAGAGTGAAAAGACGCCAAATTTTCTGCCAGACAATGTGAAGGCCGCCGAGCCCCGCCAGCCCGCGTCTCTACCTGGTGGGGCTTTTCGAGTGGATATGAACATTTTTTTTCCCTCCCACCACCAAGCTTCGTTCAGTGCTACCTGAAAGGAGTAGAAAAACTGTAATCGAAACGGTGCAGGCTGCCATCTGGGAGAATGCAGGAGAATTTTCCATGTAGTGCAACGTGGAGCAGGGCGGGCCAACGGCGTAAGGTAGTATTCACAATGTTGTGTTCAGCGGTCAGTCAGTCGTTACTCAAGACGGAGTAATAACTGGTACTTCGTAATTACTATTTACGTGCAGTTGTTGAGTCCCCAGCTCGAACAAAAACAGTAGGAAACGGGCTTGCTGCATCTATACGTACAAAGACTTGTAGACAATGCACGGATGCATACTGGGTCTCCTAGGTGCATCTTACGGGGCAATGAATGTTTCTCGTTCTTTTTTTGACAAAAGTTTCTCGGCGTTGTTGTCGGCTGTGCTGCCATTGGATATAGATTCCACCTTGGCTTGTCAGTTGTCACACAACACTGTCGTTTGCGACCGGGAATTAGTTAGCGGCTGGCAAATTACCAGACTATTGAGAATGTGACATGATATCATTGAAATCCAAGACTTGTACGATTTCTGTCATTTGTATTATTTCAATGGCACATGGAGGATGGTCCATGGCTGCATGCAGCACCCACCCAGACACGACAGCTGCACAGCGCGCCAACAGCAAAGTATCACCACAGGCAGTTGTGCAAATGCTGCTCTTGATACCTGCCCCGGACATGGAAGTTTAGAGCAAGGAGAGAGGTATCTGTATTCATTCTTCTGCAAGCACTTGATATGCCCTACTTTCCTCTCTACCTAGGCATTTACTGGCCGTTTGCTGGCCGTTTGCTGTCACCCACTGCCAACGCGGCAAGGGCTGGCGTGTGCCTGGCGTGTGCCTGAATCAGTGGACTGATCAATTCAAGTAGGTGCCCAAGCAGTAAGCACCAAGTAAAATTTAGTGCTCAGCGCGCAGCACACACCACCTGCTGCCAGCCCGAGTACCTACCTACCTACCTGAGCTTGGTTGGCTACACCCATCAACTATTCTACCTCCAACACCTACTATAATTATGCCCTCTGTTGTGACCCTTCGCCGCCCTCTTGTCTTCCCATACTGCCTTCTTCCACCGTTGCCCATTCTCCTCTTCTTCTCTCCGACATCCTTCTAGACTTGCGTCAGGTGTGACATTTGTCAGCCATTTATTAGAGTCCGGCTCTTGCTGTGCTGCTCTATTTATTTGATGAATTACCCTGCTGCCACACCTAGGTTATATTGTTGCTTGCTACCCTCGCCTTGGCCGCCAGCTCACGCACCACACGCCGCCTGCCGTCACCCGCAGACCTACACATCTGCCACTGTATCGCCCGACCTCTGCTCACCACTCAGCTAATTTCGGCCTCTTCTCTCTCGCCGTCCTCATTCCATTCGTCTCTCTTTGGATCTACTTCAGCTGGAAGATGCCGCTGCCTTTTCCTTTGTCCGCCTCGTTCTGGTTGGCAGCAGTGTAACATTTCATCTACATCGCCGTCTTCGACAGCATACAACTCTGCTGCAACTTTCAACCACCTTCATCTGCTCTCAAACAACATTGACACGCTGCTTGTCCACCGAGGAACCACGTCCATGTCATGGCCTTCCAAACCAACGTTCTTCGTGGCGGCCAGTGGGTTACCGAGACGGTCGATTTGCAAGATGCCCTACAAGCCTCTGCTTCTGAAAAACCGCCTTCGGACCCCCGCCTTCCAGAGCCACCAACTCTTGGTGTTTTGACAAAGACTGTCGTAGAAAGCCCAATTACCAAATGGATCTTACCACTTTCAATCCGCTCCACCAAGCAACAAGATCTTGCCTTCATCGGGGTACGTTGTTGCCGCTTGCTCTTTGCACCCAACTACTCACCTGACCCAACACGAAGCCTGCCTACTAACATTACATGTTGCCAAACAGGAACACTTCGTTCAGATAAGTGAGCTCGGAAAGGATGGTCAAATTCACGAAGTCATTAGAAAGAATGGCTTCGGTCCCAGAATCCGAAACGCTGTTGTTCTCGGAGTAGGTTCAGACTATGGCATCATCAATGGTTCTCTGGCAGTTCGAGTCAAATCAGAGGATGGTAGTCCCCAACTACATCAGACCATTGCTGAGCCACTCGACTCTCCAACCACTCATCATGCCATACCCCCCCAAGTACTCGTTCTTATCCTCGAGAATGGCGACGCAGTCTTTCTATTTCTCCGCAAGGGGCCTGACTCCACGATCGAGTTCGTCCTCAGTAACTATAAGCTGCCAAGATCAGTGCCATACATTGGCTTTCATTTAGCCGTAGACCCATCCTCTCGCTACATGGCTGCTTCGTCTCCCGAGGGTGTACTGGTTGTCTACGAGCTTCACGACTGGACGTATCTCAACTCGCGATACATCAAAGACGGCACTTTCTCTCCCATTCGCAGAATTCATTTTCGCACCGTTCAAGGTCTCATACACAACATGAATTTTCTTTTTCCTCGTCCAGAGGACGACTACCACATCATACTCTTGCTCGTTGTCATTCGTAAAGAAAGACACAACACAGAGCCCCTCTCGAGAATGATGACATACGACTGGGAACTCGGTGACAATTTAAAGACCGTTTTTCATGAAGAAAAGCTCGGAAATCGCTTGCCTGATGAGCACAAGATGCCGATATTGCTGATTCCCCTCAAATTCAAGACGGCCTTCTTCGCCGTTTCCAAGAATAGCATTGGCGTAGTCAAGCATGCTCTTTCTGGCTCTCCTGAGTACGAAAGACTAAGAACTGATATGCCAAAACGAACCAAATTCTACAACGGCAAGGGCGAACCTTTGTGGACGGCATGGACGCGTCCAGCGCGACTGCGGACATGGTTTCAGCGAACAGACATCATTTTTCTCGCCCGCGAGGACGGTGCCTTTATCTTTGTGGATATCGACCAGAAAGAAATGGTACCCTCTGTTATCAATGTCGGCTGCTTGGAAACCAATATCAGTACTGCTTTTGCAACATCATACGATCTCTTTTCTGACGTCTTGATTGTCGGCGGAGACTCTGGCCCGGGAGGCGTATGGAAGGTATATAATCCCACATCATAATCCATCAGCTGAGCTATGCTGACAATATTGTCTTTCGAACTAGTTGGCTCCTCGAACGGACCTAGAACAGGTCAATACAACGCCGAATTGGTCGCCTGTTGTTGACGTAGCAACGACCTACGAGCCGGTGACGGTGAAAGATGCCGGAGCACGACAGAGAACCGCCAATCTTATGACAAGTCGAAAGCCTGATAGTATCTTCACGGCGTCAGGAAGAGGTTGCAAAGGTAGTATAACGCAGTGGCGCTCAGGTATTCAGGCGAAAATCGGACTTGATATTGAATCGGGTGAACCGAACAAGCAAGCATGGGTATTCCCCGTTAGTGAAGAGGGCACAACCTCTCTTTTCGGTATTTTGGCATTGCCGCACTCAACTCGGGTCCTGCAGTTTGCCAAGGATTTCGGCCAGGTCCAGGAAATAGAGGCCGACGATACTTCGCTAGATCTCTCGAGTCGTACTCTTTTTGCAACTCAACAACCTGACAACAACATCTTGCAAATCACTGAGACATTCATCTGCATCTCTGGTTCTGTCACAAAGTACGCATTGTTCTATCATCCAAAACTTCTACCCCATAATGCTAACACTTTGCTAGATCTCGAACATCATTCGAAGAACTACTTGGCACGCCTAGTATTGGAATTGACAAAGCCCACGGCATGGAGAATACATTTCTACTGTCTGCACAAGAAAGAGACGGAGCCGAGATATCAGTTGTTGGGCAGCAAGCAGCCCGTTTCAATCTTATCATGACTTGGAAAGTAGACGGCGAGATTACTGCCGTGAGCCTTTTTCGTGTCCTTGGAGAGAAATTGGCGGGTATCGCTTCCATTAGTGAAGGACAGCCGAGTTTCTCTGTCTACACATTAGACGGGCAGCTTTGTGTCGGAAAACCTTTGAGCATGGGCGGAAGCGGAGCCGATACGATTGGTCTTGAGGCAGTAACGAGCATCTGCGCTGTGGACGACGAATCAAACACATCCGTGCTGATACTGGGAACTAGATGTGGCCACATGATAACAATGTCCGTCTCCAAGGAGGAGCCGAGACAGCTCACTTGGATGACGGAGACTCTAGGAATCTCTCCAGTAGAGATATTCCCTGCACCGCGGTCTTTGCGCTCTGGACAAACGGCCTTTGCAAGCTGCGATGGAAGCTTGGTGATGCTCTCCGATTACTCGGCCCGAAAAGGATGCTTCGTCACAAAAAGCGCCGTGATCGCGACGGACTTGAATGATATGGCGATGCCTTCACCGCCAGTTCACTCCATCTGCAGCCTCGATGAGAATCTTTCAGAGCACGACGGCCATATGTCGTTGCTCATGTTGGCAGGATCAAGAATCCTGATGACAGACATCTGGCCGCAGACTGGACTGGTGCCTCGATCGATGACACTGGATGGATCGCCCTCGAGAGTTATTTACTCAAAGACGTGGAAGTGCCTCATTGTTGCTTTGATCAGAAATGACCGGCCGACACTGGAATTTCTGGATCCTGAAACTGGAGCAATCATTTCAGACCCATCGGACAAGGAAATGAATTCTTCAAACTTCATTTCCGGACTCGGTCACGAAGGCGACCGAATATACGGCCTACACGAGTGGCTCTATGTCAAAGACGGGCGAACGTTTTCCTTTATCCTCGTGACGACCCACCTTGGTCGCCTATTGATTGTGTCATTGAAGCAGGCAGAAGTAATGACGGAAGATGGTCCAGTGCATCGTCTGAAATACTGGACCCGATACAAGAAAGGGCTGTCCGGACCAGTGAGTGCCATCACAGGAGATGCTGATGGGCTGATATTCTGCGTGGACCGCACACTGCACTGGGAGGTTCTGGACCTGGTTGACAAGAAGCTGAAGCCGATGAAGGAATATCTTTTAGACTCTCCAGCGGTGCAGCTGAAGATTGTGGATGGCAAGATTCATGCCTTGACGTATTCAAACTCGCTGGAAGTAATCGACCATCGCACAGGTAGCGGAAGCGCCATGTCATTGCTTCACACAGACCAGGTGGCGAGGCGAACAGTTCACATGTTGGATATTGGCAGCAACGTTGACGGCTCAGAAGCTGGCCCAGTCACGCTACTGGCAGATTACAAGAACGGATTCGCAGGTGTATGGGTTCCGAAGAGCGAAAACAACCTTGAGCTACGGGCAGTATTTGAAGGTCTTCTTCCTAGCTCCGTGCGCCGGTTCGTCAAGTGTTGGAGCCGACCGCTGTGGGTAGCTGCGAACCGAGGCGTGCGGTACGGCGCGGTGCGCAGCAGCGATGACGGAGCAGAGATGCTGGGAGTAGGGCTTGATGGTGCGCTGTATCAGTTCACACTGATTGAAGTCGAACTCTGGAGACTTTTGTGTCTCATCCAAACACTGGCACACCGCAGCCCGCTACTTTATCCTCTCTATAACCCAGCGATAAGCGGCGACCCTGGCGACGACGAGGCGGAGCTAGAGCCACAGCTGCATCCGAGACTGATGCACATTGACGGAGACATTCTGGAGAAATGCACAGAGGGTCGAATACTGGAAAAGATAGTAGGCGATGGAGACGGGCTCGACTTATTCTGCGAGTACCTTGATGGCATCGAGGGCGGGATATGCACGAGCAGCTTTCGGGACAGTATGGAGGAAGAATTGCGCTATAACAAGTACTTTGAAGTGGCGTATGAGATATTGGAATATCTCTTGGCGCCAGTTGTATGAAAGTGAGGTTGAAGAAGACTGTAATATATCCGTGTCATGATGGGATGAAGGATGATGCCCGCGGGGATCTGAGATGGCGAGGGATTTTTTTCGAAAAAATAAAATAAAATAAAAATAAAATGAAATAAATAATAAAAAATTATGTGTTGGTTTAAAGAGACGTGACATCCAGCACTATGATGACGAAAGTGATGAACAGTAGGGAGAAGAGAGTCTGAGAGACAGAAACGAGGCAGCAGCGTTACCGAATTTCATGTACGTGGCCCTCTAGTGCTCTATGGCTGGCTGCTAACGTGACTGGTGCCTTCTGGCTGGTGCCTTGATTATAACTCGATGACTGATGTCTGTCAGACTGATAATACTGATGGCGTTTGGATATTCAAAGGTCTGATGACTTGGTGACTCGAAAGTCTAGTGCACTGTGGCTGGTGAGGCTTGTTAGTGTCTTCGATAAAAGCATCTTCGACAAAAGCATCTTCGATAATAGCAAAAGAATCTTGGGACAGGGGGGCGCAGCATCGTGACAATATTGCTACCAATTGTGAGATGGAAAGGGAAGAAGATGATGTACCTGATTGAATGGCCGAGTCACAGGCCACACCTAAATAACAGTGACTGACAGTGACGACCGACCGCGGGGCATGGAAGCCCCGCCATCAACTGCCCCGCTACCTAACCTCTACCTACCTACAGGCTGCGATAGGCCGATAGGCTGGTTGACGGGAGCATTGTCATGCAGTGGCTGGATGCTGCTTCGTGAGTAAAATTACAGAGAACACAGAGCCTTGCTTGACCTGCATTGCATATTTAGCTACGTCTGGATCTGGGTGCTTGGCCGGTGCTCTGTATTACTGGGCGTGTGGTAGCGTGCGTCACAGGAACCGCAACCAGTGTGGTTTAACCCCACACCTAGCACACTTGCACCGCTGGACAATTGGGAGGCGAAAAAAAAAAAAGAAAAGAAAGATTGGCCATTCTGGCTGCCGCCTGGGTTTGCACTTCATTGACTTCTTTCCACCCTCCATCCTCTACAACCCCCGCAACATCGCTGAACCGCGGGAGGATTAAAAGTCATAAAAGGCCAACGCCTACAGCCTCGATAACGGCACTTTTCTCTTCCACCCATCGACCCAACATGGCGCCTAAGAAGAAGGGAAACAAGAACGGCCAAAACGACTGGGAGACCGATCTGGGCGAGACCATTGCCCCGCAGGATGCCAATGGCCAACACAACGCCGACGATGCTAATGCCAACGGCGATGACGAAGCTGCTTCCGGAGGCGGCGGAGGCCTAATGGCCCAGCTGCGCAAGAACAAGCAGAAGCGCAAGAACAAGGGCGGCCAGGACAATGACTTTGTCGACGGCGAGGATGCTTCCGGCGCTGCCCCTCTAGCTGACCTCGCCGGAAAAGCTGCCCAAGAGGCCTCCATGGACGACGAGTTTGCTCTTCCTGCGAAAAAGGGCAAGGGTGGCAAAGCCAAACCCGCGCCCGCAAAGCCTGCTGAAGCTGCTGCCGACGACGACGGCGACGACGGCGGCCGCATCCTGACAAAGGCCGAGAAGGAAAAACTCAAGAAGGAGCGCGAGAAGCAAAGAAAAAAGGAGCAGGCTGCCAAGAAGAAGACTCCCACCACGGCAAAGTCAGAAGCTGCAAAGCCCGCGGCCAAGGAAACTGCTGCTGCTGTTCCCGAGGTGTCCGCCCCCGCCCCCGCCCCCGCCGCCGAGACGGGAGGCAAGAAGAAGAAGCTCCCCGCCCACATTGCCAAAATTCAGCAGCAGCAAGAAGAACTTCGACGTCAAAAGGAGGAGGAGGAACGCATTAGGGCTGAGCTGGCCGCCAAGGAGGCCGAGGCTGATCAGCTCGCCGAGGAAGAAGAGAGGCGCAGAGAAGAGGCCAAGGCCCTGAAGAAGCAAAAAGAAAAGGAGCGTATCGAGCAGCTCAAAAAGGAAGGAAAGTTTATGACCAAGGCCCAAAAGGAGGAAAAGGCTCGCAACGAGCGCAAGCTCCAGCAGATGCTGGCGGCCGGTATCAAGGTAGGCCCTGCGGATGAAGAATCTGCACCTAAGAAGAAGGCCGCCCCGGAGAAAAAGCGCAAGGGCAAGATGGAGCAAAAGGCAGAGGAAGAGGCTGCTCTCGCTGCCGCTGCCGAGAGAGCCAGGATACAGGCCGAGGAGATTCTGAAAAAGGCGGAAGAGGAAAAGAAGGCCAAGGAGCAGGAAGAGGCTGCCAAGAAGGCCGCCGAGGGAAGCGATGTCGAAGATGACTGGGAGGCGGCGGCTGATGACGATGATGTCAAAGACAGCTGGGATGCCGACAGCGACGAGGAGGCTGAGAAAAAGGCCGCTGCCAAGGCGGCACTGGCCTCGCAACGCAAGGAGGCTGATGACTCGGACGAGGACTCTGACGAAGACTCTGACGACGACAGCGAAGACGACGAGGAAGTTTCCAGAGCGCAGGCCGCCGCGGCTCAGCGCAAAAAGGAAGCCGCCGAGCGCCGTGCCGTCGCCCACAAGGCAGCCATGGATGCCCGTTCTAAAGACAACCTCCGCTCCCCCATTTGCTGTATTCTGGGTCACGTAGATACCGGTAAAACAAAGCTCCTGGACAAGATCCGACAGACCAACGTCCAAGAAGGCGAAGCTGGTGGTATTACCCAGCAGATTGGCGCCACATATTTCCCCGTCGAAGCCATCAGGCAGAAGACGCAAGTCATCAACAAGGACGGTGCTTTTGAGTTCAAGGTACCCGGTCTCCTGGTCATTGACACGCCCGGTCACGAGTCCTTTTCCAACCTCCGATCTCGCGGATCCTCGCTCTGCAATATTGCCATTCTGGTCGTCGACATCATGCACGGTCTGGAGCCCCAGACGCTTGAGTCGATGCGTCTGCTCCGCGAGCGCAAGACTCCGTTCATTGTCGCCTTGAACAAAATTGACAGACTGTTTGGCTGGAAGAAGATTGACAACAACGGCTTCCAGGAGAGTCTGGCGCTCCAGAACAAGGCGGTCCACAACGAATTCGACAAGCGTCTGTCCGAGACCAAGCTCGCCTTTGCTGAACAGGGGTTCAATGCTGAGCTCTACTATGAGAACCCGTCCATGTCCAAGAATGTCTCGCTGGTGCCCACCTCTGCCCACACTGGAGAGGGTATCCCTGACATGCTCAAGCTCATTATCCAACTGACACAGGAGCGCATGACCAATGCTCTCATGTACTTGTCCGAAGTCCAGGCTACTGTTCTCGAAGTCAAGGCTATCGAAGGCTTCGGCATGACTATTGACGTCATTCTGTCAAACGGTATTCTCAAGGAGGGCGACCGCATCGTGGTATGCGGTACTGAAGGGGCCATCAAGACAAATATCAGAGCGCTGCTCACACCCGCCCCTCTCAAGGAACTTCGTCTCAAGTCGCAATACGTACACAATAAAGAGGTCAAGGCTGCTCTTGGTATCAAGATTAGTGCGCCGGGCCTGGAGGGCGCCATTGCCGGTTCTCGCTTGATGGTTGTGGGCCCCGACGACGACGAAGATGACATCGAGGACGAGGTTCTGTCCGACCTCGACAACCTTCTGAGCCGTGTAGAAAAGTCGGGTCGTGGCGTCAGTGTCCAGGCGTCCACCCTTGGTTCCCTCGAAGCCCTGCTGGATTTCCTCAAGGACTGCAAGATTCCCGTCGCCAACGTCGGCATCGGCCCCGTGTACAAGCGCGACGTGATGCAGTGCGGTATCATGCTGGAGAAGGCGCCCGACCTGGCCATTATGATGTGCTTCGATGTCAAGGTCGATAAGGAGGCGCAGCAATACGCCGACGAGCAGGGCATCAAGATTTTCACAGCCGATATCATCTACCACCTTTTCGACGCGTTCAACCTGCACATGAAGGAGATGCTGGAGAAGAAGCGTGAAGAGTCCAAGCTGCTCGCTGTCTTCCCCTGCGTGCTTAAGCCCGTCGCCATCTTCAACAAGACGGGCCCGATTGTCATTGGTGTCGACGTCGTGGACGGGCAACTCAAGATTAACACCCCCATTGCGGCCGTCAAGACCAACCCCATCACCAACGTCAAGGAGATTATCAAGCTCGGTCGCGTTACATCGATTGAGCGCGAGCACAAGCAGATTCCCGTCTGCAAAAAGGGACAACCGTCGGTGGCGATCAAAATCGAAATGGGCGGCACCCAGCCCACTTACGGCCGGCAGCTCGAGGAATCGGACCAGCTGTACAGCCACATTTCGCGCGCGAGCATCAACTGTCTAAAGGAGTTTTACCGCGAAGAGGTGACGAATCCGGAGTGGAACCTGATTGTCAAGCTCAAGCCGCTGTTGGATATCCAGTAGACGAATTTTCCGTGTGCACGAGTATGACATTCATGACGAGGGCAACGAAAAATTTGTTGGCATTATTCCTTGTGTGGACGACGGGATAATGCAGTGCGTGCTTGGTCCGAGGTCGCGACGTAAATGGAAAACGGACGCTGGGCATTTACGCAAAAGCATGATGGTTACGATTGAACCAACTCTTTTTGATTTACTTTCCTATCTTCATCTAGTTCCCCTCATCTGTCAATTTTTTCCCAACGCAAAATATCGAAACAGAAGAATGAAGAGGAGAATGAAGAGACGGAAGAGAAGAGAAGAATGTAGGAAAGCATGAAGGAAAGATGATGTCAAGGAAAACTTTTTTTCTGTTTTTACTGTTCAATTTATTTTATATAGTGTATCTCAACGTTGAAATGATTCTATTTTCAAATTCATGCAGTCTATTATGCATCGTCAACGTAGTAATAATATTCGTGCAACAATGTTGCTGTACAGACTTGAGTCACTGAAATGATTCGGGCAAAAGTTCTTTTGCGCACAAGACGCATCTATACAGCATCTTTATTTGTCGTCTCTAAAACATTAAAATAAAACAAAAAAACAAAAGAAAACAATATTCCCATTTCCCTCATGCCTTCTTTTGTTTATATATTGCGTCCCAATGAAAAGAGAATTCTTCCTAAATCAAAATGTCTCTGTTTGCTTTTCTCTTCTCTCTTTGAGCCTTCATAAAACGTGTCATTTTCTTTCAAAGCAAAAATTCAACGCGCCCCATCCTGGTTCAAAAAACCTTATTTGGAGTCAGCGGCGGCATCATCGGCCTGGGCGCCATCGGCATCCTTCATTTCGGCGTCGGCACCCTCGGCGCCCTTTTCAGCCTCAGCAGCCTTGCGAGCTTCTTCCTCAGCGGCTCTTTTGGCAGCCTGCTCGGCATCGACGCGTTCTTGGACAGCTTGTCGCTCTGCCTCGACTTTCTCAAAGTGACGCTGGATGACGGGGCCGGCCATGGCGCGGATCTCATCAATCTTGGCGATATAGACGCCCTTGGAGGCGTCCTCACCCTCGTCGTAGAGCCAATCCTGCGGACATGATTAGTTTTTGAGTTTCAAGTTTGATGGACCATAGATTTGACATACCTCGGAAGCTTCAAGCTTGGCGCGAATCTTGTCCTTCTCCTCATCACTGGCGAGATCAGCATATTGCTCCTCCAGCTTGGCACGAAGATCATAGATGTAAGCCTCAAGCTCGTTCTTCTTCTCCTCGGTGTCGGCGACGAGCTTGTCTTCCATGACCATGGCAGCCTCCTTCTCGGCTAGGGCGGTGCGGGTAGCTTCATCGAGAGACGAGGTGCCGCTGGAGATGGGCAGGTCACCAGCGCGGACCTGCTTCTTGACCTTGCGAGTCTTCTTAGGGGCGTCGTCCTTCTTGTCAGTGTCCATGGCCTGAAACAATGTTAGCATATTTCCATCAAAGAAACATAGAAGTCAATCTTACCTCGGGGTCAGCCTCCTCCTTGACCTCCTCTTCGACTTCTTGATCGACAACGTAGTAGCCAGTCTCGACATTCAGAATGCCGTGAATGTTGACACGGGCCTTGAGGCGGCAGACCATGAAGTCGTCAGTTTCGGTAGGCTTGACACCCTTGACGGAGAAGCGGCCAATCCAGGGGGCCTGCTTTCCGGGAAGGTCCTCGGGCTTGGCGTAGCGAGCCTCAAGGTCAAAAGGCTGCTTGCGGTAAAAGGTCAGAATTTTGGTCGAAGGCAGAACACCGCCCTTGTTAAAGACAGTGAGGCTCGTGTCCTCATCGGGGATGTCAGCAGCCTTCTCCCAGGTGAACTCGATGGGATAGCTGACAATGTCCTGGACGGCAAAGTCACGGACGCGGAAGACGGGGGAGAGAATGGCGCAGCTGAAGGCACAGCCGCGGGCAATGGCTTCGTCGGCGTTCATAGTGAAGGAGAGGGGCTTGCCGAAGAAGGACTGGAGACGCTCCTTGAGAGCTGGGACACGAGAGCCACCGCCGACAACCTCGACAATGTCAATGTCGTCCTTGGTAAGCTTGGCCTGAGCGAGAGCGGCCTCGAGGGGGTCAAAGGTGCGGTTAAGGAGGGGTTGGATCATGTCCTCAAATTCCTGACGGGTGACGTTGACGGAGACGTCAATGTCGTTCATGAGAGACTCAATATTGACGGCAGATTGCTGGTTAGCGGATAGGACCTTCTTGCACTTTTCGGCGGCGGCAATGGTACGGGCCATGGCGCGACCGTGGGTGTAGATGTCAGCATTGTACTTTGTCTTGAACTCCTTGGCGAGGTGATCGACGAGGGCCTTGTCAAAGTCACGGCCACCAAAGTCGCGGTCCCAGGCAGTGGCCTTGACAGCAAGCTCGCCCTTGCGGAACTCGACAATGGAGCAGGTGTAGTTGGAGTGACCAATGTCGACGAAGAAGACGCGCTTGGGGGGCTCGTCTGAGCCGGGAAGGTCGAGTTTGGTGATGCCCCAGCCGAGAGCGGCGGCGGTGTTGTCGTTGATGAGGCGGAGGAGCTTGAGGCCGGCGAGCTCGGAAGCGTCGAAGAGGGCGCGGCGCTGGGCGTCGGTGAACCAGGGAGGAACGCTCATGCAGAGATCGGAGACGGGGAGCTTGAGCTCGGCGGCGGCAGTCTGCTTGATCTTGCTAAGGTACATGCCAACGAGCTGAGTGGCTGTGAAGCGTTCCTTCTTGCCAAGGTAGCTAACCTCGGCGCCGACCTGGCCATTGATGTCGACCAAGGGAGCAGTGATGAACTGCTGCTCAACCTGGACATCGGGGTCGTTAAAGGCGCGACCGGCAAGGCGCTTGAGGCAGTTGACGGTGTTCTTGAGGTTGGAGATTTCCTGGGTCTTGGCCGTCTCGCCAAGATAGCGGGACTTGGGACCGAATCCGACGAGAGAACTATAGCGGGCGGCCTAGTTAGCGAGGGACTCGGCTGGGGGTTAGTTTGTAATAGTCTGGGGGTACGTACGGAGTAGCACGGTTGGAAACTTCGTTGGTAACCTGTGAGCGATCCAAGGTCAGTACAAGGGCTCTGCATGTGAAAACTGGGCAAGGCAGAAGCTGGGTCTGGTTGGGCAAACGTACCACGTCGACGCCGCGGTTTCTGGCGACGGCAATGACCGTCTTGAGGGTACCGAAATCGACACCTAGAGAAGAAGAAGAGGACAAATGTCAGTGAGACGCGCGCGAGAGAAATGGGCCAGTCACAAGCGCAAAGGGCGATCCGAAGGCTGTTGGCATTTGTGTGCGCTGCGCCTGGGCAAAGCGGTGGGTTGAGGTTCGGCGAAAAGCGACTTACCGACGACACTCATGGCTGCTGTGTGAGAAGAGTGAATATATATAAAGGCAGGATTTCAGAAAGAATATCTTCCCCAGTCAGCCGCGATTTTCAAAGCAAAAATCCGGGACGCTAAAGTCTATTCGAAAAGGGTTTGATTTTGGGTGTTTGTTTGAAGATTCGAGGTTGGAGGAGGGGGATGGATGGATGATGGCCTAGAAAGAAAGATTTGGTTCGGGAGGCGGGGCAGCGGACGGTTGACGTGTGGCGGTTGGCAGGTGAGGTGAGAGAAGAACGTTTTTGGGGGCTGCACAAGGCGGTTCAGAGGCTGTATTTAACTTGGTAATTATTCGCTGGTAAGAAGATGATGCTTATACGATATCGAGTAACAGAATATTCATATTAAAAGGCAAAGTTGTACAGCTAAAAAAAAAAAAAAAAAACAGCAGTTCTGACAGTAATTATACCTGCCTACGTGCCTTCCTAGCTAGATGCATGCACTGAACTGACGCCTTTTTTTTATATTTTCTTTTAGGCTTACCAGTTGACGGACGCTACCTAGGCAGCAGCCACTGCAGGGGTCGCCCGCCGCCACAGCGCCTGGGCAAAACAGCAAGTTTGGCCAATCGTTTCTTTTCTTTTAGCGGCGGGCGGCGGGCGGTCAAGTTGATGCCTCACAGCAGAGATGGAGAAAGAAAATTACAGCGAGGAAAGGTACCTCTTGCACTAGCGCGGGGCTCTTTCCTCCTAGGTAGCTTCGCTACTGCAATTTGCCCGCGCCGGTACGCGGTCTCGGGTGCCCCGCCATCATGGCCACATGTACACGTCCTCGGGTGCCCGCCAAGACAGGTAAAGCATCTAGTAGAAGCTGGAAGAATTTTCCAGAGCAGTCTCTGGATAGGCAGCTTCCCAGCCAACTAGATTGGCCTGACCAACCAACTAACTTGCTGTACCTAGCTGCCCGTCTGCTTAGCCAGGGTCGCTCCATACCTGGGTAGGTACAGATGGCTGCTGGACTGTAACAGACGGTCGAATTATGTACCAAGTATTCTTCGAAGCCACCATCTACCCGCTGGTCACCCACCACCCACCATAGCTTCATTCGTCACTCAACCTCCACGCTCATGACAACACATACAACCTCCCATCGACTCAACCAACCTTTTCAATAGTTATCACAGCTCACTCTTGCCCAACACCTCCCCGCCATGATCCATCCCACAAGCCGCCCCCCTCCCTCTTCTGCCCTGCCCGGTTGCCCCGCCGTCCACCCATGGGCCATCCACCCCGAACTCTCCTCACTTATACCCGGCTGACCTATAAGCTGCCTGCCAAGACAACGCCTCGTCCAATATCAACAACATTCTTTTTGACACATGACTTATAAATTTCATCATCATAATACCTTGCTAGCAATTTCTCTTGTAAATGACCAAAGCTCCAGCTAATTTGCTTCGCCCTCACCGCGACGACCCAGTTCCTCCCCCGCCGCTACCTCTTCCGCGCTCTCCTCCCTCGTGACCCGCCTCGCTTCCTTTGCCCGTTGTGCTGCTATGTATTTCCTCTTATCCTCCTCGCTCATAAAACTCTCCATGAACTGACTCTGCAGCACATTGTTTCTCCCTTGCGGCACTTCACCCTCAGACAACATGCTTTCCACAGAATCACGCGCCTCGTGCATCGCCCATTGAGGTAGCACTGATTCTCCCCCAGCCACCAGGGAATCATTGACGTGCTCAAATGTACCTTCTTTGGTCCGCTGTCTCGCTGAGAATAGACCATCCACCTTGTCCGGAGGCCGAACAGTGCTCCTTGTCCTTCCAAGCCCCTGCTGTTGACCTGCCGAAACTCCGGGAGACTGCAAGAGCCTTGCCTGTCTCGCCGGAATAAATGTTTCTGGAACAACATTCAACTCATCCCCCTGCTCTTCTGCCTTCTCTGCTGCTTCTCGCGCTGTCGTCGTTCCATCTGCTGCCGCAGCATCTGCTCTTGGCCCTCCCCACGTCCTCTGCCCAGCTGTAAAAATCCCATATACGGTGTAATACCAATTGAAGAATGGGTTCAAAATGAACATGAGCGGGTAGAGCCACGCCTTAAAGCGCCGAAGTTTTAGGCCAAAGTAGAGCATCAAGGCCCAGTTTAGGCCCAGAGACACCGCAATGAATCCCACCGGCAGGTCGTGAATCGTCGCCGTTGTAGACAATAGTGCGATGACCATGATGAAAAACAGCAGTGACGTCGTCCGAATCGTATTTTGCATGAACCGAACTAACACGAGAATTGGATATCGCTTCCATAATCTCCAATCTGTCAGCATGCACACCTCGTTCGTCATAAACCCCAAGAACCATCGACGCCGTTGCTTAACGAGTGATCGATATGTCTGTACGGCTTCCGTTTTGCAAAATGCAGACGTGCACATTTGAATCTGATACTTCTTCTTGGCTCCAATCATAAACAGATGCGTAAGCCATCTATCTTCCCCCAAGTGACATTTGGCAAAGTCAAACAAGTCCTCGCACTGTTCTGCCTTGTCAGCAAAGTAGTACTTTGCCATTCGTCGGAATGCTGACAGCCGAAGCATCGTTAAAGCTCCGGGAAGGCACGTCACTGAGCCACACCCGGACTCTACTGTCCTCTCAAACAGCTGCCCGTGTATGTACTCGATATCTTGTAGCAGGGTGATTATGCTGTGCTTCTTTGTCGTCGAGGTGATGACACCAGTCATTGCCAGCATGTCCTTGGTGTTGCCTGGACTAAGCTCCATGTCGTAGACGAAGTTCTGCAGGCACACTCGATCAAGGATACAATCAGAGTCGATGAAGAGAATGAATAAATTGTCGTTGCGCTTCAAGTAGCGCTCATAGACCTTGTCAATCAATCGAAATGTCATTTTCTGACAGTGCCGTTTGCCTCCATGAGGAAACCGCGAAACAGTCACTCTTGACGACTTATACATGACGTCGATGCTGCGCGGATAAGAGCCCCTTGATTCTGGTACACCGAGCTTTGCGATCGTGTTCAAGTACAGTTCGTCTTGCTGATCGCCGTCAAACGACAAGAAGACGTGAATGCACGCTGCCGGATAATCGCAGTCCACTACCGAATTGATTGCAGTAACGAGGACATCTGGCTCTTCTCGGTAACAGGGCATAACGATGACCACTTTTGGAGCCGTGACATCGTCTAGCACCAGTTTTATTCGCTTCGTTCGGCCGAGTTGGTTCGTCACGAGTTGGTAGATGCAAAAGAGCCATGGCACCGTCAAGAGGATCGCAAAGCTCCAAAATGCAAACGACTGCAGGGCCATGGCTGCTCTTTCCGGCCAGTATCGGGTTATCTGCTTTGGCAGTGGAAGCGTCACGACCATGACAGGCAAGAATACTAATCTGCGACGCGGTTAGCAGGCACAGCACAAGGATCACGATGCGCGAAACCTGCCTCATCAACACAAAGGCGAGCCCCACGACGATGCAGAGCACATTGATGGACCAATGCTCTGCCTTTTTAAACGCCTTGAAAATGCAATACATGAATGCTGACAGCCAGAGAAACCACTCCAACAGCGCCATCAGCATGACCACGCCGACCACTGACGTATAAACAATCTAGCCAAGCAGATTAGTTGGTATTTATCCCATCTGCAAATTTCTTGTTATTTTTTGTTTCTCATCCATGCGTCTACTCACGTCCTTGATCGGCCATGCCGCAGATGTTGAAGCCATAGGTAGCAAAGGTTGAGCGCCCAGACGAATAATCTTGCAAGAGGTTCGCCGTCCTCTGTTCACATGGGCGACGTCCTTGCAACCGCCATTTATCAACGTCAGTTGACAAAGGAGATATGTTACCAAGGCATTCTTCAGCCCAAGCTTCGCCGTGACACCGCCTCATGCAGTCGGCCGTGTACCGCTTGGGTTTGTGCCACCTCTACTCCGTACCCAACGCCCGACGAATGGCAGGGGCCACCTGCTGTTTGCTGTTGCTATTTTGGCGGTCCCAGGTTTCACAGCTTCGTATAAAAACTCGGTTCTTTGTTCAGCGCGCGCCAACGCAGCGTCAATATACTTGTTTTAATCTCTTATATCGATTGTGGCTTCAAAATAGGCTTCTTAGATACGTGGCAGACACCATTTGCAGATAACGCTGATATATGAATAGCTATGCACTTGTCTCGATGTCATTGGCGAACATGATTGATCGGCACCAGTGTACAGGGAAAAAAAGGGTTTTTTAGCAGAAATGTGCCCTGTGAGAAGGGCGGCGATTCCCACCAGCGCCATGCCTGCAATCTCGGCATCACCAAGTGCCGACGCGCTCCCGTGCCATTTTAGCAATCCTAGCGGCGTCTTTTTGTAATCACAGCGGCCACGACGCGGCTGCAGGCAATGTGTTTACGCTTGACCCGGATTGTATCTGCTGATATTCACTACAGCGACTCTTGCGGGCACGTTATTGCCGCATGCGATTTGATCCCGGAAAGCTGTTTGCGGTAGTATAGCTTTGATTTGCTTCGCGATCGGTCTCTGTCCTACCAGTCCACATCGCTAAGCTGCAGTTTTCGAACTCTCTGACCTCGGTCCTTGCCAGAACGCTCGACTCGATTGTGGTAAAACGTCGTTTGCTTCTCGCCACCTACACATTTGTTAGTTTCCGCCATGGTCAAGTGAGAGTCGGTTCAAGCTTACCGTCTTGGTCATCACTTTGCTGCAAATCATAATTCAGGACCAAGCTCTTGATGCGCTGCTGTTCTTCCCGCTCGGCTTGCTGCGATGTTCTCATAGCCAGTGCAAAGGCAGAGTCAGACGGCAATTCAACCGTCCGCGTCTACGAAATAATTAGCATGCGCAGGTTGTAGTGGTTTACATGCTCGTACCTGTTGGCGATTACCCTTCTTTGTCAAGAGAGAGAATGCCATCTTGTTTGCTGGGGCAGCAGAGCTTTCCGGTATTGGCGGCCCTTCGCCGGCACCCAACTCTCGAGCCTTGGGGCGAACAGGAAGGGGGACATCGAATTGCTGCTTGCGCTCAAATTTTCGCGATTCCAGGCTCTCCGCCATCATCTTGGCATATTCCCGTTCGAAATCAGCCTCGTCTTCTGGATCGATCGCCTCCTCCTGTCTCGTGACAACAATAGCCTCGTCATAATCTTGACTATCAGCATCCGAATCTTCAACTAGTTCGTTCATATCTTCCTCCTCCTCTGAGAGACTATCGTCATCTTCATCTACATCTGCGTCACCCTCAATCTCGTCCAAATCGCCATGCTCATCGTCAGACGAAGCGCCACTAGTCGCATCGTCGGCGTCGGCATCATTTGCCTTGTCTGCGCCGCTGGACTTCTGATCCAGGGCCACGGCCTCTTGGAAGGCCTTTGTGGCTTCCTCAAGATTCGCAGCAAATTTCCATTGAGGACGAGTCAAACCAAAAGTATCTTGCACGATAAAGTCAATGTCCATCGGAAGTGCAACCTTTGTGTGGACATAGTACTGAAAGAAGGAAAGGAAGAAATCCAGCTTCTTGCCTGCAGCGCCGCGATTGAAAAACACACCACACGTTTCCAGCATTGTCGAGATGAGTCGTATGCGGAAAAAGTCATCCGGCGGGTCAAAGGAATTGTACCGTCCGGGCACAGGAGCGCCACCATAGCCGAATGTGAGAATCTTGTACATGGCATCGAAGATGACGGGGTGCTCCAACATGCGATAGTTGTAGAGCTCGCTCAGATACTTGACTTCGGCCACCCTGCGCTGAAATGTTCTAAAGTCATTCTGCTCAAGGCCAAACGTAATGGACTCAATGACATTATCTATTACCTTGACAACAAAAGCAGGGTGATAGCGATAGAGCGCGCTCAAAAGGATGGCGAGCAAATGCACGTTGCCGTACTTAACTTTGCCAGGCTTGGAGAACACTTTCTCTAACATGGCAACAACCTATGAATTTGGTCAATGGCATGTTTTCACGTCTTTGAGATGGTTCAACTTACGTCGCTTTCCTCCCAATGCAAGCGCCTGATCTGCTTCAAGATTTTGCTATAATTTCGTTTTGTCATGTCGTTATAGACTAGCTTTCGAATAAAAAGCTCCATTGGTGTTCGCTCTTTCTGTTCAATAGCAGGACGCTCTGGTGGATCAACATAGTAAACAGCGTTGTCGATGAGCATTCGTTCCGGTTGACCAATATGTTGAACCGACTTTTTGCGCTGCAGCGTTTCCAAGAAGCTCACCATTCGTGGGGCAGTGTCGGGTGTCTTGAGTAGATATCGACCACAATTCTCCAAGAGATTGCAGAGAATCTCAATGTTCATTCGGGAAAAGTCATCTAGGCTGACTTTGAGACAATGAAAGACTACATGCTCCGGCACCACGCCGAATTTGGTGAGCTCAGCAAGATAGCGGATATTGCCAAGGCGGACCTGACCGAGAAAATCCTTTTCCTTCCGGCGCTGCAAACTGCGAAACTCGGCATCCAAGTATTCAACAAGACCCTTGGGAACATCTGGCATGTAACGACCCAATGTAGCGACGAGGCGGGACCAGGAGGGAAGCAGGTCTCCTCTACCCTTCGGTACTTCAGTCAGGGCTTTCACAAGCCGATTGCGAGAGGCTTTGGAGTTGAGATAGCAAAAATCGATTGCCATCTGATCGATAGTTTCTTTACCTGTCAAGTCCGGCAGTCGTGCCAGCAGCGCGTCAACCTGTGCACCGATTGTCTTGTTTGCAATGGCCATGGACTGATCCTCGGCAGGATCGGCAGCAACTGTAGCTTCGGCATCATCCGTCTTCCTGCCAACTTGATCTTCACCATCCGTCTTTTTCTTTTTGCCGTCTTCCAGCAGCATGGATGGAACTTTGCCCTTCAAGTCGACCAAGTTTTCATAGAAGCGCCTCTCTTCATCATCGTCCCAGATTCCCAGCCCATCGGCAGGAGAGCGGAGATACTCTCCCGTCTTCACAAGGCCGATACCAGCACCGGAGGCGTTGAGTGGGTCGTACGAGTCTTTCAGATCAGGCATCTCAGCCCCAATGGCGTCGGCAATGACCTGAGCGTTTGAGACGAGACGGTCTTGGGTCTTGACCTGTTTTTCGTAGTTTGCTTGCCGGTCTTCGAAGACCTCGCCACTCTTGACATATGCCTCTGCATTTCGGCGAGCTTGCGAGTGTATAGACTTTTGGTCTCGAACAATGTGATTCTTGACGTCGTCGAAATACTTGATGAGGATTTTTTTGAACTTTTCTGATACTTCTGGCGAAGTAAAAGGCTGATCAACTACATTGTCTTCGGTTTCTGTGGCAGATAGTACAGGCTCTGCTGCGGCGCCGTCTTCTTCAATAGTTTTTCTGCCATCAGCATTGACAGGCTTGACACCAAGGACGTCCCAGCTGAAGGCCTTGACAAAGATGACAAGCAAAGGAAGGTTGACGTGCTCGCGATCATAGCCAAGGAGATCTTTGAGAACTTCTAATGGAAATGGCTCGGCATAAGTGTTGTTCTTTGCGCTTGCGCGGGGCTTTATTTCGGCGGTTTTCGAAGCTACAGCTTTTGTCGCCTCGTCGGGTTTTACGGCATCGTCCAAGGTTCGTAAGACACCAAGCAGCCATAGCTCGGTGACGACTCGCAGCAGTGCCCTTTGTCTAGTAAGACGCTCCTTTTCCTCCTTTTCGCGGACCTCCTGAGGGAGAGCCTTGAGCGCACTTTTCTCGGGCGTAGCCATGCCACGGCCTAGAAGCCAGCTGAGGTGCTCTGTGAACTCGGCAGGACCGAAACGCTGGTGCAGAGCACTGGCAATCTCGGCACCGGCATCGACCTCGCCCGGAGTTTTGAGCTTGCAGAGTCCCTCATAAAAGGCGGATATGATCTCGGAGAGGTACTTGTGCAGGCTGAGAGTGCGAATTTCCTGAAGAAAGGTGCTCAGAGTAGCAGAAGTGATTGCGGTACGAAGTCGTTTAATAAAGGCAGTGTTTTTCTTGAGAGAAGAGTCGAGAGAGCTGTTGACTTGAAAGAGATTGGTTTCGCCAGCCCAAACACGCTCGTTTGTAGCGCGAAGTTCGCCTGCGCCAGGGTTAGCTGGCATCCGGACAGAATAGATGGAGTTCCGAAAGTTGCCAGAAGGGAACGTACGCTTTCTTGCGCGATCCATCGGGGACCGCGGCTTGAATCAGTGGTATTAACAGCAGAAAGGTAGTAAGTGGCTACATCCGGACGCTGGGTGCGCTAGGGGATAAGCTGCGCCGACAAAGGGTGCAGCGACCGGGCAAGGATCGTCGGCATCGGTGCGTGCAAAGAGGCAAGGCTGGGCAGCAGCCAGCAGAAGCGCAATAACGGGCGAGACGTCGGTGATGTTTGAATATCAAGGTCAAGATGGCGTTTACGTTTTACGTGCGGCTAGACTGTGATTGCATGTGGATGGATAATTCTGGAGTGGGTTTTCTGGAGGGGAGACGCCCGTGTTGGTTTAGCGTCTTCGCGAGCTTGTGGCGCACAGGCAAGATGGGCGGGCAGGTAGGATGTCAGTGAATGAGAGATACTGCAGCCACTGGAAGGTGCATGTATGTTTTGTTGTGGTGAAGCAGCGCAGCAGGTGCTCTGGCATGGTGACCTTTTTCTCCAATTTTCTGTTATGATTATTTTGGAGTGTCCAATATCCAGGTATCAGTCTGATATCACTACCACCAGGAAACACGCTGACTCTATTAGTTAGGTAAAAGTCTAGGTAGGTAGCGCAAGTTTCTCCAAATTGCCTTCCTTCACCGAACGGCTGGAACCCACTGGAGCAAGGAATCGGATCAACGTTGGCGCGGTCGTTTTTCCAAATAGCCCTGCTGATAATTTATTTAGGTGCCGGATGCAGTAAGTAGTTACGTACCTACTGCCCACGTCGCAGAGCCGCAAGTTCGCAACTACCTATTTGCTATGGCACTCCCATGCCGGCTACCCGTTTGTCATTGATCCATCTCCGACAACCGAAAATCTGGATTCGCTTTACCTTCAAGTATCTCAGGACTCTTCACTCCCTGAAGCAGCTAGAGCACCCGTAACACAAAGACTTACTTTTTCCAAATTTTTGGCACGCCAAAAGCCCCCCTTGGCACCCTCCCGCCCCGGAAATGCACCCCAGAGTCGTACCCCGGAGATGCTCAATCCATACGACCTACGCACGATAAGGGGGGGAGGGCCTCAGCGCTCCCAGCCCAGTCAATCTTTGACTAGCCCGTGCTTGACTTTGTTTCGTAGCGGCTTCATCGCCAATCGCCGCCGGCTATTTTCAAATCCGAAAACTTGCCCTCACGCCGTCATCACTCCGCCGGCTCCGAGACCTCCATCACTGCGTCGATGCCGTCTTTCCGAAGGTTGAACCAGCCTGGTTGCCTGGCTACCTGACTACGCAGCTACAAATTACTAGCTTGATATTTCTGCGCTGTATGTACACCGCAACCAGTTGATGCTGCGGGACTGAAAAGAAGCATCTCGGCCATGTAGTCAAGACGTGCGTGGGCGGACAAGGAGTTTCACAACTCTGGCAAGATAAATCGACGCAACTTCATAGGAAGTCGCCGCCAGTGATAGCATGATCGGCAAACGCCAATCTTGCCCTGTGCCAGATAACGGGTGTGGCTATCGTGTGTGGTGCGGGTTGATAACTAAGTTTATCGCAGATAGGCTTTGAAGACAAGTCTATGGGGTGAGCGCCACAAAGATACGACCTACGGTACTTCCCATCAACTACCAATCGCCAGCTCGATAAAACAAGCAACAGACCCTCCGCGGAAATCCTCGAAAACTTTTAGACCAAAGCCTCAAGTATGCTGGCCGCCGCCGCTTTGTGATGCAGATTCGCTCAGCCCTCACAAGGCCCTGGCCCACCTGCGGCAAAGAATGTGCCGTATTGAGTTGCAGCGTGTCTTGGATTTATATGCCCGCCATTGCCGCAGTTGCAATTCTATGGATAGTAGGAAGCCTGTTTTGCAAGTCAGCTTTACTAGTTGCGGAAAGTCGGCCTCGCTACCGCCAGGGAAGCACTACTTCAAGACTGAGGCCTGTGTACTCGAACACTTCGCCCGTCCCATTGCAAGAGGAGTTGACTTATGCCGCTCATGTGCCTGGGAAATTCTGCCGTTGATCATCTTGGAAGTTGAAAACACCCTTTGTCATCTAATCGATTTAGTATATACACCTGTGTGCCAAGATGGCAGTCAAAAGCCAACTCGGTGTAACTTACACCACAAATACCTTTCCTCCTAGCCCACCTCGGACTGTCGGAAATTCTCATGCTGGTAGCGACGACGAACGAGACGAAGTCGATGCTACACCAACGACTCCTCCAGTAGAGAAGCTTGGCCAGCTTCTGAAGCCCTACTCTCTTCCACCCGCAAACACTCCTACCCATGTTCTCCCAGAAGACCTGAAAACACCAGACCACCGCGTTCACCGGGATCCCAGGCTAATACGGCTCACGGGTGTTCATCCCTTCAATGTCGAGCCGCCCCTGACAGACTTATACGATGAGGGCTTTCTGAACAGCGAGAACCTGCATTACGTTCGCAACCATGGCCCAGTACCTCACTGCCCCGACGATGAATCCCTGAATTGGACATTTACTGTTGATGGACTTGTGGAAAAGCCTTTCACAATTACTGTCCGCGACTTGATTCAGAAGTATGACCAGTTCACATACCCTGTTACGCTGGTGTGTGCTGGTAATCGTCGAAAGGAACAAAATGTGGTTCGCAAGTCCAAGGGCTTCTCTTGGGGAGCCGCTGGGCTCTCAACTGCTCTGTGGACTGGTGTGCCGATTGGTGCTCTTCTGAGAATGGCCAAGCCCAAACGAGCTGCGAAATATGTATGCTTTGAGGGAGCAGACAAGCTGCCTAACGGGTACTATGGCACATCTGTCAAGCTCAACTGGTGCATGGATGAGAACCGAGGCATCATGGTCGCCCACAAGATGAACGGCCAGTCGTTGCATCCAGACCATGGTAAACCTGTACGTATTATCATCCCTGGGCAGATTGGCGGGCGCAGTGTCAAATGGCTCAAGAAAATCACAATCACATCCGAGCCCAGTGATAACTGGTACCACATCTACGACAACCGTGTCCTTCCCACCACAATATCGCCCGACGCTAGTGCAAACTTGCCAGACGTCTGGAAAGATGAGAAATACGCCATCTACGATCTGAATGCCAACAGTGCCATCTGTTACCCCCGACACGACGAGCGGCTCGTTTTGGCAACTGCTCCAGATACGTACAAGGTTCGGGGTTACGCTTATGGCGGCGGCGGGAAACGAATCACTCGGCTCGAAGTTACCTTGAATAAAGGTAAATCATGGCTGTTAGCAGGCATCCGCTATCCCGAGGATGACTACCGTCGCGCCCCCGACGGCGACTTGCTGTACGGCGGCAGCACTGACATGTGGTGGCGCGAGACGTGCTTTTGCTGGTGCTTTTGGGAAATCGACATTCCTGTCGCCGACCTCGGCGCCGCCGACGACATCATGATCCGCGCCATGGACGAGGGCATGATGGTGCAGCCGCGCGACATGTACTGGAGCGTGCTCGGCATGATGAACAATCCATGGTTCCGCGTCGTGATCCACAAGGAAGACGGCGCGCTCCGCTTCGAGCATCCTACCCAGCCGGCGCTGATGCCCGGTGGGTGGATGGAGCGCGTCAAAGCCGGCGGCGGCAACCTCACCAACGGCTTTTGGGGCGAGAAGACGGCAGCGGAGGAGGAGCAGGTGCTAGCAGAGCCGGAAAAGGAGATTTGCATGACGAATCCAAAAGTGGACCGCATCATCTCTCTGGAGGAGCTCAAGGCGCACGAGGGAGAGACGGAGCCTTGGTTCGTGGTCAATGGGCATGTGTATGATGGCACGCCGTACCTGGACGATCACCCAGGTGGCGCGACATCCATCATCAACGCCGCAGCCCAAGATGCAACTGAAGAATTTATGACAATCCGTACGTTCCCATCTTCTCTAAATTCACATGCAAGAAGACTAACACACATTCAGATAGTGAAAATGCCAAGGCCATGATGCCGCAGTATCACATTGGCACTCTCAATGATGCAGCCCGCAAAGCTCTCGAAGGCAGTGCCGAGGAGAGCCCAGCAAGCGACCCAACACGCGCTGTATTTCTTCAACCAAAATACTGGAGCAAGGCTATCCTCGAGACCAAGACGGATGTTTCCTCTGACAGCAAAATATTCTCCTTCCGTCTCGACCACGCGGCCCAGTCCATCGGTCTCCCGACAGGCCAGCACCTTCTCGTGCGCCTCCGAGATCCGGCCACGCGCGAAGCTGTCATCCGTGCGTACACGCCCTTATCAGAGACACATGCCAAGGGCCAGCTCGACATCCTCATCAAAATTTACCGAGATGTCCCCGGCCAGCCCGGCGGCAAGATGACGCAGGCGCTCGACTCGATCCCCCTCGGCCACTTTGTGGATATCAAAGGCCCGGTTGGCAAGTTTGAGTACCTCGGCAAGGGACACTGCACCGTGTCCGGGACGTCGAGGCACGTGCGCCGCTTCGTCATGATTTGCGCAGGGTCCGGCGTCACGCCCATCTTTCAGGTGCTGCGGGCCGTGACGTGCGACGCGCAAGACGGGACGGAATGTCTGGTGCTGGACGGGAACCGCTGCGAGAAGGACATTCTCTGCAGGGAGGAGCTGGACGCCATGGTGGCCAGGGCGCCGGCGAGGACGACGCTGCTGCACAAGCTCTCCCGGCCAGACGCGTCGTGGTGCGGCCTGCGAGGGCGCATGGATAAAGAGTATCTGGAGGAGCACATTGGAGGCTTTAGGAAGTCGGATGGTCGTGAAATGGTGCTGGTGTGTGGTCCAGCAGCGCTCGAGGAGACTGTAAGGAGTGTTCTCGTGGAAATGGCATGGAAGCCTGAAGACATGCTCTTCTTTTAGCAAGGCACACAATAAAAAATGGAAAAAAGTTTTTAGCGACTTGCAATAAGGGTTACCCTGTCAGGCACGAGTTTGTACATGAAACGTCTTGTACTTTGATCCTGCTTTGCATTCCTAACACCAGAAGTAGTTTTCTAGCCTTGACTTTGCCCAAGGGCAAGCTACTTGTACCAATCGACTCTGTGTCTTGTTTTAAAATAGTTCTAGGGACTTGACGTCTGAATTTCCGTCCTTGACGCCTGTCAAAGGGTAGTAGAGTACGGAAAGCGTGCCCTCGAGGTAGTTGTTCTTTTGGTCCTGCAGAAACTTGCCCACCATCAGGATGAACAGGATGAGCATGACAATGACCGGGATTCACAACCTTATCCAATACATCATCATTATCCCCTCTTCCTTGACAATGGGTAGCAATACCAGTCCGTCCGGACCATTTCTTATCATTATATTGTCAGTTTGACAGACACCAGCCATCGTATTATCATCAAGTCACCACAAAATACTGGTCAACATGCGCTCTTTGCTATATTACCAACTATGTAGTTCGGCACGCTCAGCGAGGCATGCACTTCAACCGTCCAAGCAGCAGCACCGATCCGTAACTCGCGACACGACTTTACTCCCGTTGAAAGCCACCCATATGCCGCTCATCATTCTCTTTCCACTTTCTCTCTTGTTCTTGATGCAAAGTCTCGTCTTTATTGTTCTTGCGTCGTCTCATGGGCACCGGCTTGGCCACAATAACGGTTTCTACGCCTGCGGGGACCAGCTCTTGGCCCTGTCCCAGAGCGTCCACGTCAATTTCGATGCCGAGCAGGGCCTGGAGAATCACGCGCGAGCCCGCTTTACTCATGACCTCGCCCGAGTCCTTGCACAGTTCCGACGCAACGCACTCGATGCAGCCATGGAGACAAGGGCACGACTCGACGCGCTGCAAAGCAAGTTGCAGCAAGTGATCAATGTGCTCAAAAGCCTTGGTGCTAATCCCTGAGCCATTGGCACCACCCTTGGCATCGTAAAATGTCAACCGCCCGGGTCGCTTGCGTACCGTCTCCTCCTTGGCAAATTCCTTGAGCGCGACCTTGCACTCGGTTCGCACATCTTCGGGGGCGCTGATGACAAAGGTCGGCAGTAGGCTCATCACACAGTGCTGCGCAGCGTGGATGGAAGCGGCCGCATTAATTCGGTGGCTGTTCAGAATGTCCAGTGCGGATTTGGGAATGTCGAGCCACATTCCCTTGCTGTATCGAATGATTGGAGGATTGTCCACGTGAACGGCATCGAGAACTCGCCCTTTCGAGTCTACCTTGAAAAATCCAAACACTTTTTGAAAGATCTTGATGGTACCATGATACGCCAAAATCCCAGATGAGCCAATGTCACGGATCGCCTCCGTTTCGACGGGGTCGATGTCGGTGTAATCGCGCTGAGATGTAAGCCAGTCCACCTTGACTCGTTCCACTTTGGCCATTCGTTTGTCAGGCGAAAAGTCACGGACGAGATACGTCTGACCTTGATGAAGAAATATTCCGCCGTCGTAGATTGTGAATGTTGCGCGGGATGCCTCCAGTTCTTCCAAAACAACGTTTCTGCCATGCGTAATGTCGATTACGGCAAAATGTTCATCTTCAGTGTCGCGAAGTGCCACATACTTGGAGGGTTTTGGTCGGAAACGATCATGACAATGATAGTAGCCCATGTCATCTGCGATAAGTCGTTCCTCGCAAATTTCAGGCAGATCCTGACCAAAATATTTGGTATCATATTCCGGTCGAATCGGCATTTCGAAAGCCGCACACTGTATGTGTCCTTCGCGCACGAGCATGTTATCCAGATCGAGCTGTAGCTCTGCTGTAGGCTTGGAGAAGATCTCCTCTGGATTTTGCATATAGTGTTGGTCGGTAGCAAAACTGCCACCCAGCAATATGGAAAGCGAGTCTTTATTTCTGCGCCCTGCGCGTCCGCTTTGCTGGCGCAGGTTGGCAATGGTATATGGGAAGCCCCACGTCAAGACACAGTCCAGCGTTCCGATGTCAATGCCAAGTTCCAGTGCTGTTGTTGACACAATCCCCAATAGTCGCCCCGCAAACATCTCTGATTCGATTTTGCGTCGATCCTCTGCTGTGTATCCTCCTCGATACCCCATGACCAAGCCTATGCAGTCGCTTCGGCCTCTGTTCTCTAGCTCTTGTCGTATAGCGTTTACTAGCACTTCACATTGGTTGCGAACCCGGCAAAAGGCAATAATGCGGACGCCCCTGAGGAGCAGCTCGCAAAACAATCGGGCGCATTCAAATTTTGCACTGCCTCTGCCACTTGCAGGATCGCCAGGGTCTTTGTACGGCGTGTTCCAACAAATGAACTCTTTTCTGCCAGAGGGGGATCCATCAAAGTCGACGAGCTTGACATTGTCGATGCCAAAGAGGGCCTTGAAGTGTTGCGCTGGATTTGCAACAGTAGCAGAACACGAGATAAACTGAACACTTCTGTTTCCAATCGCCGCACATATGCGTCTTAAACGACGCATCACAAAAGCGACATGCGACCCAAACTGTCCATTATAGTAATGCAATTCATCAACTAGTCGCAGTCAGTATTACCTCTATAGCAAATTGCGCTGCTGTTTACTTACCAACAACATATTTCAAGTTCTTGAGAAAGGTCCTCCACTTCTCCTCTTGTGGCAAGATTGTGATATGCATCATGTCAGGGTTAGTGAAAATGATTCTTGCTTGCTCACGAATGGCATTCCTCGTGTTGAACGGCGTGTCACCATCAAAAGTCTCCACGACAGTACCCTCAAGGCCGGGCATATACGCCATCATTTCTTTCAGACTGCGCCGCTGATCCTGCGCCAGAGCCTTCGTGGGAAAGATGTACATAGCTCGCGACTCAAAGTCCTGCTCCAAAGCGTGTAACACTGGTAACTGGTAAATGAGTGACTTGCCAGAACTCGTCGACGTTGCGACAACAACATTCTTGCCCTCGTGTAGCGCATTTAGCGCTTCGGCCTGGTGGGCGTAGAAAGAGGAGATACCTTTGGCGTTGTATATAGCATTGACGAGATTCTGTGTCAGCAGGAATTCCAGGTCCCCTTTCACAGGGTCCTGCGGATCAAAAACCCTGTGGCCATCTGGCACAATTTGGCCAGTATACCATGAGCTTTCTCGAATCTCCTTCACAATTTCGGGTATCGATTTGCGTTCCTTTGGGATGGTGGCAGGGATTGTGCTGACAACGACGCCACCATCATCGTCCTTCTCGCTGGGTTTCGGCACATATAACTCGGCCAAGCCCTCCAACGCCAGGCAAGGATCAATTTTCTCGCTTTCGCAATTTTCCAAAAAGGTATTGATTGCGCTCGTAAAGCGCTGGTTTCGACGCTCAATGAGCTTCGTCATCTGGCCCTGGCCAAAGACTGGCATCTGCAGCTTCTCGTCCCGCAATCTTCGCTGCGGATTCGTAGGCTCACCAGTCTTCTTGTCTGGGACTTGTCTTTTGAGATCGCCGTCGATGAACTCAAAAAACAGAACCTCATAGTCATCGGAGGTGGCGGTGGCGGCGTCTGTCCAGCCGCCGACAGATGCGTCAGAGGCGAATTCTTGCGCTTTTCTGTTACCGAAAAGCTTGAAAGAGTCGGCCTTGCGATCTGATGCCTTGACTTCTAGCTCGAGAGTAGATTTGTCCACATAGCTAAAGTTGATTCCTTCGGGACGCACTGCAACGATTTTTGCCACTTCTTCTATCGATAGCTTGCGCTTAAGGTGAGATTCCACTGCCGGCCGAATGGCTTCGAATGTTGTAGCAAAATGTTTTCTCGTAGAGCAAAAGGTGAACACCAGGTTTAGAGCCCGATGAGTCTGGTCTAGCGACACAAAAAGCGCTGGCCATGGGGGTGAACTTTCATCTTTCTTTTGTCCCTTTTTGGCTCGTCCCCGAGGCTTGCTTTCCGCTGATGTGTTTTTCGGGTCCGATTTTGCAGTGGAATCGCTATGAGCCAAGCTAGAGTCGCTTTGTTCGGGATCCAAAGTCTCTCCAACGGACAGCCTTTTGCGTTTAGCTCCCGCCGCCGCCGATGAAGGAGCAACATGATCAGACATAATTGGTTCAAAGGCTAATGAGCAGCGGCCACGATTTCACCATAATTCGCTGATTGATGGAGTGGTAAGGTTTTCCATGCTGCCTCGCTACGGGTGATGTTGCAGGAAGTGGCGGTGCGCGTGCGTTCATAGCCAAACGGTTCACGTCGTTGGCGCCAAATCACGTGTAGGCCCGTGACGGCTCGTTGACCGCATCACCAACGTAGAATAGCACACCTTCATAATTCGCAAATGACTTTCAAAGTTTGCATATTCATTGCAGTTCAAGGCTCTAGAATTTAAGAGATAGAATAATGTACAACAAATTCACCCGCCTTTAAACAACCCGCACGCTATTGCGTGTAAAACTCCAGCCTGCCAAAAGGGTTAGAATGCATCCGTTGCAGAAATCCTGTATTTGCGCCAACTTTTAGCCCATAGCCCATCCCTCTGTCACCTTTATCGCGTTATGCAATCATGCTCTAATAGGCATTAATGTTGTTGCCCACACATCGTCAAAGCCAGCGCAGTTTGGTCTTTCTTTGACAGGCTTCACCGGGTTTGAAGCTCGCGCTGAATGCTCTCTACCTCGGTTTGAAACAATTTGGCATTGGCAGCCGACATCTATTGCTTTGTTAGTTCTGCCATGTCGAAATAGACGAGTGGAAATCAACGTACTCTCATTGTGACCAGTAGTGGCGTCGCGCTATCGCCGACAAATGCTGTGAAAAGAACTGAGGTGGACTTGAGTGATGTCTTTTCCTGGAACTTCATAGCTGAGATGATAGCCGTGTTGAGAATAACGCGATGCGTTTGGTCCTGGCGCATCAACAAGCGAACAACTTTGGGTGAAGCTCCGTCGCCATCTTCCTCGTCGAGTCCTGACGCATCAAAAGATCCGGGCACGACGACATTATTGTCGTCAAATTCCACACACGATTTTGGGGCGTTAATTTTCAGCATACCAGCTCCACGCTCTTTCCAGGCGTCGTTTTCGTGTACAAACATCTTTGCTCTGACAGAGACAATGGTAATTTCGCCAGCTTCACCATCGTCGATATCGACTGGTGGCTTGTTAGCACAGGGCCGGGAAGAATCACGGCTACAATGATGGACAAACCTCTGTGTAGTTTTACTTTGGACTTGTCATCCTCCTTCTCTGACGAGGCGTCGCGATCCTTATCCGAAGCGCTGATGCCTTCTTCTTCATCGCTCTTGTCCTCATCTTCATCGTCTTCAGCATCGCTATCTGGAGCACCAAATGGTTTGGCAGGTTTTTGCTTCTGAAAAGGCTTTGAGGCCCCCGAGGCAAAGCTCGACAGCGGCTTCGCGCCGGACGCCGAAGCAAATCCGCTTCCACCGAGACCACTTCCGAAACCGTTGGTGCCCGACAACCCAGCAGCGAATGGAGATGCGGTCGTAGCACCACCGAAACTGAGCTTTGGTGCTGGTGCAAGTGGCTGCGCTTCCGTCTTCTTTGGTGATGATGCGAAAGATGTCAGTGGCGCTTTCGCAGTAGATGCAAATGCGCCACCGGTGCCGCCAAGCCCCGCGAACGGCGAGGCGCCAGCAGCAAGCTTGCTGAAACCAGATGCCGCGAACGCACTGGCCGTAGTCTGCGGCTGCTCCTTTTTGGGTGGTTCTGGCTTTTCTTGTTTCGTTCCGGTCTTGGGCTCCGTCGTGTGCTCCGTCTTGGACTCAGTCTTGGGCTCCGTATCGGGGTCCGTCTTGGCTTCGTCCTTGTCTGGTTTTGTCTGCACGAGATTCGTCAGCCTGCGGCTCAGGTCATTGTTATATGCTGAGAATATCACCTCATCGTCGCCGTCAGCATCACCATCTGTATCGCGGTGTCGCTTCTTCTCAGGCTCTGATCGCGAGGCTCTATCCTTGGCCGAGTCTGCAGAGGCGACACTGTCGTTGTCGTTTTGCTTGTCGTCCTTGTTGGGGTCCAGCTCATCGTGGCCGCGCTTCTTCTTTGGTGAAGCGAAGTGCTCCTTCAGCTCGTTATTCCGTTCATCAGAAACGTCGTCCTCGGCGGGAGTGTCTGGACGTTCAGCATCGCCCTCGGTGCTTGTGCCAACGGGATCTGAGATGGAATGTTGCTTCAATTCGCGACGTGCGGCGCGAGTGTCGGCGTCCTCGGGGGTGCTTTGTTGGGCCGTGTCGTCCTTTGGACTGGCCACTCTTGTCTCTTCTGCCATGACGCTGAGGCTGAGTTTATGGCAAGCTTCTCGTGGCTCTTGAGTCGCAGTGTCCACGTGCAAAAAATGAAGGGTAAGATGATGATGGTCGTGCGAGGCTGTCAAGCTGGATCAAGTGGGTACGAAGCCAAGGCAAGGACGCGCCAAAACGGGACCGGTATGCGGGATTGTTGGAGCAAAGCAAGTGTCTGGCAAAGGAAAAGAAGCCTCTGCGGGAGTAATCGTAGGTAATATTTGGTTGGATGGGAGGCTCCTTCTGGGTGCATTAATCAAAGTACGCAAGTGGTTGGTCGCCTAATCACTTGCCTACCTATGTCGCCTGCAAGTTCCAGGTGACGGGTGGAAGGAAATTATAAGGGTACCCCTCACCGCCCTAATAACGAAGAGACGGAGAGGGGCATGCCTGGGCCGGGCACCCGCTATACCTAGGTAATTGGCGCCGTCAGCAGCTGTGCAACAGCAAACAGCGCTGCAAGGTCATTACCAGGCCGGTGCTACAGCGCCTGGCTAATAATAAGCACAGCTACCTACCTACCTAGGTAGGCAGGCTGTCATCGATTCTACGCAGCAATGCACGTTGATTGATTATTGCTTTCGCTCAGGATGGCAATGAGCGCCACTGTAGCCTTCCGTTGGCAGCCTGCATTCGTTTGTGCTTGCATCTGTTTCCATGGGCGCTTGTGAGGCACCTCACCGGCCTCTCTGAGTCACTCACATCCGCCTCGCCTACATGCAATATTTAAGCACCAATCGTGTTTCAAACCAAGACAAGTTGCTATCATGGCAGTGGCTAAGCCCGCCTATTACAGTACAATTTGATCAGCACAGCCAAAAGAGCCAAAACCTGACTCGCCTGAGGCCTCCTCCCTTGATCACCAATAGCCCACCACACTATCGTTTCGACCCTTGCTGTCACACCTAGCTCATGAAGCACAAGGCACCCAATCCGACATAGAATATGAACAGAGGGTAGAGAGCGATGGCCAAGCGATTCTGGACAACACCACTGCCACCCAAAATGCTAACACCGGCCGCCAGAGACCACAGTATAAGGACGATGAAGATTGGAATGCGAGGGATCCAGTGCAAGTGAAGAGCGGACAGGAGCGCTGCGATGACAAGCGGGAATAGCGTGTAACCGATGATGCACACGCTTTGCGCAAAAGAACTATTGGCGCAGTTGTCAGCTTACATGTCCCCAGAGAGCAAAGACGATAGACATACATGCTTCCACCGAGTAGCCTAATCTGAAGTGTGACAAGGGCCTCTCCGAGCCAAATCATGGCAAATACGCCGCTGAATACGGCGTCTTTTTGCTCGGCGCGAGCCGAAAAGCTCAGCAGGAGGCTCAGCAACAGACAGAAGATGAGAGGGCCCCAGAGGTCCCAGTCGCGCAGGCCAGGGCTTAGTGAGCTGCCGAGCAGCGCCTCGGGGTCCATGACGCGGCTTGCCAGGCCCGTGAGCTCTTCTCGCGTACCCGAGAGCCCGGCGCCACGGATGTTCGAGTATGCGCCGCGGAAGCCGCCCTCGCCGTCAAACATGGTGCCGCCCAGGAGGTAGCGCGGGTACAGCACTTCTCGCAGCTTGGCCCACACGGCCAGCAGGTCGCGGCGCAACGTTTCCCAAACGGTCTCGTCGATGGTGTTTTGTGAAGCGCTTCGATCTTCGCCGGGGATGCGTGCAGTCAAGTAGTTCTCGTCGAGCGGCCGTGATGAGGAGCCAATGTTGCCTGTCAGTGGCGCGCGGGAGCTGGAAGGCGCCAGGGGGTCATCAAAGTCGTTGAGGTCGGCTGTGGCCGGTATTAGTTTTCAAAAGCAATACCCGCCGCATGTGGAGGCGGCACTCGGGCTAGGCATACCATCATCAGGATCGATCAGGTCGTCGTCGTCGACGGTTGGGTTCGTGTAATGTCCCTTGGTAGTGGACATGGCGAGTAGGCAGCCTGCGACGCGCGATAAAGCTGGTGTCAAGACTTCGACCGTAGCTACCAAGAATCCAAATGGAAGTATTTGGGTCTCCGATCTTCTAGACTTGCGATGCAATTGCTGGTAGAACGAAGTGATCGGGACAATGCCTCTGGTAGCTGACGTGGTGGTGCTCGTGAAATGGCCAGCTTCCACGTTGCAGATGGTCCAAGCTCCACAACGCTTTTGCGCCAATGCGCCCCCCAAGGACAGAGATACAGAGGTGCCTGGCCAAGGTACGTACCTCGCCTCCTCCACAGCAGCGCGCGTGCAAACCGTGTTACACGCATTTGGCATTCAACAAAGTCGCAGTCTTGATCAGCGAAATTCATTCAAGCAAAGTCATCTTTTTCCGACCAAACATTCAACTATTACATTCAAGGCTTTGGATTATTTGGTGCTTTTTTTTTTTTTGCGAGTTCGTCCCGCTCATAAATACCAGGACAGAGTTTGTGACTTAGGACAGGCCTATTGTGGTGGTGCAGCGTTTGAAGTGGTCTTGCGCCAGCCACGATATCTCGCATCGAGTCTGGCGAACCTTTTGTCTTGATAAGCCTAAGCCACGAATTTTGACTACTGCATCTGACAGCCACTCTGTCTAGAAACAATTGAGCGGCCACCAACTCCGCTTGGGCGATGGCACGTTGATCAGACTGAGAGACGTCTCACAACCTTCCTCCTCCATCCCGTTCTGAAGAGTGAGGTCATAGACGGCCGACGCTCGTCACAATGACAGCGGCGAATGAGGACCCTGCGTTTCATCTACCAAAGTTGCGCAGCTCTTTTGGCTTCGAGGTCCGTACTGTACCCGCGCCACACCCAAAGTTGACACTTGTTGACACGCGCACAGAATGATACCCGGTTTTTGAACAACGGTGATGATGTTCCCGGTTGGTTGAAAATCGTTCTCTACGAAGCAAGTTCTGTCGACTAAAACTTTTGCAGAGTTCTTTGATGTCAAGTTCTGTCCGTATCAACCACTAGACTGCGATCCGGTGTTTGCAGCCGTCAGCAAAAAACATGCAAGTAGCAAACATGGACAAGCAGGGCTCAGTACTCGGACTGACCATATCCAGGTTGTTGTATGCAAGCTCTCTTCTGATAATGGAGATTCAAATCCATGCTCGATTCTGTCCGTAATAAGAGATGATGACGTATGTGGCACCTCTGGTGCACCTCCGGTACAGATGTATACGGCTCACTAACGCAGATGCCTCTAGGAGGATGCATCGGGCTGCTGCTGTACCTGGACAAGAGATCCTACGACTGGAGCGCCGTATATTTGCATAGGAGGTGGAGATGCCAAGGTGAAGATATACGATGTGAGAACCTGCACATTAGTAAACGTGAGTGGTGGTCCAGGAATCCATCCACGCACGCCTGGCTAACCTGCTCTTCGACAGTGTTTTGCTGGACATGGAGGTGTATGTATGACTCTTTCAGGAACCTTTGAGGTATATCTAACCACATCTAGGACGTCAATGATCTTGCAACTTCGCCAATAGACTCATCAGTTATTGCTTCGGCATCCAACGACACGAGCATTCGAATATGGAGTCTTGAAGAAAAGTTCAAAGCGCAACCCTGTCTGTGTATCCTCGCCGGAGAGGGACATTCTTGGAATCTACTAAGTCTGGTGAGCGGCTATGAGCGAGTCAATACCGCGCTGCTTGGTTCTATGCTCATACCTTGCAGGCATTTCACGCCACTGGACGATATCTTGTCTCTGGCGGCCATGATCAAGTCATCAATCTTGTAATACTCAGTCATATCTACTCCCGCCTCACAGTACACTAACAATCTCAACAGTGGACAATGCCCGACCTCCCAACGGAGCCCGTCGTCACGCCGCTCCAGGTACATTACCCGCACTTTTCCACATCAGCCGTCCACAGCGGCATCGTAGATTGGTAAGTTGTGTAACATCTTACCCTGAGCACGAAATACTGACGTAGCGCTCTTTAGCGTCGCGTTTTGCGGCGACTGCATCCTGTCCCGCGCATGCCACGATAATGTCATTGTGCTCTGGCGCATCGAAGGCTTCTCGTCCGAGGGCCCGCCACCGCCGCAGAGCGATGCGCCGACGGCGCAGGCGGTAGTGCCGACGAGCCTAGACGACCAGTCGCGGCTCACGCGGTCCTATTTCGTGCCGGCCACGACGCCCGAGTGCCCGTCGCAATACACGCGGCTGCTCGAGTTTCACACGCCCAACTGCGGACCGCAGTTCTTTATGCGCTTCGGCCTGCACCACGTGCCCGGCCAGAATCCCGTGCTGGCCTTTTGCAACGCCGGTGGTAACATTCTCTTTTGGGACCTGCACCGCCTCAGCGTCTACCACGACGTCATGCTCGCGCTGCACGACCCCGGGCGCGACCGCACCCAACCCCGCGCGCCGCTGCCCACCTGGCTCAAGGCCATTATTCCCCGGCAGCGTGCCGACATGTTTGGTCGCATAAAGGGGGTCAAGGAGAAGCGCGCGGTGACGGCGCCGAACGGCGCGCGACAATCCTCGGTGTCGTCGTCGCGCGGCGGCGGCGGCGGCGGCGGCGGTGCCCCGGCATCGGTAAGCAGTGCGGGAGGAGCGGAGGAAACGACGCCCGAATTTAGCGCGGAGACGCTCGAGTCCTGGGCGTCCAAGTACAGCATGGAGGATCCGCACGAGCCTGTCAAGGCACACCGGACCGAGTCGTCTGCGGCGACGTTTGTCGGACGGCAGGCGGCGTGGAGTCCGGGTGGTGAGTGGTGCGTGGTGGTGGGCAGCTCCAATACGACGTTGATACTACAACGGTGGGCGAATTAAAAGCAAACAAAAAATGGAAGAAAGGGAGATGGGGTCATGGAAAATTCATCTATTTTCTTCTTTAGCAGTATATGTATTATTTTCAGAGTGCCCCAGTTGCCTCCCGGAATTTCAACAAAACGCCTGTGATGGGTTTAAAACGAAAGAAGGAGAAGAATGAAGAAAATAAAAGGAAGCCCCGCGCATGACGAATTTGCTGTGTCGTAAGAATTCTACATGTAGATAAACTTGAAAGTCATTGCCAAAAAAAAAAAAAACAAGCGCTTAATCGACAGTCAAGGGCGTTTGGCCAAGCTTTTCAGCCTCGCCTGCGGCGTGGAATCCATCGAGAGTGACGGTCACGGCACCAGCTTGCACCAGCTAAGAAAAAAAAAAATAATTTGTTAGACACGGGTCTGAGTAAAAGTGAGAGGAGGGATGTGGTAGTATGGGAGAAAGCAACTCACTGCACGGGACAAATCTTCAATCAAGTCGTTGACGTCCTCGATGCCTACGCACAGGCGAATGATATCCTCTGGCATCTGGCGCTCGGCTCTCGTCTTGGCGTCGATGCTGGCGTGGCTCATCTGGCAAGGCATGCTGATGAGACTGTTGACGCAGCCGAAGCTGACGCTAATGGCCCAGAGACGGGCGGCCTCGACGATGCGCTGAGAGACGGCCGGGTCGCCCGTCTCAAAGGCGAGGACGGCGCCGGCACCGCGCGCGGTGGACCAGTGCAGGTCGTACTGGGGGTGGGAGCGGAGACCCGGGTAGCGGACGCGGAAGCCGCGCTGCTCGAGGAACTCGGCAATGGCCTGGGCGTTGGCCTGCTGCTTGTCCATGCGGATGGCGAGGGTCTTGACGCCGCGCATGAGGAGGAAGGAGTCGTTGGGGGAGAGGCCGCAGCCGGTCGAGTTTATGGTGAAGAAGAGCTTGTCGGCGACGGCCGGGTCGTTGCAGGCAATGACGCCGGCCATGATGTCGTGGTGGCCTGACAGGTACTTTGTGCCCGACTCGTAGACGATGTCGGCGCCGAGGTCGAGCGGGTTGCAGAGCATGGGGGAAAGCATGGTGTTGTCGACGACGACGAGGGCTCTTGGGTTGGCGTCGTGGGCGCGGGCGGCAATGGAGGGGATATCGACGATTTTGATGAGCGGGTTGGTCGGGGTCTCGAGGAGGACCATGGCGGTTCGGGGGGAGATTTGCGCGGCGACGGCGTCGACCTTTGTGGTGTCGACATGGCGGACGACGATGCCCGAGTTGGAGGCGAGATAGGTGAGCAGGCGGTGGGTGCCGCCGTAGAGGTCGTCGCCGGTAATGACCTCGTCGCCGGGGCGGAGCACGCGGGTGATGACGTCGAGGGCGCCCATGCCCGAGGAGACGGCGAGGGCGCGGTGGGCGCCCATGATCTTGGCGAGATGGCGCTCGAGGTGCGTGCGCGTCGGGTTGCCGGAGCGGGTGTAGTCGTACTCTTGCTGGCCGCCGGCGGCCGACGTCTGCTTAAAGGTGGCCGACTGGTAGATGGGGGTGCTCGAGGCGCCGTACTGGTCCTTGCCCTCGGTGTAGACGAGCTCGGTGGCGAGCGCGTACCGGCGGCGGCCGTTGCGCGGGCTCGAGGGCGCGGGCGAGGGCGGCAGGCTGAGGCTATCAACGACGGTGATCTTGCTGGTGGCGGCGCCGGTGGGAGCCGGAGGCGGGTTGGAGGACATGGTAGCGGCGGGGGGGTGAGGGGGAACGTTCTGTTTGAGGGAGCAATTGGGCGTCCAGCGCGGGGCCAATGGCAATGAAGGAGAGGCCAGCAGGTGCGGGCGAGTTGATAGGTTTGAAGAAAGATGATGTAGAAATAGGTATGCCAAGGGGGAAAAAGGAGACGGAAAAAAAGAGATGATGATGAGCTTGGTAAGGGAAATGGGAAAAGAAAAAAAGTGGTTGAAATGGTGGTGTAGAGTTGAGCTCGGAAGTCAGTCACACAGGGAACCCCACAGCGTCCTTGTTGAGTGGTCAGCGGCACAGAAGCTGGTGCAACAAGGGCAAGGTTGCTGGCACGCAATTCGGCTGCGTGGACAGACAAGGCAAACAAGTGCAACAAGTTGTCACCGCCTGCCGAGCCGAAGAGCGGAGCTCGGGATTTATAATAAGTTTAGAACCAACTTGATGTCGACCAAACAAAAGCAACTAAATAATTTCAGTCCCTTGCAGCTTTTTTTTCCCTGCGTCGCGACAAAGTCCTGCCGCCTTGCACCTTGCTTGCACCTTTGCACACAGGGGCTGCTGCCTGTGGGGAAAGCCCCGAATGACGTGATCGGGGTTCGGTTTCTGAGCTCCGGCCTCGCAGAACCGGGGGGGGGGGGATTCAATGGTGGGTTAAATTCGTGACTTGCCCAGCAGGCCTAATAAGTAGTGCTGCCGTTATTGGTTTATTTTCATTCAGAGAGAGAGCAGCTGTCTGTTGCCGCGACGGCCCGATGATCCGAGCTCGCCTTGCAAATAATGACAACAAGACAAAGCATACCTAACAAATCACAGCCAAGAAACTACATCTGAATCGGAAATAATCTATGTAATCCCCCCCATCCAACCATCCCGCCCTCCCTCATATTTCCCGTCTCGGCATCCAATCCTGCCAGCCAACCACATCAGCCAGGCACCTTGTTGTAGGGCTGGCAAATGACACTGTTGACTCCCATCTCGATCTGCGAATAATTCCGTCTAGAAAAAAAAATCTCGTTGCCACCTGAAATTTGCCGCGTCCTTCCCCTAAGCCTAATCCCTCGCCACCGTCATCACTTTTTCGGATCATCGCGCGCCTCGGACATACGAGCCCTCACAGAGTGCCTAATTAGGAAATCACCATCTCCTTACCCGCGACAACAACGTCTTTGTGACTTGATGTGCTACGACGCTGGCACAGCAGCTCCGATTACGTGTCTTGATTCTCTGATGGAAAGGGATGTATATAAACTCCGGAATTCTTCCTCTTCTTTTTTCTCACACTTTGACTAACACACCTTCTCCAATCTTCCATTTACCCCCCTTCCACTTACACGAACCAAGAAGAGCACCCAAAAAGACATCACCACAAAACCCCCAACATCCCATCCCCCCTCTCATCATGCCCATTGCACAGTACGCCGTCGCTGGGGCGGCCGTCGCTCTGACCACACTCATCGTCATTGCCTACCGCGACTACAGCGCCTACTGCGCCCTCGGCGACCACGGCCTGCCCGGCAACTTCAAGGGCTGGTGCATCCAGCTCAAGTTCACCCGCAACAGCCGCAAGGACACCACCGTCCCCGCGCCCTACGACCTCGCCGCCGAGGCCGCCCTCCTCGGGCCCCACGCCGACCAGTCCTTCCTCCCGCCGCCCTCCAGCCGCCTCCTCCCCTTGCCGCCCCGCGACGGTCCCCGGCCCTCGATCCCCGGCTTCACCGCGCCGCAGCGCCAAATCACCGACACGGCCTCGCCCGCCATGAAGGCGCGCATGTATGCCCACCTCGAGGCCCTGACCAAGGCCAACGCCACGCTGCTGCAGTACGACTTGTCGACCCTCGAGGGCCCCGTGCCGGCGCTGCAGCTGCACAAGCACCAGGACCGGCCGGAACACCTGAGGAAGACGCGCGGCGAGCTGGCGCATATCCATCCCGTAGACGGGAGCACCCATCTCGTCTTGTCGCTGCCCGACTCGCGCCGCATCATTGAGACACGCTGGGGCCAGAGACACCGGCTCAGCGGCACGATGCTGGGCTGGGGCTACACGCTGGTGTATGCGCCCCGGAATGAAGACGAGTTTGAGCTGTGGAAGGACGTGGTGGCGGCCGCTGCCAAGTACTCTTGCGCGGATCTTGGTGAGATTAAACTTGTCTAGCTGCGCAAAGAATGAGTGGGCTGTCTTGACAAACGTGTCATTGAAGTTGCCTTTGTATCAACCGCATGAATAAGCGTCGTCGTGTTATCTAGGTGTTGTGTTTGATGAAGAATTCTACGACAAGAATAATTGCAGATTGAAAAGAAAAGAGTGTATTATTTCAATGCTGATTTAAAGACGTGTAAATAATGTATGCGCTTGCCAAATAAGTTTCCAACGAGGCCTGTGAGTATCAAGAGATGACAGGGTTTTTTTCGTGGTCGAATATAAAGGTTCCTAGTCTCTATAAGCTACATTGATATGCAATCAAGCCTCGGATGGCTTCTTCTCAGCCTCTTGCTGCGCCCTCCAGTCCTGCTCCAGAATCGACATGTGCACAACGTCAAACCACCGTCCCGCCATGTAAACGGCTTCGCGCTGCCGGCCATCCTCCACGAACCCTACCTTTTTGTAAACGTGCAACGCCTTTGTGTTGAGACTGCTCGCCTGCAGAAACAGACTGTGCATGTTGCCGTACGCAAACGTCCAGCCGGCCAGCCACCGCAGCGCCTCGGTGCCGTAGCCCTGGCCCTGCCACGCGACACCGACCGACATGCCCAGGCCCGCGCGGCGATGATGTGCAAGCGACGCGGGTCCCGTTGCCAGACACATCATGCCAATGGGCACGCCGCGCAACGCCTTGGTGTGTTCTGCACGTTGATAGTCCCCGGCCAGCTCATCCCAGTTGTCCGGCTTCAGGCAGATGATGACGCTGAGCAGGTTATTCTTCCACTGGCTGAGCGACTCGTAGTAGCTCGTCTTGGACAGGGGACCAAAAGACTGGATGCTGTCGAGGCCGCGGATCGCCGGGTCCATGGCCATCTGGTGGTACAGAAACTTTTTGGTGTCTTCGTCGGCACTGTCATAGGCCTCGTAGATGAGGCGCTCCGATTCAAAGGCGGAGCGAAAGCTTAGATCCATTTCGTTCAACTGTTTGTGTGGCGAGCCTTATTGGCGCAGTAGAGCTGGTGTAGCGAATATGGGTAAAATATGGTGGTCTAGCTACACCCGAAGGAAGAAGAGAAGAGTACGGATAAAAGATCGCTGTGTCTTTCAGGGAACAAACTCATAGATGGTGGCCTTGAACAAACAATGAACTGGCCTCATGGGATGCATAGGTCTCCTGTCAAGGCAGCCAATTACGTTGGCTGCCACACAGCCCGACTAGATGAGGCTCGCAGCCTGGTTGCACGAAATTCGTCAGCGCCAGCCGGGAGGCGTTTCCGTACTGAGCCCCAGCCCTGGCCGATGAGTCACTTGATTGGCACGGGGAACAGCTTTCATTTTCTGATATATCTTGCCCCACGTTGTTATATGTGGCCATGCCACCCGGCACGAGGCCCAGACTCGCATGCCAATCGGCAGGTCCAAGGCCTCGCAACCCCGATATGGTGGCACAAAAGCTCCCAAATTTTGTACCTTTTGTCTCTCATACGAGCCAGCTCTGGACGAAGAAAATCAGTGTGTGACCGTGCTTCTTCGCGACTGTCGCGGCCACGGCAGGTGTAGAGACGGTGTGGCACGGAGATCCGGCACGGAGATCCGGCACATTGGAAGCAAACAAAGCCAGATGATATTGTTGGACGAGCGCAGTCTCTTCTAGCATGAAGCATAATGCAGCAATTAATTTGAGATGATGGATCCCATAATTATTCATCAACACCCATCCCAGACTGATTCTCATGCCAACGCGCGCACACCAAGTGGAATTCAGCTTTGTACATTCTGTTTTCTCTGTATATCAAGCCTTGCGGATAGGCAAGGCGGTATAGATCTCAGACACAATCGAAAATGCCTCGTCAACAACGTCGTCTGACTCGGCCAGCGCCCTAGAAGCCTCGTCCAAGTTCCCACCGCCCTGTAATATGATTTGCAGCGTTCGCCTCGCCACTTCAATGTCCCGTCGTCGCTGCTCATTCACATCGTGCAGCTTCTCCATCGCAGCCGTCTTGTCAAACGGGACCGCCAAGTCGGCCATGAATAGCGAAGCCGCGGCGCGCAGCCGGAGCATCTCGTGGCTCTTGTTGTACGGCAGCTCTCGCATGATTGCGTCCATGCGTGCCGCCACGGCCTTGATGGCGGCTAGCGTTTGCAGCCTGACCTTGTCCTTGGGGTCTGACGCTGCTGCTGCTTCTTCTCCTCTCCACCGTGGCCTGGACGCGTGGAAGCTCTCGTCCTCGAGCAGCGTTTCTAACCACGGATCGGGCCCGTCGTCGGCCAGGCTCTCGTCGGCGAGGGAGTCGTCTGCTGCGGCGCGCCCCTCTGCGCCGGAAAGACCGGCCGTGTGCTCCGAGTAAATGTTGTAAATCTCGGCGCTGTACAGACTAATGGTAAAATGTAGCGCCGAGATCTTCTTGGGCGCCCGGTGGTCGTATGGGTACTGCTGGATCAGCATCTCGAGGTAATTTCTCAGCTTATTCATGTTGGCCGCTGAGCCCCAGCGCATGACGCCTGCCCCACGGTCATGTTCGCCATGCGACGAATCGTCCTCGCTGTTCCTGGATTCATGGCGCTGCTCCTCGCCTTCGCGCATAATGACCTCTGCGCCGAGCGCCCAGAGGTGGTCGTGGCGAATGTCCAATGGGCGCGAGTACGGCCGCAGCTGCAGCGCCAGTCCGAAAGCGCGCGCTGCCTTGGCCACGTTGCCTTGACTGAGAAATTGATGTATTGATCTGGTCAGGACGGCTAGATGCCGTCGGTGCGCGTCTGGCGCTCTCTTTGGTTTCGACTTTCCACCGCCATCCTCATCCGTGCCATCCTCGAGTCCCGTCTCATAGTCGGGTTCCGAGATCAGATCAGATGTTTTATGACTGAAACCACGGTGCGGAAAATATTTGATGTCCTGTGTTGGGTCTTCATCGGCGTCTGATAGGCCTGCGACGGCAAACTGTGCAAGCTTTGCAGGCGGGTAGCTGTGAGGATTAATGGCCTGCGCTAAAGGCGGAGGAATATGGACATTGGCAAAAGAGTCATCCCGTTTTCTTTTCCCCGACATTGTGATGAATCATTGCGTTCAATTGCGATACGCCTTGCGACGTTTGTAGGCGGTTTGGTGCTGTTCAGGTCAGGATCAGTGAATGCATGGCTACTTGCACGTGCCACACAAGCACCACTTCGTGGCTAACAGTGGGGTGTTATAAATCCGCGAGAACACTACAAAAACAATGACCTCACTAATGAAACAAAGTCTTTACAGTTTTTCACTATAAACAAAGATCCGGAAATAAATGATTTATATAGGTCTTAATTGGTTCGAAAGGAAATCTCGCAGGACCAAACCCGATGGTTCAAGACCAAGATCGCGAGTTACTTTGATCCAATCGTTGGGAGGTGGAAACAGGCCAAGATAGATCGTGTGACTAGGAGTGATAATTTAAACAAAGTTCAAGAATTCCTTCTTGATTGTTATAGCTTGATCTCTTTTTCTATAAAACAAGGGCTTGCGGAAGCCTGCCGCGCTTGATCCCGCTAATATCGAACTAAAGAGTTCTTGTTGGAGTAAATCAACTCTACTGCAAAAGAGGAGCAACGGCTCAACTCTATAGGCATCCTTCTCGCTTCGTAAGGCATCGTCAAAAAGTCAGCAGGGATAGTTGTTTGACGGTCGACAAGCGGGGCTGGCTTGAGACTGGGCAATCGTGTGTAAAGACCATCTCAAGCCAAGGTGATTGCTGCCATATGATGTACGAATTGAAGCCACGCACATGAAAGGGACAAGTGTTACGAAATAGCAGAGTAAGCATCGTTATTTACTTCATCTATCTTGCTAGCTATGCAAGCGTAGAGACGCAGCAGGTACATGTCGTGGAGCACGGGACTCAACATAGACTATACCGCCATCAGACTTTTCAAAGTCTTCTTTTCTTATATACACTTGAATTTAATCTTCTTTCTCTTGGGCGGGGGCGTATTTGCCGAAGCGCCATCTTCTTTGGTTCTCATCCAGCCACCAACGACTGACAATGGCTGCTTCTTCCAGCCAGTCCGCAACTTCTGTGCCCAATTGCGCTTGAGCACGGTTGCGAAGGGTATCAAATGAGAGAGAGAAAATGCCGCTCGAGTTGGAGCTGGCATCGACAAAGTGCCAATCTTGGCCAGAGGTTATGGGAAAAGTCAACCGCCAGTTGGGGTTCCTGCCGTCCCGGGCTGCCAGTGTGGCTCCACCGGGATTGGTGACACTAAACTGCCAATCGCCGTGACCATTTTCGGCAGCAGCATGCAAAGGACGAAGGAGAGACTGCCCCTCGTAGTTTTTGGCAAGGTCAGAGGCGGCGCGCTTGGACTCTTGCGACAACGAGTCGGACTCAATCAAGAGATCCAGCACAGTAGGGAGGATTTGCATAGTGGATACGACATCGTCGACCGCCACCCTGGGCAGGTTGGGGTGGGAGAAGACAATCGGGACGTGGAAGCTGGCCGTTTCGTCATTGTGGTAGGTTGCAATGCCGTCCTCGGCTACGGGCATGCCGTGATCTCCAGAAAAGACGACCAGCGTCTCATTCGCAACGCCTTGTTCCTCGAGAATACCAAGCAATTTGGTCAGCCAGCGATCGCTGTAGCCTACAGCGTTGATATAGTTGGAAAGGTCCTCGAGATCTTTATTCTCGCTCATGTGCACGTACTTTTCCCCGGCGGGGATTCCGAATGCATGGTGGGTAGTGCTGGTTAGATGAGTCAAGAAGACTCTTTCGTTATTTTCTTTGGCGACCTGGAAGGCGTCCACAATGTAGTCCTCGAGGGCTACTTCGGGAATACTGAAGTAGTTGACGTCGCTCAGAGTTGACTTGCCAAATTTGGCAGATTCGCTCTGAAGGTATTCTTTGGTGATGACGTTGTCAGACTGGTATCCAAGGATCGGGAAGAGTGCCCCCTGGTTGTCAAAAGAGTCGGTTGCAGCTTGAAAATAGTATGACTTCCAGGGGTACGGCTGAAACTCTTTACTGCCTTTTCTACTCTCGGTGTGATTGATAGCATTGAAGGCGTGAAGCACATGTGTTAGGCAAGGTTGGTAGAAATGCGATTTGGCCTCGACATTGAAATCGGCAGCGACAGGCCCAATGCCGCACAATGTGGCGATAACACTCTTGAGCGTGTATGTGCTGGCGGTGAAAGCGTTATTTGCGCTGATGCCGCCTCTGCAAGTGCGATTCGAGTGTGCGAAGCCATCATTGTAGTCGCAGGTGAGCGAATTAGCCAGTGGTGTCAGGGTAGCCAACCTCTCTTTGACATTACTAGCAAGCGTTTTATTAGAACTTGAATCGACCAATTTTCTCCAAATTTTCCCTCCTTGTTTAATGGGGAAGACGTCCTTTCGGATAGACTCCATCTTGACGACGATGACGTGGCGAATGTCCACATCGGCAAGCTTTCCGCGCAAATCGGAGAGGGGTTCGTTCTGCATGTTGGACACCTTGAGGGGATCGGCCTCAGCACTGTAGTGTTCGGCGCCATCATGATACCAGTCTTCAAAGCCCTTGAGAGGCGGCCCTTCGGGCAGCCAAGAGAGAGGAATGGGGTCGGACAGAGCGGTCTTGCCTTCAAGGATATCGCTTATGCTGTTGGGGCCGCTATTATGGCTGGTGATGACTGCAGGGCCGCCGGAGCCCGAGAGATCAACAATGGGCTGTAGAGGAAGAGTCCAGGACATGAGAGTGTAGGCTGAATCGTGAGGGCGCAACATGGTGGTGATGATGGTAGCGGCAGCAACGGCGCCGCAGACAATGTAGCCGCCAATGGCCGACTTGGAGGGAGCAGGCAGCTGAGTTTCGAAATGCAGTCCCTGCTCAGCGCTGTCATCGTCTCTGTATCCCAGAAGGCCTTGAGCGTCGGAAGGGTTGAGCGTGTCGTCTTCGTACTTGTTGGAAGGCCCTTGAGTGAGGCTCTGGTATTTGTCTTTGGCGAAGCAGCGGCGGAAGGGCCAAAGCAGAGCATCGGAAGTCATATCCGCGATGACAATCCAAAACTGTTGGGTGGCAGCAGCGAGGACAGTCATGGCAGCAGAAACAAAGGCAAGTGAGGCCAGGCCGGTGGGCAAGACAGCCCACCAGGCAGGATCGAGGACAATACCGGCATTGTTCCAGTCGGGCTCCGTGTATATCGTCATGTAGCAAGCCAGGGTGCCGCAGCTGAGAACAAGGACAGCCATGCTGAAAGAGGAGCCTAGAATAAACAAAATGGACATGCGACTCTCGAGAAGCATGCGAATAAATAGAATGAAGACGACATCTTGGAAGAAGAAGGAGGCGCCCCAGCGAAGCAAATCTTCAGTGGACAGAGCCTGGCGATGAGCATAAATGTGGAGGAGTTTTGCGCTGAGGACGGAAACGGCAGCAAGTGGGAGCATGAGCTTGCGAGTAAAGATCTTCGATGGTCGAGGGATAGATATACGTCGAGGACGCAGCCATGCAAGTGATTGAAGAACCATGGCGGCGAATCGAGCGAGGTTGTAGCCGTTCTTTTTTTTTTGGCGCGGGCGTGAGAGTTGTGGACAAACGGCGTTGGACGGAGAAGTTGTAGGCCGTCGGGTGCGGGCGCCGAGAGTGAGGGGGGTTGTGACGGCGCGTGCAGCAGTATCAGCGTCGCACAGTCGAACCCATTGGAGAGAGGCGCCGTCGCGGAGCTGAGGTAGGAAGAAGGGGAGGAGGAGGAAGAAAAGGAGGGGGAGACGATGATGATGATGAACAGAAAGGAGGATGACGATGGGGAGGAGGTGGAGGAGGAGGATGATAGTGATGTCGACGTCGATGATGAGGAGCACAATGACGAGCACAAAGTGGACAAATAATTAAGAGAAACAAAAATGGCGAAGCATAGAAAGAAAACGGAACAACGACGGACAAGAATACAAGAATGTGAGAAAGGAGGCGAAGCAAAAGGGAGAAGGGTGCGTGGAGAGGATGATTTGCAGGAGACAAACACAAGGAGAAAGTTGTCGACTGCGGTAGGGAAAGTGGACCTGAAGGAACAAGCATTCGGTCGGCAGCCCAGTTGCCCAGTGTAGTTAGTATGTCGCACACAGGGCTCTTGGCAGCGGCAACGTTTCTTGCTGGCAGGGTATCTTTCCGCAATCTCGGTGGCGTGTCAGACTAGTTGCGCTTTGAATAGCAACTGTGGTCGCGTGCCCAAAGCAAGAAAAGAAGCTTCCGGTTGGTTGTTAGCGTCGAATCCCCCTCGCACTTTTATCTGGCAGCAGCAGCCCTATACATCGTGGAGAGGAGAAAAAGAAGCCCAAGCCATTGTGAATCTGGTCTAGGGCTGGTCTGATCCCACTGAGCACAGGCAAGGCATGCCATGGATACCTGGGCGAGGCTCGTCCGTAGTCTTTATTTTTTTTTCTCTCTAGCGAACGCGGCGGCGGTCCAATAGCCATACCAACAGTCTAATAAAAGTTATGACAGTACATCATCGAGCCCATGCCCTACATAGATCTGAGAGCGAGGCCAGCCATCACTTAATTGTCGTGCCCCAGCGCCTTTAAAATATCATCTGCCGCTTCGAATCAGCGTCAACGACCTGGAAGCCGCTGAAGGAGCTGTAATCTCAAAAGAAAATCCACGACTGAGAATGCCAATTGTCGAGCATGTCGAGCAGGCAAAGAATTATAGACGCGGGCAAGTAAGCGACGCAAATGCAGTAGTGAAAACATTCCGGCTTTCCGGGATCCTGTTTCTGATGCGTTGCATCGCGGCTCATCGCCAAGCAAAACAGTCCTTCAACCCGGGCGTGATCCCACGCCCATCACTGAGGGATCTACTGCACCCGCTGGACCTTACTTAGTACCAAGTTAGTGCGCCACAGAATGCCATGCGAGAGCAATTCTGCAGTGAGAATTAGGTAAAGACTCCTTTGTGATAATTCCATGCTTCGCTTGGAATGAGGACAACGAGTGAATGTCACTCTGACTCGCCTCTGCTTCAAGAGCAGGGTCAAACGCTGGGGTGAGGCACTCCGTATTGGCACAGCTTGACGACAGCGAGCTGCCGATACTTACTTAACATGGCGGGTGGCGCCTTTGTACAACACTGGTGCAACCACCCAAAAATTGCTTACGCGGCCACATAAAGGGGTGTGCGGAGCAGTCATGTATGGTTCGTTTTATGATTTTGAAAGTCGTAGTCTTCGTTGCTCAATTCCAGATGATTCTGGTCTGGTTCACCAGAGCGCAGCCTTGCGGGAATAAAATACTTTTCTCGCTCCCGCGAACCCGCCTCTCTTCTCGCGTTACCGTCGAGTTTCTGTTGAAACTAGACGAAGCTAACTAGATCAAGGGCCAATCTTTTTAATTTCTCGCGAGAGGCACAAACCACCAGTGCTTGCATGCGCTCGACAATAATTAGGTAAATAGCGCCCCCATCGGCCAGCGTTTCGCAATTTACATTCCCTGCCTCTCAGACGAGCACGTGACGCTGGTCACTTTAGACTTAACAGCAGCGAAATATCACCATTCTCATTCTCATTCTCATTCTTGAGCGTCTGAGTTCAAAAAAGACAAAGAATACTCTACCAGTGAGCCGATAATGGAAGTTATTTTCATTCTTTCAACCGCTGCATTTTGATTAGCTGCATTCCTTTTGGGCGTGTGGCTGGCTGGCTGCGTGCGGCTGGGGCTTGACCTTACGAACAGACTAGCTGATCGGGGGCACTCCTGCGTGGGACTGCATAGCGCCGTATCCATTTCAGCCTAGCTTTCCACCTTTCCTAAGCCTATTTAGGTCGTCTGAGAGGTAGTTAAGGGTGTTCGTCCGACACTTTGCATGGCCGCTCGCACACCATCAAAGCATGTGTTCGTGTTGTAACTTGTTACTTCTGCAAGCCTGCATCAAGTGCAGCCTTGGATCCGCCTGGAAACCTGACCTTGTCTAATAATAGGGCTATCTTCCAAAAAACTCCTTCGAAAGCGTCATGATGCCATCGTTCATGCTTCGATTTAGACTTGTTGAGCTAGTTCTTATTAGAGCTTTGCCAACAAGTATCATCAATCCTCCTGCCTTTAATCCGTACTAGTTGCAGCGAACCAAAGTCGCACCGGCTCTTGTCAAGGAAAAGAAAGCTCGTAGCGCATGACGCGGCCAGGGCGCAGCGCAGAGACGGCCTTCCCCTTAAATGCACCTATCCACGATAACCACTTTTGTCCTGTCTCTTCCTACTCATAAAGAGGGATCAAACTAACCTCGATTCCCCCGAAAGCTTATTGGAATGTCATCTACTTATGCATAAGAAGATATTATTAATACGAGAGTAATTGTCCCTATTATTAGCACCACATCCCTCGAGAATGATACATAAACTATCCGCAACGTTATACGACAGAAGACTAATAAGACATGACTTCCCTGCCCTATGTCGAATAGAATTTGCCATGAAACGCGCCGCCATGACCCGAGTTCCGACGCTGGGGCGAATAACTCTATTTTGTACCTAAGCCGGTGAATTTTTCCAGCAGGGAAAAAAAGGGTAGCGTGGCCTTGAGAGCGCCAGGACTGTCACTGTTGGGGCCGGTGGTCTCCTCGGCTCAACATTACTAGTTACTCAGTACGAAGTTCCCCCGTGGTGCAGGGGATAGTAATGGGGCATTGTGGGGCGATACGTGTTCAGACATCATTAATCCGTACTGACTGACTATTTCACTCAGCCGACCGACTTGTCGCCAACTTGATTATGTCGCTATATTTAAGCAGCCTTCTACTGTTCGCCGTCTTGCAAAAAAAAAAAAAAAGGAAACCAAGTAAATTAGGTTGCACCGTTCCTCGATGTGGAAATAACTGTTCCCGCCGTTGATAGCAAAACGGCGATCAGTTATTTCTACTGTGACAGCCTTTCCCGTCTTATATTACTACCGCCCTATATCAAGAAGCAGGCACCAATCAAACAACGGACGCGGCGTAAAAGAGGGGGGATCAGAAAGACTGCCGCTTATGTACTGATGCTGTGTTCTTGATCATATAAAAGATGCTAGTAGATATTTCTTATAAATGCTAGATAAATCCTTACTTGATCTAGAGTATAGAGGTGTTTAATGAATAAGAATGCTTCGTCGTTCCGAAGATGGCATCTTGGAGCAGCCCTCATCATTTGTGTCCCCTATATGCCCCCCCCCTTTTCAGTGCCACATCTACAGTCCCACGACGACTACCGATCAAAATAGGACACCAGCTAAACAAAGCATGACAAAACAATTCTTTCAAAGGAACTAGCCAACCTTTACACAGAAGGATGTCACTTAGTATATCCTAGTGTATCCCCGTCTTTCTACTTGAACAGCCTCAACTCTGCGAGGCTTGCTGTGCAGTAAATGCAACCAGGTACACGTCAGACACGTCCTTCCAGAGCCTTTGTGATATTCTCACGCACTGATTTCGCAGTTGGCCGGCGCTCGCAATCGGCCTTAGCTGAGCGATTCACAGACTGTAAATAGCTGCATTTGCCAGCACGTTGAAATAGCCCGTTACACGTACAATTAGCATAATTTCGCAGCCGAGAATGTCATGAATATCAAAGGCGAGCATGAAATACTCAGAGTGCAAATGGCTCGGTCGGACGCATGATTCGAACAATCACCATTATCAGATACGTGAAAATTTTGAGTTCGGTTCACGAGCAGCTCTGCACACGGTGAAGATGCGGAAATCTTGGGCTTACGAGGAAAGCTTTGAGCCGCGTTTCACCAAATGGCTGTCAAGAGGGCGGACGGGACTTGGTTTCTGACCACATCGATTTCAAACGTCTTGTTCGGGCGCAAGACCGCCATTGTCCGCGCTGAACCGGCCTAACGCATCGCATTATGATACAACATTTACACGGGCGCTTGATCAACTACCAGACGCCACACAGGCCTTACAGGGACAAAAGTAAGACAGGGCTGCGGAAAAAGGCTTTTTATGACCATGAATCTTAATCTATATCTAACTAACACCACTAGTAAGAACGACGATATATAAGTAACGCTGATGTTCTAACATGTGCTAATCAGCAAAACACTTGGGCAAAGAACTTGCGAGCATAGCTACGCTTGAAGCCCAGGTACTATCACCTTGACCGCCGAGGCTACCATTTTCTTGGAAGCCTAGGCCATCATTACCGAAGCTACCATCATCTTAGAAACCTAGGCCACCATCATCGAAGCCACCGTCACCGAAGCCACCGAAGCCACCATCATCGAAGACACCATCACCGAAGCCACCATCACCGAAGCCACCATCAC